TTGAAAGTGTCAAGATATATAAATATTTTTATATAAAATATTTAATTTACATTATATTTGTATGTTAGATTCTTGATAAAGATCGATGTTGTGATCGAAACGTTAAACAAAATTTACTGAACTTTTCTGTTATTAGACAGCCCCAACCCAAGAACAACTCAAGCATTAGAAAAAAAAATTTAAGTATTTAAAAATTTGTTTTCTATATACTCCTCATTTTCTGGAATCCATACTGCGGATCGCTTCGCGTACATCATCTGTCTGAATCAGATAATTAATTTCATCTTGAATAAAGAAAGATGCCCTGTATATTTATAGACTCGAAAGTTGATTAAATGTGTGTATACAAGGTGCAAAAAGAGTGGACCAAAGAATACCAGCATATTCTTTATATCAAAATATTTCGATTTGTCAAATAAACCTATGTCCTAAAGTCTAAACTTATGAAGATATAGGGTGATAAAAGTAATTTTGTTTTTTCGTTTTTCGTTACTTACGCTCGCAATTTTAAAAAAATATGATGCGAAATTAGATGATGTAACCAGTTTTGCAATAACTTGTCGACTTGAGCACATCTTTTTGCAAAAATACCATCACATTTTTTTTATTCTCAAATTTAATTTCTGATAAGACATGGTCATTTTTTGGTATTTTCTAAGTAAAAAAGTGTCTATATCTCAAGATATTTACATTTATAACTCGCTATGCAACCCTATGTAGACCAACTAATAGCCAACTATTAATTTATTATAAAAAATGTTACTTTTAAATGAACTCACTAATAGTTGGGAGTGAATACCGAAAAAGAACAAAAAACAACCTATTGTGTTTTCTATTGCTATTACGAATGAAATTCCAAAATAAGTAAATTTGTGTTAGACATAATTGTAATAAAAGCAAATTTTATTTAATTAACTAACTTAATAATTATTACAAAAAACAAAAAATAAAGTAGATGCTCTACGTGACCACCATGCACTTTAATACACCTTTTAATTGGTTTAATGACGGATTGTCTCATTTTAAAAAACTAGTTTTTGATTCGGAACGCATTAACAGCATCCGGGATTTCTTCACGACTGTCTATTGTGTCTTTGTAAACCACTGATTTAATATAGCGCCAAAAACAATAATTCCAGAGGCGGACTTCTTCTCTCCTTCCATTTATTAAGTTTAAATTAAGAAATTCTTTTACAATTGGTGCAAAACGAGGTGGTGCTCCGTCAAACAAAGGTATGTCAATTCTTATAGCCAAAGGTAAGTTACCTATCAACTCGTGTTCTACAAAGTGTAAAAACGTCGCTGGATCAATGGTTAGGGTAATTCAAATGAACCTGGTACATAATGATTTACTATAGCGGTTCACACGTTTATCTAGATTTCGGGCTGGAATGTCTATGTCTATGTATATGTCTATGAAGATTTTCTAATTGCCACGAATATCTTGCAGATCAGGAGGCAGCAAATGGTGCAAAATGATAGGGATAACAACTCTCTCGTTTTATTGTTCTAAATACTGACGCAAACTTAATCTAATAGCGACAAATATTTGTTTGTGGATCATCAGCTACACGGCCTAGGATTTCTTATTAGTAATCCTTCCTTTTTGACGTAAAGATCCTGAAGCTCCCGAATTGCTTTTGAACGGACTATCCAAGGGTGGTCATTAAGATACAATGCAACAAGATTATTATTACTAATTAATAAGTAATTATTTAATAATTACCTTAATTAATCGTAATAATCTTGTTGCATGTATGTTAATGACCACCCTTGGATAATCCGTTCAAAAGAAATTGGTCACTTTCTTATATCTATGAATAGACCATACACCTATTATACCTGGGCATTTTTAACAGAAATTGCGAAAATAATCACTTTCAAGTATCAAACAACTCTCACAATTATAACTTACTATGCCTCCTATGATTTCAATTATGTACTGAACCATACAGCTATAAGATGATATAGTGGCCCTACTACGGTAAAAACTGATGCGCCGCAGGGGGCTGTGATTTTTTCGTAGATAAGGATCTTTTGCTCATGCATCAGTACTTACTGAGTGGCTACATTGCAGTAATTTTTCTGTAAAATTGATTAACTTTTATAAGAACGCAACATCAATCTCTGAAATCGGAACATAATTGGCAACGCCGAGCCATGTAATTATTATTGTACCAAAACAGTCTGTGCCCAGTACCATTGTTGTTTTCATTTATGCTTTCAATACTCACTAAATTACAGCAAATGTGGCAAATATGGGGACCTAACAGGATCTTAGAGAAACAGTGATGCCTATATATTTGACATTTAACAAACTTAAATAGCTATGAAAGAAGTTTGGTTAATATGTTTTAGTGTACAAGAATTACAGGAAATATAAGAAAGCTATTAAGTTGAATTTTGAATGGAATAAGCATAACAAATATCCCTTGTCAATTACTCTCTTTAGGAGGTGCGTCTTGAACATTTTTTCAACTGGATGTTATTTTAATTGAGGTGAAACCTATGAGTTTATGAAAAGTAACGCTTTACGCCGATTTACAAATACATTACATAAAAAAACATGTCGAAATTGCATATTGAAGAACAAAAATGCCAAATTAATTACAAAATTATACTGACGCCGACGTGGACGCTGTAATTCTGCACTGCTTTTTCAGACCTTAACTCCTGTTTTGCTTGAAAATTAAATAGGACTTCGACATATTTTCAGAAAATACTGCCTTAAAAATGCCGCTCCAGACATCGACGATCCGTCAGTAGCCATGTTGTTTGTTGAAAGGCGCAAGGTCTTATGTGTCCTACGTCATTAGAGCTGTCATTGGTTAAAAACGAAATTTTAGCTCTCGCTCATGTGCACATTGACTGGACCTTCTCAAAAAACAAAATACATGGTTGCTTCATGAGTTCCTGTACTGTCAGCATATATCTAGTAGCTATATGTGCTGAACAAAAACTGATCAAAGCCTGCTTTAATTTTATATAAAGTAAAATCGCATATCTAGTAGTATCCTTCTTTCATAATGCTTTTATCGAAATCGAAATATGTTGATACAAAGAATATTCTATTCTATGGAACATTCTTTGTATCGACATTCCTGTATATTCCTTTTGGAAAAATTACTAGCTGATCTATATCTACTTTGCGAGCTTTTCTTAATATACTGATTTTCCAATAACAATGACAAATCCAAAAACGAAGTAAAATTAATGCGTTCCATTTAAAATTAACTAAAATCGAAAAGTGAATAAAACTATTTGAGAAAAGTGTACATATGAGTCACCTTATGTGAGTGCATGCTTCTGGGTCATCTTTCTTTTTGAATTAGCTAGCGGTTAATAAGTTATTAATAGCAATATGACTGTACACATTACTGCCCGCTACAAAAAGTTATGCGACGTTTGGTACAAATTTGAAATTATTTTTATTAGAGAAACGTTTTATGTGAACGGAAAACTTGTTTTCAGTTGCGAGTGGGTTTTGGCGGTGATTTAATTCCGATTTGGACTTTTCTCTTAGTTGTTTTCCGTTTCAACTGAAAACTAGTTTGAATTTAATATAACTGGCGGTAAGTTTCAGCGCCATCCAACTTTTATTTGCAACGTTTCAGCGTTATTACCATTCATCATGTCCCATTTTGTTGCTCGGTATAATTAAATCGGCAACTTCGGTGGCAGCTCGTTGCCAACAAAAAGTAAAGCGCGAGAAACGATTCGTTCTTATTCTGTAGTAATAAAGTAAAAATAACAGCCGATTACCCAGACACGTAATAATGTTTGAATTAAATGGAACGGCCTATACGAGTGCAACTTTCGCATTTTCCTCGGGATTAGTTTTCCGTTCTATTTAATCCAACAATATTCGCGAAGGGATGATATTAAATGAAATTCGCTCCCCGAATAAAGCGACCGCGTTGCCCTGTCGCATTTTCTAAAAGAAACCCGTCAGAGGCCATTCGATAAAATAAACACCGGCGAAGAAAAGGGTTGTTAGAAATAACAGCCGCAGTGACCAAGTGAAAATAAGCTCAGTCTTTTATGTACTTGAACAATAGATCGGCTTTAAGTAGGAGGAAAACCCCCACCCAATAATAAAAAATATATAAAACAAATTTACACTCGCGGAAGCTGCTTCATAATCCGCAGGAAAATTGTGAAAAACAAAGTAACCCTGCCTTTGCCATGTTACAATCTATAAATTTCCGCGAAAAGTAAATTAATTCGTAAGCTAGGGAAAAGCACAAAGTTCCTTCCGGCTTGATCTATAACGCAGCGCGTGGGTATCGCCCCCATCAAAACTAACGACTGTCGCAACATCTACCGGTTAAATTGAAAATTTCTCTACGGCAGCTGTTGACATTTTTCCCACCAGGAAAATGAATATGTAATTAAATTTAAATTAGATCGGATTTTTCGTTAATTTGGCTCCACGTTAAAGGAAAAAAGTCATGAATTTTAAAAGCATCATCTCCCCGTTGCTTGCCAGAAGTTAAATTCAGCTACGTCTGATTAAATAATGTCTCTTTTACCTAACTCCCCGATTTCCGTGCTATGGGAATCATTGTGTAATTTATAAATTATAAAAAGGTTTTTTTGCAACCTGGGAGAAGCGGAGCCTATTAATTTGGAACGACAATTCGTCGGAAAATAAGAAAATCGGTTCACGTCTTGAATATTCATTACCTTTAAATAAACCTTAACGTCGAAAATGAGAATATTTGATATTTTCGTTTCGTTTTGTTGCAGGTTTACGCAATATTTGAGGTTGCCAAATGGTTTAGTCTTAAGAAATGTCTAATGTGTATTAGCGATAACTGGAATCTCAACTGAATTGCTTAAAATAGATCCTGTCCATGAATATTACAAATGCCTTGATTTCATGCTAAATACGTAACTAATTATATTACCATCGATTAATGGTAATGGCGGTTTAGTATCAATTGACGTGTTAGTATAATGAAACATAACCCGTTTATAAAATTAATATATTCGTTGTAAATTGTACATAAATAATAGCAAATAAATAAAAGAGCATTTGGTATCGTCGAATTTTAAATTTTATGCTTAAACAAACGCCCTCGAAACCGAACCATAGTTTTAACTTTCTTTTACAATTAACGCCTTTGTTCATTTAAGACGATATGGTCGGCAATCGCTGATGCGGCGAGGCGGAAATGAAAAAAACACTGTACTTAAAACTTGAGCAACTGGCATCGCAAATCAGTCGACGCACTTAATAATTAATAATCAGTAGCTTGAACGATGGCAACGTCGTCCTTTCTTCCATCGGCTTTCTTATAAAACAGAGCTATTTGACTTGTATCCAACATTTGAAGAGTCTCTTCATTATCCCCGTCGCTAATTTTCTCGTCTCTTGGTTGGGTCTTGGGCGCGTCGACTAACACCTCGTTTATTTGAGACGTTTGTGGATTGTTATCTAAATACTGACTTTGATGATAATTAATCGTATCATTCGATGCGTATGAGCCTTGTTCGACGCTTTGCTGCAACTGAATTATAGGAATTCCAGCGCCGCTCTGTGGAGTTCTTCCCGGCTGTTCTATGGCTTGTAAAATCGACTGCAGCAACCCTTCGTTCAAGAATTGAGTGTGAGGCACCTGATTTTGCGACCCGTCCGCTGATTGAATTTGCAGAGTATAACTTCCTTGGGTACCTTGGAGGGGAATGTTGTTCAAATCGATGGATTGGGACTCTACCAACTCGCTGTTTGGTCCGAAACTTGCTGCTACCGATTTGCCGTAGGATTTGCCGTGAGTTTCTTCGTTGATCGCGTTTACCTTAGTTTCCGAATTCACTGACGAACTGTGGTGTAAATCTGGCACTCCGTATTCGGATGATGGCACCAACAATTGTGGCTGGGGAACGCCATAACTGGCGTGTGATGCAACATTGTGTGTGTTAGTAGAAAGACTCGATGTGTAGCTATCGGTAGGAACTCCATACGCTTGAGAAGGAATCGATTGCTGTTTGTTATGGCTGCAGTCGTAAGCGTTGCTTTTGCCATGTGTCAAATCTATAGTCACTGGAGGTTGACTATAATCCAATCCTACACTAGAACCGCTTGGCGGTAGGCTGTAAGACCCATCAATAGCACCCAAGGGGACGTTATAACTCGTAAGAGGTAACGCGCTAGCTCCTTCTATATGTAGCCCTGACGTTGCTGATCCGTGTACCAAGTTTTGGAAAGAAACTGGCACCCTTTCGTTAGGCAAACTGTAAAGAGATGACGGTTCCGGAGGATGTGCTGCTACAGAGTCGCTCGAATAAGAAGAACCTGAACTAAATTCAGGTTTGTGTCCTTGTATGGATCCAAATTGGAGTGAACCCCCAAATCCGTGAGCGTTGGAGTATAACTGTGTGCCATGTTGACCGCTTGGAGGTGCACCGTAAACTCCGCTGGGAGGAACCAAACCTATACTATCACCGCTATAAGCTTCGCTTTTTGCGGACTGAGCAATGTGCTTGCCATGGACTTCAACTCCAGAAGAAGCGACAATCCCTCCAGAGCCGGTAACGGTATTTAAAGGCGCCCCGTATGAATCACTAATTCCCTGTTTGTATCCACCGCTGGTCGCTCCACTAATACCCAAACTGATTGGTGGTGCACCGTACGTATCGCCCAAGTGATTATGTTGCAAGGGCGGTGGAGACAAATCATTATAAGCTCCCTCTCCGGTCACGTGGTGAACATCGTCTATTGGTCTTTTCGAAACTAATCCGGGAATGGGCTGCCATCCGTCGTACTTAATATCCGGAGGTGTAGGTGGAGCTGGTGCGCCTGGATGAGGTGGTCTAGGGTTTGGAGATGGTTGTGGAGGTCCATAAGCGACACTAGCAGACGGAACGCCGTATTGACTGGATAAATGGCCCCCAGAGTTTGAGCTTACGTATTGTATAGTAACTGTTTTTTTCGGTGGTGGTAGAACTGGAGCTCCATATTGATGTGTGAGAGTAGAAACTCCGGAATATAAATTGGAGAATTTGGCTCCGGTTGAAAGCGTATTGGAATTAAAGAAGCTGTTGAAGTGCAATTTATTTGAGTTAAAATTATCTTTGAATCCCACCGAAGTTCCGTAGATTGGTTTGGGTGGTCTTGGATTGAAATTTTTCGGTGGATATTTGTGGAATTTGATAGGTTTACTTGGAGGGCCGTACTGTGGTTTTGGGTGCCCATACTGTAACTTTGGAGGTCCATAAACCGGTTTGGGGGCAAACAGATTGGTTGGCAAAGAAGGTGGACCGTACTTAACGGGTGGTATTCCATAATTGGTGGACAATTGGGGGAGAAAATTTAACGACGGTTTTGAATGAGGAACTCCATAAGTGGCGGAAATGCTGGGAGGTCCATACAGAGGCTTTGGTGGAGGCGGAATGTCAGGTGGTGGCGCAGGATAAACAACATTATTTGAAGGTGCATCTGGCACACCATATACAGGTACTGGAAGATTTATATTTATCGGACTCGGAGGCAAATATGAATTGCCTGGCAGCCCGTAGGTGTCTAAAGGAGCCTCCCGCCTATTGGCTGTATCAGAACTTTCTGCGATGGAATCCTTTTCTGCAGTGGAGCTGGTAGTTTCTGCTTCGGTGCTTTCGGAATTGGTTTTGATCGGCTCTTCAACTTTTTGAGACTGGCCACTGTTGATAACAGCAGCAACATATTGCAATGTCAGCGATGCTGACAGTAATACAACAAATATCTGCAAAAAAAAAAATGGAAAGTTACCAATAAAAAAACGGGATTCGATGGCACAGTGCAACAATCGAAATGAAAGTTGACCCTGACTGTGAAAGTAAAACGTATTAAGAATTATCATTATCAAGGGCATCCTCACTTTTTTTAATTAAATATGTCCTCAGTTTCCCATCCTATTCAGTGTAATTTAGTATTAATATTGCATTTATTTTGACTAACTTGAGGGCTACAACTGACGAATTTCCTAAAGTTAGTACACGGTGTATCTCCAAAATCATTTTCAAAAAACCGTAGGCACACCAAATATTTATTTTATAGGTTTTTATATTTTTAACGTGAGATATTGATTATTTCAAAAATTGTTTCAGCAGAAAATCGGCTAGTGGTAACAAAAAACATCGAAATCCGCAAATTTCTAAAGCAGTGCACACGCATTTCTGAATAGAAACACTTGTATTATCTATTTACGTACATTCGCATATAAATTCTACATTAATTGACGATTATTACGTTTGCAGTCGCAATTTAATTAAAGTTAATTATTTGCTATTCAAACATTCTCGTATCTTTAGATACAGCCTTTGAAAATATTTTATGAAAATACCTTCTTGGAATAGGTAATTAATATTTTCAAAATAGAAAAAACAAAAAGCGGCCAACTACTAACCTGTTGCGGCCACATATCCAGAGGTAATCCAAAAATATATGAAACACTAACACACTAAAACTCCACCAACACCGTGTGCATACCTGACTCGGTTTTTCGGTTGTATCTCGCATTTAATGAAAGAGTAGAATATATAGAATTACTATACAATTTTGATTTAAGATGATCCTCTCCCCACCTAACGAAAAGAAGAAGAGGAAGGTTGAACACACTCAGTCTGAGATCACATCAGGCGGACTTAAGAGAGAAAGTAGGTAATGAAAGTAGCCGTGCCCAGTTGTTGTAAGTATCACGAAACTATATGATGTGCCCATAAATTTCGGTAGGATTTAATTTTTGTCCACATGCGGACGTTTTATTGAAAAATTTGCGAAATTTTCGTTAAAATAGACGAAGACACCGCGTTACATTTTTTAATAGATAATCCATGAAATGATTAACCTGCCCCAAAATCAAAATGCCGCGGTGATTAGTTCTGGTCGGTGCCCAAGCAATAATTAGTTTTAGTCATTTGCACTGAAAACCACAACACGTGCATGGGGGATTTTTGTTATATTGACGTTGCATTAATTGTAAATGCACTCTATTGAAAATCAAAGCGTTTTTTTTTGTTGCCAAATGGTGTCGATGTTGCGGTTTAGTAGTTTAAAAACCCTACGACTTGAGAGTCGTAAAAGGCAACAATGGGTAGGTAAAGGTTTTCAGAGCGCAATATCGGTTCTACAATTTTTTTTTAAGACAGTAGGGTACGTGATCTTGAACAAGACATAAATATTATAGTTTTATGAGCGGATCAACGCTGGGATTTTGTGCTCTCGTGAGAAACTTGGCCGCTAAAAATGAAATTATGTTTTCGCAATGAATATTCAAACCGTTCCCAGAATAATACAATACTACAAATAGCATACGTCGAGTCGTCATTTTGAAACCATTCACGTGATTTATAAAATGAAACTTAGCGTAATATAAACAATAAACAATTATTACATGAATTATATGATGCGCATATTACGTGCGGATGTAGATTACCTATTAGATAGTAGGCAAACGATATTAGCTACGGTTAAACTGTTCAGTAGACTATGGCATAGTTTTTTTAATGGTGGGATAATAAATTAAATAACGCATTTGATGGAAGTGAAGACACCAACGTGAAATCGAAATGCTATAGTGAAATTTAGGCATTTGATATTCAAACCCCATGGCTGTTTTATTACAAATCATCAAAAAACTTTTAAGCCGTTTAAATTCATTATTCAACTTTCTATGTACGTATTGTTTGTTTAGCAATAGATACGCGGAGAATTTTTACAATTTAGCTTCTGCGTGGTTTGGTTCCCGAAAAATTAGTTTTTTCATTAAATTTAACTTTGTATATTAATATATAATTAAGTTTTTTTTCGACTTCCTTTTTGCGTATCGCGTTGAACGTTTACGGCCATTTTTCTTTTTTATTTTCTATTGGTGCAAAGTTATGATTTTGTCAAAAGAAAAATAGAAAGAAATTTTTGAAAACGAGCTTTTGTTTGATTCGCCATCGTGCGGTTGTCAAGTTTAAGATCTCAGTTGTGTCGACGTGTATTATTCACCTAATTGTGCGATTTTCACAAAATCCCAACGTCTGCATGAGAATAATGACCCATGAGCTAAGAATGCGGTGTAGGTCGATTGCGGCATTCGCACTCCAAGTTCAAATTATTCTTTTTCCCAAGGTCTCGCTTTCACCGACAGGTCTTGGTAAACATCACTGTCAGCATCGTAACCAGCAACATAGGCGTCGAGTCGCAACTGCAGTACAGTATTAGCACACTTTATTTGAAGAAAAAACTTTGATAGGTTTAATTAATTAACCCCTATGCGTTATCCTGGCATCTGAAGAATTTCTTTTCCTTCTTTTTATTAATGTCGATGAAAAAAAAGTGCGCCAATGGTGTGCTAAATTTGTGAGCGCTAAAGATTTTACATTCATGGGCAAAACATATATAATTTTAATTAACTACATTAAAGTGTTTGTTTGTCGACGGAGCGTGTTCACTGTAAATGTTGTCTAAATCGTATTGTCGCATCAACGGTAAAAATGATCCTGAACTAAATTCGCGCATAATTTGACACTCTTCAGAGAAAGTTCAAACTGCACATAATAATTACGACTTCAGTTACATAGATAATAGCTTACGTATAAAAATTTATGTACCACGAAAACGTACGTTTGTTTGCAAATTAAATTTCAAAAAAATTATTTTATTGGCAACAGATGTATGCCACGACTTTCATTTCGTTTCATGTGTTTCGATTTCTCGTGTGTGCTTTTTACGAATTAGTTCGCCGCAGCAAGATTTGAAAAAAAAATCAATTTTCGATTTTTTTAAATAAACGCGGCACCATATCCGGTTTCAAATACCAAATAGTGAAAACAAAAACGTAAGTGTGCCGACTTCCTTGACATTGCAAAATATTTTCAAGCCCGCCATTCATTGGGTGCCCGATGTGTTAATTTATTTAAATTTTATTGTACTCAGTGCTGGCAATAAAAACACAAAAATGTGGGCTTGTCCCATTCCGTTTTGAAATGAAAAGTAAAGTAGAAAATTGTGTACGGATATCCTCGTACATTGTTGGTGGCTTCATTTAAGTCAGTGGCATTCCAGAATTAGACGACATTTATAGAAACTGTTGCAAACAGACAAGCTGTACAACAGTTCTTACCTATCGTTTACATAAGCCGGTTATTGAATTTTTATCGTCTCCCTTTCGAGAGAAAGTAACACTCGCTGATATGACACCAGGCATATTAATGAACGCGTGTTTTACCAAAATTCTAGTTTTTTTTATTGTTTTCCCACACTCAAGAACACGCCTCTGACTGACATCACGACTTTCTTCAGCTCAGACAGACCATCCTAAAGGTCAATAACTTTCTTTCTTCGGAATACGACGGAGATTGCACACAACGTCACAGGTGTACAAATTCAGATGCTTTTCAATGAAAACATTTTTTTTTTCGAAAATTAAGAATATTGCACACATTGCACACAAATAACTCCAATAATTATATCTACAGTTCACTTTTGATCCAACAATCAAATCTTTTGTTTTGCAGTATTTTGACGTTGTAATTGTGAATACTTAAAGCTCACTCAATTTTAGAAGCTCCATTTCTAACAGGTATATTTTTGTATATTGGGTAAGCCATTTGAAACGGTTAAATGGAAAGGGTGGAATGAAAAGCCAATCATAAACGTTAATACAAAACTTTATTAAAAAAGTTTATGCTAGAAAAAACGAACAAAAAACAATTCTACAGAAAACTAAACCGAACATGTACATACAATTAACTTACTAAAAAAAGTGTGCAGTGATATCACAAGCTGCCACTTATCACATTATTAAATGAAACCAAAAGTCATTCTGGCGACAAATATAAAACTAAACTTTGTACTACTTTTGAAAAAAAAAATTAGAGAAAATCATCCAGACGGATCAGGACAAAATGAATATCGACAAATAAACTAATTGACGCCGTTGTAAATTAGCAATAGGCAAACGGAATGTAACGAATACTTACCCAACAACCCCAGTTGCATATTGTATAGAGTAACATTATGTAAATTTTTTTACCTAACTATACATACACAAGAAGATGGCCATATTTGAATAAAAAACGTTATTATCGTCATAAATTACGCACTAAGTGAATATATACATACACTTTGTGTATCATAAAAGGGGGCATCTCGTCTCGCTGGAACCCTGTGGTATTTTATACAAACAAAAATTCTCGCATCTTTGGTGAGGTGCACCCTGTGTTCGATAGTCATAGAAACAGCTTCTTTTTTGTCTCTTTAGAAGCAAAGTCGCTACCTTTCCCAATTCACAGCCTTGCTATAAATATTTTACCTTGGGGAAGGTTTCCTCTTTGAAAAATATAACTTCTGCATTTTTTAATAAGAAGTTTTGCTGGCGGAAATACATATATTTGGAGTATAATATAATAGTTTAATTAAAATATTTCTTGGGTATGTGAATTGCACAAAGTTCTGAAATTATTTTTAAAAGTATAACTCAAAATAGTGTGATGTAGATTTTACACATATACTCCGGCTAATACTGAGTTTTTGGTAGACTTAAAAATCCCCTACCGGTATAAAAACTACCTGCACATTTAATTTACAAACAATCCTTACCGATAATATTGTTTATTTATTATCCAACTAGCCTAGCATATATTATTAGGATAAAGTGGGAGATACATAAAGGGTTCAAGGACAACGTTGACTAGAAAAATAATCATCTCTGATGGCCAGCTTAATACAGAGAAACTATATTGTATTCTTTCTAAAAATTTGGCCTACCAGAGGTGGGTAATGATTTGAGATCAGTTAGTACGTAAATTACGTAAGTGAGACATTTTTCTGTTTGCGTTTTCTTTTTATAGAAACTAAGTCAAGAGTAAGAAGATGTGCGCTTATTTGCAGGCAATTTTAGCACTTACACTATGGCACGTACGTTTTTATCATTAATTACAATTTTTGCTCCTGAGCAATCCTCTTCGTTTCAGATGTTTCAAAGCACATTTGGCAGCAGTACATTTGGCAATTCTGTAGTTCCGACCGATACCTTTAAATGTACCCTTCCCAAAAACTTGAACAGTCACCCTCACACGTCTTCCATCTGCTAATTTTTCCGGGCGTCCAAATTTGGCGGTTTCAGGTTCTAGTTCTAGGAGTTCTCTAATTGGCGATTTAGGTACTTTATTAGAAAATTGTTCTATCTCTGCTTTCATCATTCTGTAATACACCCTCCATACGGCGTCCAGTGACATTCCTGAGTCTAGATAAATGGCCCCCGCCACAGATTCAAAAACATCCCCTAGAGCCTTTGGCACTTCAATATCCTCTACTTCTTCGCACTCCGTATCAATAAGATAATGTTCATCGACAATAGTATGGCCACTTTCTTCTTGTAGTCGGACGAATCTTTCTATAACTTCATTTAATCCCGGAGAAAGATGCTTAAAGTATTTATGAAATCCGTGTTTCACCGCTAGAGAAGCGAAAATTGTATTGTTAACTAGAGCCGATCTCAAATCGGTTAAAGCTCCCGGGGAGTGCATTCTGACGTCTTCAAAAAGAGCTTTTGTTATAATGAAATCCAGTAGTGCGTCACCCAGGAATTCCAATCTTTGATAACAGTCAGTCAGCCGATTAGGGGAATAAGAAGCATGCGTGAAGGCTTGCAACAAGTAAGCGCGATCTCTGAACTTATATCCAATATGCTTTTCAAAAGCATCATAACCGTCTAACAACTTCTCTAATTCTTCTTCCGGGTTTGGTATATTCCTTAATAATGGAGATTTTGGAAGATCCAAGTGTCCATAGTTACCATCTTGATCTTTAGGTAAAACTTTGATGCCAAGCCAAGCCATGAACAACAACGCTCCTCTAGACCCACACTCAATCAAATAGGCACCAATCAGAGCTTCCACACAATCTGCTATACTTTTATCAGGAATGCTATGTTGAGTCACCAGGTTGTAAGGGATAATATTTGGAAGAGAGTAAATTCCCCTTTCTCTCACCAACGTACATATTTCATCTATCGTCATATTTCTAGTGGCCGCCATGTCAGCCACGGTCCAACAATTCGCAGGGAATTGCGCATCGATGAGAGCATCTTCCAGCTGTTTTGGAACGTAAAAACAAGGAGGAAGCCAGTTGTCGTGCGGGTCGAATTTTGTCGCCACCATGTATTCGGCTAAATTTTTCAGCTTACCCAACTTGTATAGATTTAAATTGCTGACGTGTTTCGATCGTAAATGGCTTAACTTGCCCTCGTGAATATTTTCATAAGTTTTGTAAAGATAGGTCGTTATCGCGTACTTGAGAAAGGAATCCCCCACAGTCTCTTGCCTTTCCAAGTTAATTCCGTCATTTGCGTTCGACATTGTCAACGCTTGCAAAAGAACATTTGGACTTGGACCAGGGTGCGTGTCTAAATTAGGCTGTTCGTCAAAAGTAAAATTGTGTTGCTCCTCTGATATAAGATAAGTATTAACAAAAGGTTCTCGAGGACTAGACGGCAGCTGATCCGCGTTGATAGAGCCAATCATCAATGAGTCGAAATCGAAATTCTCGGGACATATGGGCAGAATATCCTTCGTCAAATTATTTTGCGATTTTTTTTCGAATTCCTCGCAGTTTTTAATTAAAATCCCGCTCGACCAAATGTATTCCTTATTTCTGAGACACGCTGCTGTAAATTCTTTTCTCAGTCTATCAGTTTCTTGACTGTTATCGTCGACTTGCCAAGCATTCATATCTTCAACAAAAAACAGCTCATCCTCGTTGGACTCGTCATCATCTAATGCTTCAGCTTGATGATCCCCGGTAAATTCAATACGCAATCTGCCCCATTCGTGACTGGATTCTTCCGATTCCATATCGGAATTATCCGACATATCATCAGAAAAGTCATCGTCGTAAGCGTTTCCTTGTAACCAGCTGGTTGGGGAGACATACCTTACCAGACCGCCTAAATCTGCTTGACTAGATTGAGCCATATCATTAGACCACGTTCCAACCACCCATTTGGCATTTGCCGAACTTTCCTCTTCATCCTCTTCCTCCAAACTATTTGAATCAGATTTTACAGGGTCTTCATAATCAACGTTCAAATTGATTATTTTTAGCTCGTCCAGTTTCTCTTCAGCCATTTCCGTCAACAATTTTAACTTCTCTTCTTGTTTCTTCATTTCGTCTTCCCTTGACTTTTTCAAAACATCAGATAAGCTCCATCCAAAATTTAATGGAGTCCACTTAAAGTCTGCCAAACAATAATTCCAATTACCTACAGTTGGATAATTAGAAAATCGTGATAGGTAACTTACCGTCATCCAATTTTGTCTTGCCCAAATTTAAGTGTGACGCAACAATTGTTCTAATTTGATCAGCTAGCAAAAGAGCGTTAATTCTGTAGAGAACGCAAGGTAACGCTACAGCTTTCCTCCACAAAGAGGCTGAAAATGGATGAATGGAACACAGTTCTGGTACAAGAATTTGTTTTTGTTCCAAATTTTCACGCTTAGCCCTTTTAGTTTCCTCGCTGCTCGTAGGCAACGCAACGCCCTTTCGGTTTACATATCTGGGCGTAAGAAAATTAAGGCGGGCTGAAGTGTGATCTACATCCAGCAAATATTGTTCCAGATTCTGTATCTGAATATCATATTTCAATAAATAGTATTGTTCAAACGATTTGTATTCAGAGCCGGGAAAAGCTGATGTTGGATTTAAAAATGAGCAAATTTCAGCTACGTAAAAATATTGTGGTTGGTCTTGATTGCGATACCAGGGCATAACTACTGCATCTTTATAATCGTCAATATTAAATTTGTAATCTTTTCTATCTTCGTCGGGTATCATTTTCGGGACAAAGTGTAGATTATCATAGATAAGATCAATAAAGTCCCAGTCAATGTTAATTCCTTTGTCGGCTAAAATAGACATATTCATCCAACTACAGCAGACGATTTCATTAGATTAAAGCTTACTTTTAATAGTAGGGACTATTAGGTAATTTTTGTCAGACAGTTCAGGTTTAAATAGCATCAGATATTTTTGCAACCTCAGTACGGTAGTAAACGTGTAGTTAACAAATTCTTGAATTTTGTGAGTCTGTTTTTCGTCAACGATGACCTGTTTTGAACAAAGCTGAAGCTCAACTTCAACTTCACCAGACCTTGTAAATATTGGAAAGGCACTTATCTAAAATATATTCAAAATATTAAAGGGTTTTCTCTCATAATTTTCTAAACTAAACGAAATTCGTAGTTGCGAGAGTACTCGCAATATTTCAGAACACAAAGCAAGTTTCCGTCCGTAACTCACATTAATTCAGTAACATAACTAAAATAAATGAGTAGTACAAAAAACATACAAAAATTGAACATTTCTTATTCTTAGTCTCAGTTACCTATTCACCTACAGGATGAAAAGAATTCGTTAGTAAGATGAATACCAACTTATCCGTTATTTTTATTTATATTTGAGGAACTCTAACACTCACAAAAGTTTGGGAGAATAATTCTCTACAGAAAAATAAGGAAAACAGTTCCTAATTTGCCACCAGTATGCCTAACTACGATGGTAGTATTAAAAATGTAATTTTCTTTAAAATGTAAAAAAGAGTTGAGAAAAATACAAGCACACCAGCAAAAAAAAAACTTGGTGGTTATAATTACAGCAACGCGACTCCATCATGGTGGACGCTAACAAAAATCATCTTAAATTATTATAAACAGCAATTAATAAATAAGTAATAATAAGCAATAAACAGTGTACCATATGTAGGAATGGCAGTTTCTCAAAATGTCTCAAATTTGAAGTAAACTATGAGTATATTTTAATTATTTATAAAGGGTGAAATTTGACTTCCTTGGACTGGATGGTTACCATACATTTAGTTCTCCGTCGGCGCTTGTTTGTAAATTTTGAATATTTTTTTATCATACCATATCTGAACATTTTGATTTCGAATGTAGCGAACTAGAAATAAACTATTTTTTATTACTCAACCTTTGGTATTTCCCTGTTGGTTAAAATGCCAAAACCTTGAGGAGACTCCTCAGGCGGGTAAATTTTTCTACCCCTGGTGTTTTGCTCCTCAGGAAGAGGACACGTCAACGTCATAACGATTTGGTAAAAATATGTGGGCTGACCAATGATCGGATGGCAATGCACTAATGCATCCGCCACTTTTTTATAATAATATTGTCTTCTCTTTGTTGTACCTAAAAATGAGAGAGAACTGTCGAAGAGCAATTGAAAAACCATCTCGCAAGCCACCTGGTCTAACTTCGGAAGTTTCATCAAACTCTTCATCAAGAGTGATGTTGTTCCAATCTTCCTCAGCTGGTACAAAATTTTCTTTATTAATCGGTTGCAATTGATTATCCAATTCACCAGCTTTGTGCAAATATTGGCACACCATAAACGCTGCAGCTCTTCGAGACAATAAAGAGTTTGGCATTGGAGGACTGGTTACAACTTGTTTTACAGGAGAATTGATTGGAAGTCTTATATGGCATACATAACTATCACCTATTTTTTCCTCATACCAAATTGGCGTTAAACGGGTAAATGTATCGCTAGGAAGCTTTGCGCAATATTTATTAACGAGTGGAATAGAATTAAACAAAGTTACACTAGGCGACCCTTCCTCTTTTAATGGTTGATAAGGCTTACAACACTTTGAAAAACTATCTGCTAGTTGTTCTTCAGATTTATCAGGTTCAAGACTGGAGCAGCGTTTCAGAAGCGTATTTTCCACCTACAGTTTCATAAAATGGGAACATTGAATATCTGGCAAAATTATTACTTACTTCGTTATATTCAGCTAAACTAGTGACAAATTTTTCTATTTCGTCGTCTTTGGCAAATAATATATAATGGGCTTCAGGTGCTCTAGCTCTAGCTTTACACTGGATGTAACTGTGGAATGTTGTGGGTAAGTCAAATCTTATAACAAGATTGCACTTTGGTAAATCACAGCCTTGTTCAAGCACGGACGTCGAAATTAAAATGTTGCATTCATGACAACGAAACTTTCTCAATACTTCTTCCTGTATTTTATGCTCACGCTCCGCTTCGTGGGGCTCTTTCATTATATCAGCCACTTTTTCAACCGAAAATAAGGCAGATACCCACCAGAAATCGTCATCAAATTGTGAAAGAGTCTGAATTATAATAAAAAAAATGTATATAAACAAGTAGTTCCAATAATACCATAATGCAAATCTCAATTCCTGTTCGGTGAGGGAAATATAGCAAAAGATTTCAGGTCATTTGATTACTCCATTTTTTTAACGCAAAAGTTTTGCAAAAAATAAACGGGGAACCCCATACTTTTTCGATATCACTACCTCAATCTACACGACGTTCTCATGCAGGCGAATATATAGCATTTTTGCAACAGGGAAGATATTAATTTTTTTTGCATGAAGTTAAGCTATAAATGCTTTAATTAATAAATTGTAAAATTTTGTTTAGTATACTAAAAGAAGAACTGTTAAATGATTAACAAACTAATTTTTTTTCTTTTTACATTTTAAATACTTTGTTGGAAGCAGCATATTAAGTAAGCGAATTAAAAAACTTACACATAGTAGCCCAAATAATGCTTTAGCTTTGTACCGATTTTCAACAAAAATAAGAGCACACAGCATATCATCAAACTGTGGTCGATGTTGAAATCTCCTAGGCTTGCCTTTTGTCTTCTTAAAACTGGAGTTATGACCGTCAGATGACTTATCTTCCTCATTCGTCCTAGGCTTTTCCCCAGCAGGTTTAAATTGTCTTAAAACATCTATCAGTTTCATGACTTTCAAGGTAGAGAACTGTTTAATTTTCTCTATTTCACTATCACATTTTTCAAACTCATAGTCACATACAGCCCTAGTGCGGACTAAAGTCGTGGATACAGTGCAGAGTAAAAGATAATGTCTCTCATAAGGTGTTTTCACCTTTAATTTTTCTATTTTAGAAAGCAAGTTCATTGCTGCCCTATCAGCACCCCATGGACCTAAATCTTCCAAAATAGAGAGGTAATCATGCAATAGTTCCAAAGGAGTTATTTTTGGATCAGGAATATCCTTATATTCCTCTAAGAACTCATCTTCATAAATTTCACTAGGGTCATACCTATGTTCTTTAATAAATTCTTCACAATCTTGAACAATTTTTATTAATGCCTCCTGAACTTCAAAGTAATTCAATGTTGTGCACTGAATTATTGATTCACGTGGATGGCAAGATAAACGAACTAGTGTCACTATTTCACTTGAAGTGTCTACAGTGGCATTAAGAAGTTTTTCTAATCTTTGAAATTCTGCTTCTAATCTCTCAGGTTGTAACTCTGAGCCAAGAAGTCCCGTTGTCAATCCCAAAATTCTAGGTTGCTCTTTAGGGATTAAATCATTATATTTGCTCATTATTTGTTTAATCATAATTTGTTTTTTCCCATATAAGCAATCATCAATAACAAGCAGGTTGTAACATTTTAAGTCTAATAAAATATTGCTGCTTATACATATTTCAGCTGTTGTAACAATTACTTGATTTTCTTCGAAATATCTATTAATGTCTTCAAGCGTCTGACTGTCAATATTAACTACACTTAAATCAGTCAAAAATTTTACATGGGATACCATAACATGAACATTTTGTGGGTCTAAAATTAACAGAGCTTTCTTTCTTTGACTGCCGCGCATCTGGTAGGAAAGCTCTTGTAATAATTTCACAACAATAAATGCTTTTGAAGAACTTGTGCTGGAACAGACTATCGTATTTCGTTTTTTTGCAGAATCCAACAATTCAACTTGATATTCTCGGGGGGTGAATGTATGCGTATACACATTTTCATTAATATAGCAAGCCATTTTAAACAATTTTCAGAATTTATAAATATAAAGCAGAAAAATATAGGTTATGTTTTTGTTTGATGAGGTTCGTGAAGGTTATGTCACATTTTTATCCTGTTACTTTACCCGTTTTGCGGCATTATTTCTATAACTGCAAATGATTGTTAGTTTTCCGAACGGCTATTATCACTTGCAACCGATTTTTCGCCTATAATATGATTTTGTTAATAAGGAAACAAAAACTAGCAAAAATTTCTAATAGAAAATTAACGATAAGTCTTGCACATGGATCGTTCGCCCCAAAATGATGAAATAAATTTTCCATCCAATAGCCACAATTTGAGAATTTTGGAAATTATAATGAAACAAATCTATTCAAAATTAGATTTTTTTAGACATGTAATCTCTAGCTCTTCGTTTTTCAAAAAGTAGTTCATATTGCTTGCTTCTTGTGCGTATTGTTTTCCGTGGTCTGTGATCTGATTTTGACGTTTCACAAACAATTGTTTACTTGGGATGTACTTGGTGTATGAGCAATGCCGCGCCTTACTTGTTTTTAAGTTTGCTAGTTTGACTATAACTATTATTTGGACTTGAATCAGCAATAATCGCATAAGCCATGCTAACTAATGTTCCAGCAATAAGAAAGTTTAATTAAAGCAAATATTCCAAGAGGAAGTAATCATTTAAAAAATGGCTGGAACTGATAGGGTTTCTATGAATGATGCCTTATCTAATGTAGAAGTTCTAGATGAATTACCTTTACCGGATGAACAACCTTGCATTGAAGCTCAGCCGTGTTCTGTAGTGTATCAAGCCAATTTTGATACAAATTTTGAAGATAGAAATGGGTTTGTAACTGGTATTGCCAAATACATAGAAGAAGCCACTGTTCATGCTAGTTTGGTAAATTGTTTTCTTATTTACTTTTAATCTAGATTGTTTGATTTTCTCACGATTTAAGAATGAGCTTCTGGATGAAGGACTTGAACATGCCGTGATGCTCTATACTTGGAGGTGTTGTTCTCGTGCAATACCACAGCCAAAATCAAATGAACAACCGAACCGGGTGGAAATATATGAAAAAACAGTTGAAGTTTTGGCCCCGGAAGTTAACAAATTGCTAAATTTTATGTACTTCCAGGTTTGTTGAAATATTATTAGGTTTCTCTGTTGCCTTAGTGTGTTATTCTTAGAGGAAAGCCATTGAGAGATTTTCTCAGGAAGTTAAAAGATTGTGTCATGCTGAAAAGAGAAAAGACTTTGTCTCTGAGGCTTATCTCCTAACATTAGGAAAATTTATTAACATGTTTGCAGTCTTAGATGAATTAAAAAACATGAAATCTAGTGTTAAAAATGATTACTCCACTTATAGAAGGTAAGTTAAGTTGATGAAACCATTGATTTCCTGTTTTGCATTTTAATTTTAGGGCTGCACAATTTTTGAAAGTAATGTCTGATTCTCAAACTTTGCAAGAGTCACAAAATTTATCTATGTTCTTAGCTACACAAAATAAAATTCGTGATACAGTTAAAGAGAATCTAGAGAAAATTACAGGCTATGAAGAATTATTAGCAGATGTAGTAAACATTTGTGTGCATATGTTTGAGACCAAAATGTACTTGACTCCTAGCGAAAAACATATGCTAGTAAAAGTTATGGGTTTTGGTCTGTTTTTAATGGATAGTGAATTGTGCAATATTAACAAATTGGATCAGAAAAAGAAGCTAAGGCTGGATAGGATTGATAGAATATTTAAGGTAAAAAGTTATTTTATTATTTACTTTTGAAATAGTTTTTCTTTTATTGAATAGAACTTGGAAGTAGTGCCATTGTTTGGGGATATGCAAATTGCTCCTTTTAATTACATAAAACGCAGTAAACATTTTGACTCAAGTAAATGGCCTTTATCAAGCAGTCAAACACCATCCCCTCAAGCTGATCTTATGGTTCATTTACCTCAAATCCGTGAGGATCATGTGAAATACATCAGTGAATTAGCACGCTATAGCAATGAAGTTACAACTACATATAAAGAATGTGGCAGTGATACTGAAAATAAAGAAACTGCTGATTTGGCTTTGCGGGGCCTTCAGCTCCTTTCTGAATGGACAAGTGTTGTAACAGAACTTTATTCTTGGAAACTTTTGCATCCCACCGATCATCATCAGAATAAGGAGTGCCCTAAAGAAGCTGAGGAGTATGAAAGGGCAACTAGATATAATTACAGTGATGAAGAGAAATTTGCCCTTATTGAAGTTATAGCAATGATTAAGGGTCTCCAAGTGTTAATGGCTAGAATGGAAACTGTCTTTACAGATGCTATTAGAAGGAATATTTACGCAGAGTTACAAGATTTTGTTCAGGCCAGTCTAAGAGAGCCTTTAAGGAAAGCTATCAAGAATAAAAAGGATCTAATAAGAAGGTACCCTTTTTTTTTTTCGGCAATTTGTTTTACTTGCACCATCTTTGTTTTGCAGTATTATAATGTCAGTTAGGGAGACATGTGCTGATTGGTCTAGAGGTTTTGACCCACTGCAGGATCCGGCCTTAAAAGGCAAAAAAGATCCTGAATCTGGTTTTAATTTGAAAGTTCCTAGAAGGAATGTCGGTTCGTGTGCAATTGATTAATTATTTTATTGTTTGTTTATTTGTTATTAAAATTCTAGGTCCATCTTCTACTCAGTTATACATGGTAAGAACCATGCTTGAATGTCTAATATCAGAAAAATCGGGAGGTAAAAAGACACTGCGGAAAGATATAGATGGTTCTTACTTGGTACAAATTGATCAGTTTCATAAGACGTCTTTTAATTGGAATTATTTATTAAGCTTTAGTGGTAAGTGTAAGTTAATAAGTTAAAGCACTTGGTTTAAGTCCCTAATTCTTTACAGAATACCTTCAGAAGTGTTGCGACTTGTCACAATTGTGGTATCGCGAGTTTTATCTAGAGATGACTATGGGAAGAAGAATAAATGTAAGACAATTTATTTTGCTAATAATAAAGTGTAGCTTGTTTCTTTTTTGAGAGGGAGTGTGTAGCTAGGGAATACTTAACTATACCTACAATTTGCAGGCAATTTAATTTTGAAATCATAGTAAATCGCTGTGCGATTTGATTTAATTTTTAAAAAATAAAATTGTAATAGAAAAATACTGATTGGTTTCTTCAATTATGACTAACCACTATGAAACAAATCTCAATATGGCTAGCTTTCCAATGTTTTTTATTTAGAAATGCACCGTAAGGCATCATCACAATGAAGAATGTAATGACCTTATTACGATGGAAAAGAGAATTCAGTTTCCAATCGACATGTCCATGCCGTGGATTTTAACGGATCATATTTTAAAAACTAAAGAACCTTCAATGATGGAGTGAGTTTTTTTTTTAAATAAATATTAACACTTCGTTAACAATTCTACTCTAGATACGTGTTGTATCCTTTGGATCTGTATAACGACAGCGCCCTTTATGCGTTAACAATATTTAGGAAACAATTTTTGTATGATGAAGTGGAAGCCGAGGTGAATCTCTGCTTCGATCAGTTCGTTTATAAGCTCAGTGAGCAAATCTTTGCTTATTACAAGCAACTCGCTGCCAGGTGACTTTTTCTAATGAAAACATCGTTTCCAACGTTAATTTTTTCTTTTAGTATATTTTTAGACAAACGCTTTAGAGTCGAATGCTCCGCAATTGGGGCATACTTGTTGCCTTATCCTAGGGCAAACAGATACGAAACTTTATTGAAACAAAGGCACGTGCAATTATTGGGCCGTTCTATCGATTTAAATAAACTTATTACACAACGAATTAATGCGGACATGCAAAAATCTTTAGATCTCGCGATTAGTAAATTTGAAGCTGGCGATATAACGGGTGTTGTGGAACTTGACGGTCTGCTGCAAGTGAGACTAGAATAATTATTTTATGTTATCGAGGGCTCGCTTAACTGTGTTCAATATAGGTAAACCGATTGTGTCACAAATTACTGAGCAAGTGGCTTGCATTAGATGATTTTGACTCCATGTACAGAGAAGCAAATCACAATGTTCTCGCGCCTTATGGTAGAATTACGTTACACGTTTTTTGGGAATTGAACTATGACTTCCTGCCTAATTACGTTTATAACGCTGCCACTAATAGGTAATTAAATTAAATTGATTTGCTTATGCTTTTATAAGTACTTTTGAACTTTTAGATTTACAAAATATAGAGGAATCGCTTTCACCCAAGTCGTTTCTAGGGACAGACCACCTCAGATGTCACATCATTATCTTTGGGGTACTAAACAATTGAATTTAGCGTACACCACCCAATATAGTCAATATTCCGGTAATTTTATAATGATAACACGCTGTAATATGAAAATGGACACAATCAGTAATCAAATTGACGTCCATATTCATATCAGCGCCTAAATTGCAGCTTCAGTTGTTTCTGCAGGTTTCGTTGGGCCTCAACACTTTCATACAATGTGCAAACTGCTAGGCTACCAAGGCATTGCAGTTGTTATGGAAGAATTACTGAAAATCGTCAAGAGTCTTATCCAGGGAAGTTTGTTGCAATTCACGAAAACTTTAATGGAAGCCATGCCAAAAATTTGCAAGCTACCTAGATATGACTACGGTTCTCCAGGTGTATTAGGTTACTATCACGCCCAGTTAAATGATATTGTTCAGTATCCCGACGCGAGAACGGAACTGTTCCACAATTTCCGCGAATTCGGCAACATCATTCTATTTTGTTTGTTAATGGAGCAAGCGTTGTCACAAGAGGAAGTGTGCGATCTGTTACAAGCGGCTCCATTCCAAAATATCCTGCCTAGGCCTTTTTGTAAAGGTAAGTGGGAGTCGTTATGCGACGAAATCGAATGTACACGCGATATTTTAGAAGGTGAGAAACTTGAAACGAAACAAAAAAGACTGGAAGCGAAGTATGCCGCATTGCAAATAGTACCTAATATTGAAAAACTCGGTACCGCGAAACAAGCGATGATTTCGCGCGAAGGCGATCTTTTAACGAGAGAACGCTTGTGTTGCGGTCTGTCGATTTTCGAAGTGGTTCTAAACAGACTACGCAGTTTCTTGGACGATCCAGTATGGGTGGGACCTCCACCCACCAATGGCGTGATGAATGTGGATGAGTGTACTGAATTTCATCGATTGTGGTCAGCGTTACAGTTCGTGTACTGTATCCCAGTTAGTGAAAACGAATATACAGTCGAGTACGCATTATTCTTGTATTTAGTTTTTATCTGAATCTTTTTTTTTGAAGGGAAATGTTCGGTGAAGGACTTCATTGGGCGGGTTGTACTATGATCGTTTTGCTAGGCCAACAACGTCGATTTGAAGCTCTCGACTTTTGTTATCACATTTTAAGAGTGCAAAGAGTGGATATGAAAGATGAACTGGTTAAGAGAATTGTACGTGTGAAAAACTAATAAAATCCTGCGATTTTCTCTCAGTGCTCATTTTGTTGTAGAATTTGAAGAGGATGTGTGACAGAATTCGTCGGTTTCAAGTCCTGAACTCCCAAATTTTTGCCGTTTTAAATAAATTTTTAAAGTCCGGTGAAAATGACGAACTATCCGTGGAACATGTGAGATGTTTTCCACCACCGATCCATGCTTCATTGAACCCCCAACCCCAACACTATCATGCTCCAGAACATTTGAGACAGTGTTAAAGGACCGTGTCTCCTGTTACCCATGCTTTTTTATTTCTATAAAAAAAATAGACTTATAATTTATTTATATTAAGTTCTAACATAACACATTTTTATAATGATAATTGTCTTTTAAACTTTTATAGTCTTTTATAATGCATTAGGCGCTAAGTTATAATTTATAAAGTGTATTTCACGAGTATGTGTGTATATATATATATGATTCTTATCAAGTACCGATTAATATAAAGTTTGTATATTTGGTGAACTTTTTATTCCTTCATTGAACCCTCATCTGCATGACTAGCAGACACAACAACAATTCAGACAGTGTTGTGACTCTCCTTGTAAAACATTTAATAAAAATTAAAGTTCGTAAGCGATTTAAACAAAAGTAAAGCTAAATTGCTGAGGTGGTGGATGCGCGTTTCTTTTTTTCTGTACTGGCGAATGCGCCAGAATTGTAATTTGTGATTATTTTAAATTGAGTAACAACAAAACAAAATCGTTTGTAAAATTGAAAAATACACAAATTAAATAATTGTTGGCTGAAAATAAATAAAAATCACCAGTACAATAAAAATCGGATAATGATTTTGTCTCTAGCTTTCGGCAACCCTCACCGCACATAGTTTTTCAGTTAAGGACAATAATTATAGAGCAAAAATTATTAAAAACCCACGTACTTTCGTGCAACATTATAAGACATTTTATAGGTATTAAAATCCGCAGCTGATGTAAACAAATCAAGATTAATTTGCTTCAATTTATTGATGCAGTACTGTGATGGCGGATGCGATCAATTTTTTTTGAATCATTGGCAAGACTTGTAATTTCAAATCAGTTGGCATTAAAAGAATAGAGTTCGTAAATTTTATTAACAAGCAAGTTACGTATCAATTGTTCTTGACTAAAAACATATAAAAATAACAAAGATATAGATCTAAAAAAGTTTAAATTTGTAAAAAATTATGGGCAACCCCCACTGTGATTGTGATTTTCGTTTTCCTTGTTCTTGTTTTCTAGTTAAGAATATAAATTGTAAAACGTTTAAAAAAAAAACTTTACTAATGGGTCTCTTTATCAAATAAAAATACTGTAAATTAAATTCAGGGTCATTATTCTTCAATAATGCAAAAATGGTTTAAGAAAAATAAACCCAACGGTTCAAACGCCAAAAGATTTTCAACCTGCGCGTACATGTTAATCGTTCATTTTATTTTTTCGGTAAGCTCAGGGATACCGATTCGTTTTGCTACGTCAGCAATGCATGTTGTTATTATTAAAAGAGTGCATGAAAGATGAAATTAAAAGGAAACAATAAATAAATCCACACAAACAAATTTGCCTTTTCTATAATTTTCTTTCTCAAATTTGATTTACCAGTCACTAAAAAAAATTTGTCGACTTGCGCTCGTCAGGCCATTCAAATACATTTTCGAAGCTTACTACCAGGAGAACATAAAGTCGAAGAGGTATCGAAAAATTACGGAAGCCGTGACTAATCTAGCGCCTTGCATTAACCATGGTAACAGAATTTACCATTTTTAATCTAAGGTCCGCGCCCTCTAAGATAAAGTAATAGGACGAGATGCTAATTGTAATGTAATTGTTCCCTAGATGGCGCTGACAACTGGGATAGCGCATGCTTTCAGTGCTTCAATGTGGTAATCTACGACAAAAGTCACAAAATACAAAAAGCCCGTAATTTAGTACTCTGTGACTACGATGTTATAAATTTTATTCAAATAAATGCGCGCTAAATTTCCATATTAGCTTTGGTATCACCCTTATTTAATCATATAGACTTCCTTGGGCCTTTCATACAATGTGCAGACTACTAGGCCATCAAGGCATTAATATGGATGAGTTATTAAAAATTAATTTGAGGTAGATGTGTTATTTTGCAATGGAATTAATTTTCCAAGAAGGTATTTTAGAAGAACTTGAAATGAAAAAAAAAGACTGGAATCAAAGTATGCCATGCCGCATTGCAAATATTGTAAAACTCGGCACCTCAAAACATGGGAGTTTTAGCCTCTCCGGTATTGGTAAAAAAACGGAGGTAATTTTACCATGGAAGGTTTCATATGATTGTTCTGCTTAATAGGTATATAGCAGAGCTTATGAAAAAATGGTCCAAACGAAGAAATAAGAACCAGAGCACCTATAAAAATTCGGCTCTTAATTAATATATATATTTAAATTTATTTTTGTTTATAAATTTATTCTTAGTCTCCAACTTATAGAAGAATACAAACATTTCAGAAAATAGGGAAGTGTGCTTGTCATTATTGTGAAGATATAGAGAGAATGGAATGGGATGGTCCCCTCCCTATATGTCGATTAAATTTGTTTGGAACTGCACGCTGTTTTTATTCTAAAGATCCATCAATTTAAAGTTGGCGCTCTGATTTTCTTGCGTCAGCTTAGGTACAGATTTTCAATATAAATATGATTTCAGGACCAGATCCATTAACAGTTGAAGCAGCAAATATGTTTCGCATTTCTAAAGAAAATTTCAGAATGAAAATAAAGTATTCTGCTAAAGAATAGTTTCGTTTAATGTTTAATTTTGTGTTAATTATACAATATATAATAAATGTGATACTTTAGTTAAACATATTAAGTAGCGTTTTTATGTATTTCAATTATATGGCATTTCCTATTCCCAAAAAGCGTGTTTAATGCTATCGTTACGCCTTTTATGTAAATAGTTATTTAAAGAGAATTAATTGCAGCCTTGACTTAATTTCTTTGTGCGTTGTGTTGCGATAGTGTAATTAATTTTGTTTAAAACTTTTGGCAACCCTTATTGGGTGTAATTGTGATTTTCGTTTGTCTTGTTCATGTTTTCTAGTTAATAACAATAAACGTAAAATAGTTTTTTAAAACATTGCTTACTATTATGTTTGCGCATATTAAATTCAGGAGGATTATTCTCCAATAACTCAAAAACTGTTCAAGGATCGTTAAACCAAACTAGGTTCACATTTTAAAAGATTGTCAACGTGAGCGCTCAAATCTCCTTTTTAAAATCTTATAAAACATCTCATAAAAATAATCCCATCGTTTCTTCATGTTAATCGTTAATTTGATTTTTGGGTCAATCACCGTTCAGCGATCCGAGTGGAGAGAATATACGATTCGTCAACATCGATTCCAATCACTCGATTTTTATTATAAGACTGCTCTCGCATGGCGGATGGAATCATTAAAAGGATTTTACGTTTGGAAAACGAATCAAATCTTATGATTTCTTAGCGTCCATTTAGTTGTATAATTTGAAGATAATATGTGCAAAATAAGTCCACGGATTCAAGTTTAATCATCACTTCACGACCTTTATTTAACCAGCCTTTACTTATATCACAATTAGAAAAAACAAATGTTAAAACGTGGCGATTGGAAATCACTAAAAAATTTTGCTGATTGCGCTTGTCTGGTTCAAATCCATTTTCGAATCGTACCACCAGGAGGACAAAAAGTCAAAGAGGTATCGAAAAATTTTCAGAAGCAGAGGCTAGTTCAGCTTATTAACTATGGTCACAGAACTAACCTTATTTATTCTAATCTCAGCGCCCTCTAGTGCAAAGGACTAAAACTTAAAGCTAATTGTTTACGTTTGGGCCCCATGGATGGCGCCAACAATTGGAATAGATTATGCTTTCATTGCTACAGCACTGTGGTAATCTGTGTTGCCTGATCAAGCTGTAATATTTTTGATTATTGAGGAATATTACGTTTTTATTTCCAATTTATTCTTATCCTTCTGATGAATCGGTCTTCTATGTGGCTATCCCAAATTCCAAAAATTAGAGTTGTAAGACCATGTTCTCATTGACGTTAGGCTAGTTTTATTTTTCGCAATTTTTGCACTATTGGAAAATAATCCGCCTGAATTTATTTTGCAGTATTTTTTTTTAGAAAAATATGCTATACAGTTCTTAACTAGAAAAACGAACATGAAAAACAAAAATCTATAGTTAAAATTTTGCAATGGGGGTTGCCGAAAGTAATAGATGTTTAATAGGTCCCTGATTCTTATTTGTTTTTAGTCAAGAACAATTATTATGTAACTTGCTTGTTTATAAAATAAACAAACTCTACTGTTTTATTGTTTACTAATTTAAAATTGCTGCAAATTTCAATTGTGCCGCATCCGCCAATAGTTAAAATAAGGGCATCTACCGTCACAACACACCTCATCAACAAATTGGAACAGATTGCTTTTTAATTGTGTTTAGATTGGTTGCTTACTTTCTTATAAAATATTTTATAATTTTCCATACAGAAGAGTTTTAAGCTTATGTTGGCAATCTTGTGGCATTACACATTATGTTTGTTTTATTTTTTACAGAAAATTTTTAAATTATTGTAAAATACTGCAGAGGAGTTTAATGTGCCATAGTGAAACACTATGGCATGTAACTTTTTGAAAACTTGTGCTATAGAAGTATTATACTAAAGTAAACACAAGAACAATGATCGGGAGAAACATAGAGGGCAATAAAAGATTTATTGTTGATCTTTTTTAATCTAATTAAGTAATTAATAAATTATATACCAAATATACTTGCGTAATTTTACATTATGTATTACTTCTGATGAAATTTCTGACAATTCGGAATGAGGGCCAACACAGAAAAATTAGTAAAATAAATGTCTTCTTAATGTCGGAAATAAATTCTGAGCAATAAGCCCAAATAACCACATCAAAAAAATTGAATCTCGATCATAGGAAAATATCTAGGTACAATGCCAACTTTGATATAGTGGGGCCTCTAAAAATAGCTGCCGTGGTTAATATCGCTCCCAGTCACACTGTTAACCTGCAGCTAAAAGTAGATACACAAAAAAGCGTCTAACTATGCTATTTGTAAATAGTGCACCTGTTTCTGTTATATTCATCGTTTTACAATATCCGGAAATTATAAAATGTTCCTTGCAAGGCGAAGAGTAAGTTTCGTACTTTAATGTCAATTCGTTAAACAAAATATAAATTTCGTTTAAAGAGTAGCGAAATGGGCAAATACCATCGGCGATCAGTTGTGGATGCTTGGAAGAGAAGTGACCAAAATAGCGGAAATAGGCCAGGTATGAAATGAAAACTGAGGAAATAAACATATTTTGAAGTTTTCCCAAAATAGAAATATGGACATTTGAATGCCGGAGTACATGCAACTGATCCAACCACCTTGCTCGCTGAAATAAAAGAAAATATTCTACGTATGATGGATAGAAAAATGGACGCAATTAGGGTAACGCGCCAGTAATCCCATATTTCGTGAATGTATGTGTGTGTGTAATATATTTTTAGTGCATCCAGCAAAAAGCGGAAGCTACTGCTGAAGTGGCGGAATTTCTAGCGGATAAGCCTTATACTTATTACAGCTCCAAATACTCACCTCTGGTGGTTTCGGGGGTAAACGGAACTAAAGAAATAAAATTGCCTAAATCGTTGAAGAAAAATGTTCAAATGTATTTAACAATGCATCTAAACAACGATACCCATTTTTATAATCTTCCTGTGAATACAAGCCATAGTTCTGTACATGTACCGACTAATGTCTATGATAAAGGTGCGTGGACCAATATTTAAGGATATATATCTGGTTTTGCAGGGAAACGAAATATAACCAAATTAAACCAGTGTCGGTTTGCTGCTAGAACGCATGTGGTTTATTGTCACAAAAACCAGCACGCCACGTTGCGATGCATTTTTTTTTAGAATGTTAGAAAACATTTCATCAGAATTAAAATCCGCATGCAATCTAAACAAAATCGAAAACTAATTTGTTTTATTTACAGTTTATACCGTGTTATCGCTAACCAATATCAAATTGCTGCAAATTACAATTCTGGCGCATTCGCGAAGATTGGATAAAAAATGCGCACCTCCATCATCACAACACGACGAACCAACAAATTGAACTAATTCGTTTTCGATTATACTTAGATTGCTTGCGAACTGTACAATACCATAAAAATAGTTACGTTGGCAATCTTGGCAATATGTTCAGCTTTTCGTTAGCAATTTTTCCATTACTACTAATAATAATGCGCCTAAATTTAATTTATGCGATTTTTATTTAATAAATTTAATAATGAAACACCATAGTACCTAACTTAAAAAAATGTGCTACGCAGTTATTGTTCTGAACTAGAAAACAAGAAGGAAAACGAAGATAATAATAAAAATTTGGTTTCAACTAAGACTACGGACCTTACTTAATAATATTTACAAACTCTCTTGTTGCTAAATTAGGCATGCAACAGAAACTTTGACTCCTATAAAATGTTTTACACCATGATTATTTTATCAGACGACATGAACTAAGGTAAGTTATAAGGCTTAACACAAGCAAGAAAATTATAAATTTAAATTGTTTCACTGGCATAGTGACAATTTTATGTTTTAATTAATAGCGACCAATTATTGTTACACTGTTTAGACATTTACCTGAATGAAAAATTTTTTGAAGTAGAAGTCGATCTTCGCCAGGAGCAGAGTTAGCTTGATTAGTATTTTATTATTAAAGCCATCAACAATTTTTAAAATTTATGTTATTTGAAAAAAAAATGGAATATATTTCAAAGCAAGAACCCGTTAAAGCTTTTTTGAAACTTTAAAAAAAGCAATTCTGTTTGTAGAAAATGCAACTGCTGCTGCGATACAATGGTCCGAAGAATTGGATAGTGTCTTCGCGCAAAATTATAAATCAGATCCTGCTTTGTATTGGCAATACTTCGGCAGCTCTACTGGGTTTATGAGGCATTATCCAGGTATAACTAGACAACTTTTAGTGTTCGACTTGTACTTATATTCTGACTTTTAGCTATGCATTGGCTGGAACATAAAAAAGAGATACGAACTCTATTTGACTGCCGCATTCGCACTTGGTTTATCGAAGCAGCTACTTGCACAAAGGACGTTGTCATTCTGATGGACAATTCAGGTTCAATGGATGGTACAACGGTAGGTTTTAGTTAGAAATCTCGGGCATCAAAAATTGATTAATTTTTCAGGAATGGGGAAACATATCGGCTCACTGACAGCGTTTAGCATTTTAGATACATTTTCTAATAACGATTACGTCAATGTATTGAACTATTCAGAAACTACCAATTACATAGTGCCTTGTTTTGCTGAACAACTCGTCCAAGCGACCAAAGAGAACATAAACATATTCAAACAAGCAATCGAAAAATTGGAGCCCAACGGAAAAACTTACGTTGAGCAAGCTCTTGTAATAGCGTTCGATATTTTAAATAACGTATGTTTTTCGATGAATACGTTCTGCGGACTCTTTAAGTCTCTTATTTTAGTACAGAGACATTCGAGGATGCAACAATGAAAATAGCACGAACTGCAATCAGGCGATCATGATTATAACCGACGGTGTGAACGCAAATTATAGCGATACAGTGCTGAAATTAAATTACCTGTTTAATGGCACGAATATACCTGTTCGGATATTTACTTATCTTATCGGGAAAGAAGTTACTAATGTGGAAGAAATTAAATGGATGTCTTGTGCAAACAGAGGTATTTAATTGGAAAAAGAGGTGCATGCAAATATGGGAGTTCAAACTTTTTTCAGGATATTATACCCACGTTCAAACGTTAGAACAAGTAACTGCTTCCGTTCTACAATATATCTACGTAGTGGCGCGCCCTTTGGTACTACAAGAAGAGGATCATCCGGTATCGTGGACTCATGCATACGCGGATGTGACGGTATTTGTAATGTATGATTACAGAGTGTCTCAAGAGAAAATTTAACTTTATTCCTAGTACGACGACGCTACAGATACCACAATTAATGAACCGTATAGACTCTTAACATCAGCCGCGATACCGTGCTTTGACACTAAAATAAATAAAATGAACGATACCAGAACCGCTGAGTTGCTGGGAGTTGCAGGAACGGATGTACCTATAGATGAATTCAGGAAATTAACTACTCCATACAAGGTACAAAAAATTTTGCATTAAGAGACAATCAGAACCAAAAAAAAATAATTTTTAGATTGGCGTCAACGCTTACGCTTTTATAGTTACCAATAATGGGTACGTTTTGATGCACCCCGATTTGCGTCCAGTGGTAAGTTAATTAATATTACCGTTTAGCTGTGCGTGCAATAATCGTGAAGTAGTTCGAAGGTATATTAAAGGAAAATTACAACAGCATAGATTTAACTGAAGTTGAACAGCTAGACGAAGACCTACCTCCTAGAGAAATCAGTGAAACTCTCTTAAAACTTCGATTTGCTTTAGTCAATGGTTCGGAAGGAAGTATGCACGACATTAAAATTAAATACCATTATGACGACTATAAAAGAACCGCGGAAGAAATTTACGATTATTATTTTGCTCCATTAGAAGGCACTCCTTTTTCGATTGCCATCGCGATACCAAATAACTACGGCAATTATTCCCTAAAAGTAGGTAATCAAATCGGTACCAACAGGTTTACGGGGGTAGATTTGACTTCGTTTTTCAAGGGAAAATGGAAAATACACCCTAAATGGTAGGTACTTAATCCATTTCTACGCGATTATGAATTCTGCATAATGAGCTGGTTTTAGGGTTTACTGCAAGTACCATTATTTAGAAGGTCACGAGTTCGCTACCGCCGAACAAGAACTGCTGCATTTTCTAGGAAAAATATACGATAGAGATTTCAAATGGGAGAAACAATACGAGGCAATGGAAACCGAGGATATAAATCAAAGTGATTTAATCGCTTCATTAATTTTTATACTTACCGTCATTACATTTATTTCAGTCGAGTGTGGAAGAAAAACTCTCGATGATGACGATTATTATTGCGACGAGCAGCTAATGCAGAGGCTCATCTTCGATGCCAAAAATACTTACGAACCTTTCAACGAAAAATGGACGTTTCAGTCCCAAGCTGAGGAAGATCTTTTCCGAGATTTTAGAGTGTCTCTGAGATTTATTGCGACCATGAGCGGCCTTACTCGATGGGATATCTTCAACGAATCTGTAAATGATACCAGTAGTAAAACGAAAACCAAGTAAATTTAAATCTCGTTGTCGTTTTATGGTATTATGATCGTCTTTGCTTTTAGAGAATTCGGAGATTTACATCCGAGAGCCATCGACGAAAAATGGTATAAAAGTGCCGTGTTGCAACATCAGTTTGATACTGAATCTTTCGTATATTCTGTGCCGTTTGATTCCGCGATGACTAGCAATGACATTTTAGTGACCGGAAGCTACGCAATATTTGTTAAAGATGCCGGAATTGAAGCGCCCGGATCTGTAGTTGGTTTCCAGTTTCATCACAAAAGTTTCACCAACAAGGTGAACGAAATTACTGACAAATTATCGGTATATACTACAAAAATTATTAAAAAACAAAGTGGGTTTCTATTGGTGCAAATTTTAGAATCAGTGTTCGCATTGTGACAAGTGCAGGGGAAATCTGGCATGTTACATTATCGATAATTCCGGGTATATTCTAGTATCGGAAAAGGTAGCCAACGTGGGAAAGTTTTTCGGGGAAATCGAGGGCGATATTCTAGCTTCTATGTTAAAACAAAATATTTTTAAAATGAAAACGTTGTATGATTATCAGGCCTTGTGTAGAGAAGAAACTGAACCAACCCCTAGTCTGGGAATACAGAATGTAAACTAAGTAATCACTAATTTTCGATACATTTTTATATAAATTGTACATTGTTTTAGTCATTTTATCCGTTTGCTCAAATCGGAAGCAAAATTTTAAAAGCAATAGTTTATATAGTAGGTCAAATAAATCTTCAACACATATTTAATCCCATATTCACATTAGCTCAAGATATGTACGAAGATATGGAAGGTAACTTGACCTTTCACGGGAAACGCGGAGATTAAAATAGTCATTCTATATATAGGTGCCTTTGCGTCCAATATGTCCGATATTGAGAGCGATGATGACGATGATGAAGGGGAAGATTACGACTCGGACGCGGAAAAAATCGCCAAACTGTTTTACCCTTGCGAAACAAAAGTTAATCTCTTTATGTTACAACAAATGTTATTTATCAAAGATAATTTTCATGGCGAAGTAACAGACACAGATAGGTGAACCCACCAACTATCCCACAATATATCAAATTCATTTATCGCCATTTCAGACCATACTATATTCAAAGAATTCCTAACAGTAATCTTGCGTTTATCGCTATAGAAAACAAAAGTCCTACCATTAACAAGATAACTTACACCACAGAACCTCAAAGGATATCAAACGCACCAGTTTTTACGTCGGAAGAAATGAATAGCACATTATTGGCTTGTCACAAATTGTATTTGAATTCGTTATATCGCAGAAGACTCGCGGGTTGCTACAACGAACATCCCCTAGTAATTTATAAGTATTTTCTAATTACATACAAATAGGATTAATATTGTATTTTAGGAGCATGAAATTCAAGCCTGCGGCAAGTCAACAACTCTCGTAAAAAATTCTTTCATTCTACTTGTAACGTTATGCTATATCAACCTTTAAATATTAAAATAAAAAATATTTTCGCACAGAAGTCAACAGCAAGTCAAACGAAGAGTCTCGAAAGGAAAATTAAACAGCCGCGAGGGATGGGAATATCGAAGTCAGATCTTGTGTTTGGTTTGTTAGTTTTCCTTTTCAAACATTAAAAAAAGTGGTTAACTATGTTCCACAATGAATTTTACTTTTACAATTAAAGATTATATACATTGAAAATGTGTTTTAATTGAGGATTAATTATAATCTACTTGGGATTCCGGTAATTTCATGTTATATAAGATGTAGGTTACAGTATTTTTTTCAAAAATATTTTGAATCCGATTGATCCGTGGACAACCAATGACAAGTAAGTAACCCTTCGTCTCTTTTCATTTGTCAAAAAATGTGAAACGTAAACAATTAAATGAGGTTATGTTTTTTGTACATTTAGCAAGAGAAACAAAAATTTACAATTAAACGTAATGGGAGATGATCCTAAAAAAGGTGAACCTAGCAGCATTTTTCATGGTCTTGTAGTACTCACAGCTCCATTGTTTATGTTTTTCAGTTATACCACCTGGCTGGAACGACCCTCCAATGTTGAATTACAATCCTACAAATCCACCTCCCAAATCCAGGATATCTAATAAACGGGTAGCATTTCCTTTAACCACAACAGCGAATCAGAGGGCAACAGCATCTGAAGTGCCAGTGTGTCATCCATGTAATAATGATATATTGTTAAAAACTAGAAACAATTTTGATCAAATACTGCTTGAAGTGAATGACGAAAATATTAGAGGAAATATAAAGGAACTTATATTGGTTTGGGAACAAGGAAAATTTCCTGTCACTATCCAAGAAACATTGCACCTAATGTCTCATAATTTATTGGAAAAAAATGTAGCAAAAGCCAAGGAATTGCACTTAAAGCTTGTGATGGATAACGCACTGAGTTGTAGCTCGCATTTATCAGTGCTGCAGCAACTAATAAATTGTTTTGGTTGAAGGATTTTTTTCTTAAATGTGTTTTTTGAGTTGGAGAATGAGGAGGAAATAAAATTTAAGAAAACTATTTTACTATAGTTTTTATTAATCAACTATAATAATTTTTAAATAAGCATAGACCAGTGACCAAACTAATATCTATTTGATTTCAAATTTCCCTAAACAATATTTTAGTGTCTTATATAAATTAAATATTAACTTTGGATCAAATATATGTCAAATTTTGTGATTGGTCATGTCTGTGAACACTATTTGTTGTAAGCCTATCATTGTGCAACTTAATCTTACGGAAAAAATCGTTTTACATAACAATCACAGAATCTGATTGGACAACCATTTACCTATAGAAGAGAATTCCTATTATCATCAAGAGGTAGAAGTGACTTAATAATTTCGCGGATCAAATACAGAACATCAAAATGTCCAGTCAGATTTCAGCATATCATAAAAACATTTAATATCACATATTATTTAGAATTTCATTTATATACAAAGGTGCACTTGTGTAAAATGAAAATGGTTTAATATTTTTATTATAGAAATCAGTTTATGGGTGGCTTTAATATAATGCATAAAACAAGCAATGCTGCGTTAAGATCATCAAAACCAATAATTGTTGCTGCTGTAAGTGTTATTTATCAGAACGGATTTTGTTATAAAAAATAAAGTTAAATAAAAGTTAAAATACAATTTTCTTGACCGATGGTGGATGCACACGTTTTTGAAATTTCTTAGGTGCATAGAGTCCAAACGCTGTAACAACCCTATGTCACTAATGAATGCTGCGAAGACCTATATGAATCATATATATCATATCATATTAAAAATTGTACATTGGTGCCGTTTGGAATTGCAACATAAATATATTTATAACAATACAATGGTGTTAAACTTACAGCGATTTGATTTTTTAATATCTATGTGCAAAAACTTCCCCTAAGCCTACAGCTAAGCGCTTTAAACTACAACGCTTCTTCTACTTGATTTTTGGTCAGGAATATATTGCTCTAAATCTTCAGGCTGTGCATTTAATGCAGAATAATCTACAGGAAACATTGCTGAAGGCTGTTCAGCTGGTGGGGCTCCTAGTATGTAGTGCCCTGAACCATTTGGGTACCTTCCCAATAAATAATTAGAAAAACACAAACGAAATGATCTATAATGAAGTGGATGATCGCCATTCTGGAAAAAAAATCATAAAATATATTTCTATAGATATATAACTGACCCACTGAAGTCATAGCTTGGTAAGCAATATCCAATAGTTCTCCTACTTTCACTGTGTTTAGACAAAGGACTGATGAATAAAAACAAGCCAGCTCATCTCTTGTAATGATACCAGTCCCTATAATAAAATTTACTGATTGCTTATTTTCCTTTCTCTTTTATAACTGCTCCATACCTCCTTTATTGATCACTTGAAACAGTACTTTGACAAAAAACTGTAGCCAAATTGGAAAATCATTAAGAGTTCGGGATCCTTTTATTAATTCTGCCCATGTGTGTAACCATCCCTCTTTGGTAATATAATTTAAGTTATGAAGTTCAAAGCCTAAAAATTAACACTGAATGAATGGGTTGTATGTACTTTTATCACATGTGCCTTTAATAGAAGTATTTTATAACATAAACAAAAAAAACATTTGCTTGTGTGTAAAACAGGGTGTATTGAAATAAACAAAAACAGTTTTCTTAAAAAAAAAAAAAAAACATACAACTTAACTATAATTACCCTACCAAACTTTTCATCTGATATGTCTGTTAAAAATGATGATATAAAACCTCTTTCAACTTCCCTTAAAATGTTAAATTCTGGTGAATTTACTGACCAATCAGCAAAATGCCTTAATCTCTATGAATGTCCAAAGCAGCATAAAAAAATATATTATTAGGTTCTTATAAGCACATGACCAATGCAGTTTAATAAGAGGTACCACTACATTAAGTAATTTTTTCCATTAGGCAATTACTATTACTTGAATGCTTGACATAGTAAAACAAATTAACTCTAAAATGTATACCTCTATTAATGACTCAAAATCTTGTTCACAAACTAGATTATCTTGATCATGATCCAATAAATAGCTAAAAAAGTGTGACAGTTTATGTTTCTGTATGGGTGTCAATGTGTAAGAATCCTTATGCTCATCTGGTGATTCAATACTGAACCTGTCTACCCAGGTAGCTTAAAAATAACAACAATAATTAAATTCCAATCAGTTCATAGTAAGCTATAACTTACTCCATATATGAACACTCCATCCACTCTCCCTGTAACTATCACTTTTTAGACTATCATCCTCAGCTTTAGGAACATTTAAAGCTTCTATTTCTGGCAGTGTTCTCCATCTTTTTAACAAATCCTTTGTCTTATCTTTCGTCTTGTCACAAGCTTGTCTCCAATTTGAAATTATTTTTTGAGGCACTTTAAGTGAAGCGTCTCCATGAATTTTTTGATTGTCAGTCTCATGTTGTAGGGATTCGGTTTTAAACTGGATGCTACCCTTCTTTAGGCTCCCTCCAGAACTTGATTTGTCTAAACTTTTTGTACTTTTTAGACTGGAGTGTGAAGTACCCAAGTTGATACTGTTGTCTCTACTACACTTGCCTGTTGTTTCATCAACAGAATTACTATCCATTATTGCCTATTATATTAACATTGCAGAGGGTATACACTCTCATTTCTATATACATAATTGGGCACAAACATTGATTATTTGTCCTTTCTTTTCCATTATTGATATTAAGTATAATTTTGAAGTCATGTCCAGCTGAGAATGACATTTAGTTCTTCTTCAATTTGAAGGATGATTTTGCCCCTACTATATAAGAAGAAGTATGTCAACATCGTCAACAATTTCTAACCTCAACTTATAACCCACCACTTGTAAATGGTATCTAAAAATAGTGTTTTAAAGCTCTAAATAGACCAGCGATGTTAAAAATGATAGCACGAGTGTTCAGTGCGCTGCGTTTTTGGCAAATGATAACAAACATTTCTGAATCGATTTGTAACTAATTAATTGTCGTTTTGCATTTGATTGACTAAAAATGCCTGGAAAAGTTAAGGTAAAAATAATATCTGGTAAAAATTTACCTGTTATGGATAGATCTAGTGACACAACAGATGCTTATGTGGAAATTAAATTAGGAAATATAACTTACAAAACTGATGTTTGTCGAAGAACATTGCACCCTCGTTGGAACACAGATTGGTATAGGTTCGAGGTAAACTAACGACAAGGAGCCCAATTTGCGTTTTATTTTTGAGTCTACATTGTAGCTTGATGATTCTGAGTTACAAGACGAACCTCTACAAATAAGAGTTATGGATCATGACACTTATTCTGCAAATGACGCGATCGGAAAGGTTTATCTAAATTTAAATCCTCTTTTATTGCCTGCTGCCGGCCAACTTGCTGTGGGTGATAATAATCCTCACCATGAAATATCTGGTTGGATTCCTGTATATGATACAATGCATGGCATTAGAGGTGAAGTAAATGTTACTGTAAAAGTTGAATTATTCTCAGACTTTAACAGATTCCGGCAATCATCTTGTGGGATTCATTTTTTTTATTGTAAGTTTAGGGTTAGTTATTTAGTTGCAATAAATCATGACTTGAACTGGGTGTACATTCCAATCCATTACAATTTTTGAGTCATATCAACATATATAAATGCAGCTAACTGGGAAAATGGAGCTGAACTACATTTTTCTAGACAGTTAATTACATAGCTAAAAACAAATTATTAAATTACTTAATCTACAGCTTCAATTTTCCACACTAGGTACCTACATTAATGTATATAATCCACAAAGTCCACCTTGGTTGGGTAAAATGGACCTGACGGCCACAAAACCCTGAAGGTATTAGATGGAGTATATCTCTCTCTCAGGTGCCTTTTAAGGGACCTTACCCAAATAAAAATTCAATGATATTATAACCAATTGTTATTTGGCAAATCCATCAATAAATAATATATTTATACTGTTGTGTCAAGGCAGGGGCTGGCCAGATAACAGTCGTCTCTAATGTCGGGTCCTACCGACTAATTAAAATCTGTGACCGAGAGGAATTGCCAATTGAAACTCCCAGAAGGATAGGGATTCGAATTCGAAAATACTTTTTTGCAAATGAATAAACACACTTTTTGTATTTTATCTTCGAGGGAGGGCGGCATTATCAACTTCCAAATCGACCGAGTGTACCAAAAAAACAATAAACAAAATACATGAAATCAAGTACTATGTACCGCGTCATATGAAGATTGATCCGTTAAAGTAAATTTTGAATGGTATTAAAATTATTAGTTTTTTTGCAATATATAGGTACAATTTTCGATATTAAAAATATTACGAAAAAACATGGTACTTTGCATATAACTAAAAATTAATAGTTAATCTGCAAAATCTGTTTTGTTAGTTACTTTGTCTACGAAATTTGTTTCCAGCTTCAAACATACCTCAAGGTTATCAAATCAAACTAATTAACGGCTTCGTGGAAGAGTTAATAGTCGATGATGATCCGGAATACCAATGGATTGATAAAATTAGGACCCCGAGAGCGTCAAATGAAGCAAGACAAACATTATTTTTTAAGCTTTCTGGTGAATTGCAAAGAAAAATTGGTGTGAAAGCTTTAAATTTAGGAAGCAATGCGGTTATCGGATATAAACAATGTTTTGATTTGGAAGGAGAGTCAGGCATTGTAGCGCGAGGGATTGGAACTGCGGTTACCTTGGTTAAATTTGTTACTTTTTCACAATCTGTTCCGGAAGCGGCCAAAGACGAGTAAGTGTTTATTTTAATACAATAATATCTGGCGATGTAGAAAATTGCGACGTTTATAAATAATCATTAATAAAAATGTAATTTTCTTCATCTTTATTATTAATGACATCTATCTATAATTATACATCTTCTACGCGCATGATAAATCTACAACTAAAACAACTTTATTTCTTGGATTCAGGAGTGCTTCAAATTATCTAAACTTTGTCGGTGATGGTAAAAGCTTCAGCTTACGCTCTTCCGGCCAGAATCGCAACGCCCCATTCAAATTTTCCGATCCATGTTTAAGACCAAAATCAATTCAATGTACATCAACTCGCATTCCCAAAAAACTTTCTAAACGTCTTTATACATCTTTAGACTCTAGCTCCATATCTACCTCTGTATCCAATCCTAGTTTGTATGAAGACCATACTTCATTAAAAACGTTGCTAAGTCAGGAAGACAAAAGAGGCGAGTCTGTTATGTCGAGAAGATTTCAAAAGTTCAAGCGTTCCCAGAAATCATTGTCCAGAAAAATGACAGCATTACGAGCTAAATTAGGTGACGGAATTGGAGAGGAAGCCGATGAAGATACTTCCGTAACTAGTACGGAAAAAAGAAAATTTTTTAAAAGAGCCACTAGTGAATCCAGTGTGATGGCGGAAATGCTCGCGAGATCCGTATTGCAAGCCACAAATAGTTTAACTTGCGTACTCGAAATGCAGAACCCACCTAAAGAGGATGATACCATGAAAAAGCTGGAACCTTTAAGCAAATTGTTAAGTCAAAGTCATTCTCAGTCCAGCATATTGGAGGATAATATGAGTGAATTGCAATCAGATTCCAGTTCAGATACTAGTAGTTCTTGTTCAGATTTTGAATATGACAAAAGTAATAATGACTTAGAAACGATTAGTAACGTCATAAGTAATATTGAAAAACTGCAGAAGTGTTTACCCAGGGAGGGTTTGCAAAAGCAATATTCGTTACCGACATTGTCCACTCTCGGATATTCATTTGAATCTGATTTAGATTGCATAGGGAAAAATAAAAAGGTAGAACAAAACGAAAATTTAACATTTATGTCAAAATTTGTAGAAGACTATAAAGAAATAAATTCTAATGTAAATGAAAAACGTCACGATCAGTATTCAGGTAATGGTAAGGCTGGTGAAATTTTAATAAACGACAGTCATAGTTGTGACGATGATAAATTGATTGCATCGGTAAATTTCGACAAAGTTGATGTAGAACCCAAACGTTTGGTGAAAACTGCCATGCAAACTATGCTTTTGGAAAAAGTGAACATAATAGGTGCCTATTCGCCGCCCACGTCGCCTAGTTTGGTTGGAAATTTCGCTTTTAATGACGTCAGCGAGCAAAAGAAAGGCTTCATTCCAAAATCAGCCAGTGCATCTTCGTTTTCGGAGTACGCAAAACAAATTGATACGGTCCTGGGTATACCGTTTCAGTCCTTAGCGACATTAAAGACTGAGTATTTGAAACACTCCCAACCGTGTTTATCGAGCCCTTGCCACGTTACAATACCCAGGAATCACACGTATAGTTGTTTCTCAGATAGCGATTTACATCAGCCCAAAATAACATTATCCCAAGAAAAAGAAACTATAACGAAGAATAAATTCAAATTTTTACATATGAAGATTGGCAGCCACGACCACAACAAACACCGCAAAAACATATTATCGCGCATGTTAAACATTAAACATGAAATAAATAAGTTAACAAGAGATCAAGAAACCCAAACTTCTAGGGAAATATTAAATACTCCTTGCCCTTTCCAATTCCCCCCCACTAATTATTCTAACACCAGTTATGAAATTCAACATTTGCACCCTGGCAATACGGAAATTGATTCAGGGGTTTCCCACGCTCATAGCACTACTAAATTAGCATGCATAACATCTAACAGGCAAACCCATTCATCTGCACAAGAAAGCAATGGAACAGGCGGCGGATCCAAGGAAGAAGACGTTCCTGAGGCCAACAAACTATCACATTCGCCAGTTAAAATCAGTTTAGCCTCTTTGCATCGTAGATCTTCCGACTCTGATTTGAGTGTTACTCCTAAAGGTGAGCTCTCACGTTAATGTTTCGCAATGATACTATTTTTGCGAACAAAAAGTGTTGAAATGAAATCTGTAGCAGAAGGAAGTAGGTACATTCGTTTCTATTTAATTATTTTATTAAATTAGTTGTTTGATTAAAATGTACCTACTTCTTGATGTAAATAATTTTTAATCGGTATAAACATAGTTTATTTATTTAATCTTCTTACCTTAGGAATATTTAGCAAAAGTGAGTATAATGCTTGATACAAGTGGTATTGGTGTTCCTTTTGTGTTTAACTGGGCTACATGAACTTCACATTCTTTTGCTCAACGATAAACGAGTCATTTTTGTTATAATTTCATTCCGGATACTTTATTATGTTTTATCTTAATAATTTATTACAATTGCTCTGCGTGTCTTTATAGCACTGTACAACAAAAAAGCTTGCGTGCCCTTTAGCTCCGGAAATAAAATAATAAAACGTTAATAGATTCCCATAATTAAATGTTTAGGGTATAGCAGCTTGCAGTTTTCTACCCTTTTATAAATGGTTGTAGGTACCAGCATTAGTTTAAATGTTGCTAACACTCCGATATCTTAAATTTTAGTTATAGGTACTGTCGGCGATGCTACATTAAATGCATGATACAAATTTGTAATCGTTGAAATTTTATAATAATTATAATATCCCTCGATACGAGTTTTTAGCAAAAAAAAGCGAAGGCAATACATTTTACAATTTGTTGTTCTTGTAACGAAATTTCTTAGCAATACTAAACTATTAAATGGCATTCTCAGGGAACAGCTTAACCGGAAGCGACAGGTCGACTAGTAATACGGCTGCTTATCTAATGAGGAACAACTATATAAGAAGAGGGCAGCTAAATCAGGACAATTTTGAAATGCTGGAGTATCCATTTCTTACCATGAACACATTTCCCCCTAAATTTATTATTCATATAGGTTAGCACATAGCAATTTGTTTTTGTGTTAGTGCTCGTGGTTTTTCAAGGTGGCGCTATCAGTGCCAGATCAGTAAAACTTCTCGAGAGAATTACTAACGTTGAAGAACCAGAATCTAGAGACAGCTGGTGGTCGGAACTAAGAATGGAAATAAGGTCACACGCTAGAACTTTGAATTGTAACGCAGTTTTGGGCTATACCGAGTCTGCAAGCATATGGTAAGTCCTCCTTTTTTACCGACAATAAAGTATTTTCAATAAAGACAATTTTTTAAAAACAATGCATCATTTATTATTTTATTTATTTATTTTGAAATAAAAGATTTTAATTTATAGCGAAGATGTGTGTGTGTTGAGCGCTTGTGGTACCGCTGCCCTAATAGACTTCAATAATTGCTCAGGGAGCGACGATGACAATTTATCTAATGCGCATCTTCTGCACAGGAGTTTAAAAGAAGTTTCAGATAAGGAGAAATGTTCGGTACTCGTTTCGACTTCTCGCTTTTACGTTGCGGTATATTTCCTCGTTTGTCGTAGAATGGTTTTCAAAAATCGATTCATGACAGTCCAGACCACGTCGGCAGTACTTCAATGTGCGCAATAACTCATTTGCCTTACGACGAAAAAACGGTACCTGTAAATGCGAAAGTTTTAAAGTGCCCTATGTGCTTGTAAGTGTGAAATTCGTCCTTGTTTGCACGCAGTCTAGGTCAGCGGCTGGATTTTTAGCAAAAGCAAAGTTCCAGAGGTTCTAATAGCCACCATAGAGCCCATAGAAAACATTCCAAACGTTGGGAAAGGGTGTTTTATTGAATCGCACGTTTCGCGGCCATTAAAAGATGTTCGTGGCGAGTACATAGCTAGGGAGATATCCGACGGTTTGCCTTTCTTAGAATACGAGTTGCACCGAGTAATAGTCAATAAACTTAAAATAAAAGGGATGAACGCTATATTTAGCTTAAATATACGCATTTCAATCGGAGAGAAAATGTTGATTGGGGTTGCAACTGGAACAGCTATTTATTTGTCATCATTGCCTCCCCCTGTGTTACCCTTGTTGGTATCCGATCGGGTATCTGATGAAAAAATTGTCGCCGGTCTGCAGGAAATGCTTAACGAAACGATAAAGAAAAACCGGGAAATATACGAAATCAAAGTGGGTTTCCTGTCTTTTCTTATGTGTTCAATTTTGTAATTATCTATTTTAGAATGACAGTCAAAATAATAAATATTTATCGGATGAAGATTCGGATGAAGAACAGGCTTCTCTGGATGTCACGTGCGCCAACAAAGATTGCAGCATATTGGAGGTACCTCGTAGCATGTTTTTTGACTGCAGTCAATATTAAAAAAAAATTTAGATGGACGATCCGGAAGATGCTGAAGTAGTTAACTTGCTCATGGAAGAGAAGGTCCCTGATGGATTTCACGTTGTGAACACAGAGTCCGTTCCGGGTTTAGATGATCTGGAAATAGTAAAGAATCTTCAGATGTTCATTCAAATTTACAGAGCGAAATTCGTTTCGCCGTATAATTTGCAAAAACACTTTGTGCGTTTGCAACAAAGTATTTACTTCAAATTGCGTCGAATGATTCCGTGTGCCCTTTGTGATTTACAGTTTAGGGTCGATTTACCGGAATCGGATGAGATACAACTTTGCGTTATAGGTGACACAGCCTACATTTTAAATGGGTTGGGGTTACGATATTGTTTTTAGGTATGGCACTTGGTTTGGGAAAAAAGACGCGTCTGCCAGGAGTGTCTGTTCAGTCAAGAAGAGCAGGTGGTATGTTTTATTTCTAGAAGTCACATGCAAGTATGTTAATACATTTCCAGACGAAGATTTAATTTTCAAACTTGACGAGGACAGTTCACAAGATGCGTCGCATATTTCTAAATCAAATCAACCCAGTCTTAAACATCGATCAAATAGATCGCCATCGAAATATAGAAGCCAATCACTCAAACAGCGCCACGTAACTCGTAGCCTTTTGTTTTGCTTTCTTTTAAATCATTTCTTGTTGTAGATTCCGAACAAGGAAATGCACGGAGTTGATATTACCCCCCTTTCGTATGTCCCAGGGGGCAACATTGAGCAATATCTGGGCAATCTGAATTTCTTTTTCATTAGAGAAACCACATCTATAAGAGAGGTAACTTTTTTTTCTGTTGTTTTGGGTCTAAAAAAAAAATGGTTTTAGGAAGGCGGTTCTAGCGGTTTCATCCACAGTTTTATCACGGAGGTATTAGCAATAGTGAGATCCCATGTAACGGCGCTCGGCGGCAATGCGTTAGTTGCATTCTTCATCACCGAATGTGTACTTAATCATAATTTACACAAAAATCAGGTGAGAAATGCGAACAGTTATCTATTCATCCCACTATCCGGAATTAAGTTATTTGATACAAATTAATTTAGATCTTCCAAATTAATATTTGAGTTCCGCAAATGATTATTTATCCTGTTTCGCCCTTCGCGCTTTGTCGTAAGGATATTGATTAGAGTGACAATCGCAAATAACTATCAGATTACACCAGCGTTACTGGAGTAAGTTAAATAGAAAAGCGTCTGATTAAAAATCGAATGTAAAGTGTCCTTGAAAAATGTTATAATGGTTTCGCGTCGAATAGTGTAGACAGGAGTATACAAGGTCAATTTGTTTTAAATCCAATTTGATTTTGCAAACAACGAATTTTCTTGACCAACACGAAGTTCATTTCCAATTTGCAGATGGGAGTAGGATGGGTGGGTACAACTTTAAATAGTATGCGAGAAAGTAATTAATTAACACTTGAATTCATTTACTTGCTCTTCCGCTGGTTCTATGGATAGCTGTCAGACGCATAAATTGAATAATAATTAATTTTATGAATGGGTTAAGTAAGAATAAGACCGAGTTTCATCTAATTTATGTTTCGCAATTAAAAGCACAACCTTTCAAGTGATTGATCTCTGTTTGCGATATAATATTTTTATATTTACACTCCGTCGCACATAACTCTCACAGTTGATGAGCTGTCATTTTGCAGTTCATTTGCAAAGTACGCTTGTGCATAAAATTTTATGACATGATATTTTCATCTTATATTTCATAGGCTTCATCTGTGGAGTGCATCCCATTTTTCTCTCATAAATTAGCAGCGATGACATTTTCGTGAATTTGATTTTGAAAAACTTTATTTCAGGGTCAATGCCTTATCAATGTAGGTGGAGATGTGGTTTCTGTTTCTTATTACAAGGAGGAGGTCTGATGGTTCTGTAGTTATGATTGTGTGTCTGTCGACGGATTGTTTCTGCTCAAAAAGTACCATGGCAAATATTAGTCTTCGTTCTCAATTGCTGAAATTTTATTGAGGCTGAAAGCTAATAATTAATTATATTAAGTTGGCATTACCTTGTTAACATCATTAGCGGCAAGGAAATACTGGCAATACCTAAGACTCGATATTCGCAGTTTTTTAAGCATAATTATAAGACAAATGCTCACCTGTTTAGTCAAGTCTGATTCCTAAGTTCGTTTGGCAATAATATTTGAGTGATAACTACATTTAAAAATTTATACATGTGAATCGAAGTACTTAATTTGAGTGATATTTATCTTTATAAACTTATTAATTTTGTTCGACAATTTTAGCTATTGTATTACATGTCTTACCCAATAAGCTTTGCCTGTGATTTAGTAGTTTTTACATATAGATGTTCGTTTACGTTATTTTTCCTCTAAACTACATGACTCAATTTCAGTTTATCAATTATTAAGAATTACAAATTACTTTGCGCTTTTTTGATCTTCGTTGGTATGTTTGAAATATATATATATATATATATATATATATATATATATATATATATATATATATATATATATATATATATATATATATAATTTTTAAGAAATAAAAGATGTTTTTCAACTTCCAATGAGTTTATTTTGATTCCCAATCTTCTTTTGAGTTTAGCAATGTCTACTGTGTCGCAACGTTGCGATTAAAATTATTCAATATTCCATTTTAATGGTCTTGCATAGGTACGAAAACGAGCTTTAAAAATTTTAAACAAAATAATGTTGACTTCGTCCAAAAAATATATGGGACCTACATGTTTGTCGAATAATTTTAAAGATTTGATAAAAAATTTTGCTCTCTAGCGAACAGAAAATCGGAATAATTTAATACTAGTTCAGAATGCCGCGTCATATAGTAAGTACATACTCAAAATAAAATAATTTATTTATTCTAGCGATTTCTAAGATTAATGACGAACTGGTGGATGCGTAAATTGGTTGAATTCTTTTTTTAGCGAGCAACTTTAAATTACAATATCGTGCTTACTGTATATTAAACAAAATAAGGAAAAATCCCCAGACAATTAAAGGGAAATTGACTTTTTTACAAAACCAATCATATTTATCGCCGTTCTGTTTTTAGTATTCACAGTGACTGTTTAAATACGATTCTCCGCAGGCAGAGGTAAAATTAAAACCCGGAGAGAAACGTCGCAATTATAAATATATATTTATTGGTAATATTTTAAATTCATTCATTTTAATTTACATGTTTTAATAACGACATATTTATAACGACAAATAGATAAATATTGTTACATTTGCGACATTGAAGCTGGAATAATCAATTTTAATATATGGACACCGAAAGCGATTAAAGTTGGTTCAGCGTTGCATGTAAACATTTAAATTCCAAATTTCCTTCCAAATCTTAGAAATACATGATCCACGTCCTGTCGTTTGGTGTTCAGATTGGTATTTCTTTCGTCCACAAGTCTGGCGCCATCTACAAAAAAAACAAAATGATTGCAATTTAAAAAAAAATTGAGATTTCTCGTGCGTAGGTACAAACATCTAAATTTTTGTCTAAAAATTTTTAAAAAAGAAAACAAAAACTGTTTTCTCTTACATCCATCTTGTTGCACTGAGGACTCAGCAAGAGCTTGTTCAATTGCGTAGCACAGTTGTCTTAGCTTGGGATTGATTTCCTGTTGAATGTTGTTTGGTGGGCAATTGATGACAGATGATATTGTTGTGGATAACATCCAGCAGCAAAAGAAGATGACAGAAAATCGGAAAACAGTGGACATTTTTGTAGCTTGTAGCATTCTAAAACAAGTAAAAAAAATCATCAGGTTTGCGTAGTATTTTTAATTTGATTCGAATCTGGTAGATTGATACCAATATGACGGTGCCCAATTTAAAAAAAAAAATAATATGACTAAATTTTCTTGTATTAGTATCTAGCATATTCGCAAAATGGTAAAAATATAAATCTTGAAGATCTACGATTTATTTTAATATGGTATCACCGTCAATCACGACAATCTCTTATTACCGCAACAGAAATTTAATTCAACCCCTCTAAGTAAAATTTTGTGGATATTAAGTCGTTGAAATGCTCAAAATCTGTTCCGCAAAGTTCGATTTAAATCAAAACGATTTGCCTTTGCATTTAATGACTTTCAGTTCATTTCGGGATTCGAAACAATTTACAGCGACAGCTAACGTAAATAGAATCAATTGGTGAAACACAACACGCATTTAAAGTGCGAAAATGTTTTCCATTCTTTTGGTATGTCTAGCTTTTGTCCTTCTAGATAGTAATGAATTTCATTTTCGTTTATAATCAAAAAAATAAAATTCAGGACCGATAGGGGCACATACAATTAACAGGAAGCAAAAAAATATACCGCAAAGATTAATAGCATTATTTGATCAACTTAACATTAACAACTTAATATTATATTTAAAAAAATAACAGATAACAGATAACAGATTGAAGTTCACAAGAAAAAATTGAAATTTGCTCACCGATGCGAAAAATTTATCCCACTAGTCGAAATTACAACGTGCAAATACAACTTACCCTTACTTCTTACTTGGTGTGAATGTTTTCCGTTGGAAAATGTCTTCGGAAAAATTTGCTTGCAACTGTGTGTTCAAAAGTGCTGGAGACGTTTATATAGAGAAAGCCCACGCTATGCGCAATACCTCTTGCTGCAACTTCTGCTTGCGGTTGGTTTGTTGGATTTACTCGGAACGTTCTCTCTTTTTAATCTCAAAGTTTCGGAAATACATGCCGAATTAAATTCTTAATTAACTATTTTTTGTGTAATACGTTTTTCTAAATAAATTTTCGGTATATTTTCTGGTGATACGCAAACCTACCACTAATTGAAATTTCTAAGCGACAGGCAAGCTTCAATTGAAACTCGACCTCTACTTTATATGAGGTGAAGTAAAATCTACCGTACAAATGAAAACATTACATGGATTTAAGCATTTGAGTTCTCCCTTCTGTTCTTAATAGGATTTTTTTATTATTTATTAACGTTTTCCTCAGCCAAGGTTATTTACCGAAACAAAGTGTATTGACGCTCAAGCTAGAGCAGATGTTCGCATCACATTTTTGCGGTATACAATTCGACATTATCAAAAATTAAGTGTCATTATAACGTGGCTATCGGATCTAGAATAAACATTTCGTTAAAACCAATGACAAATCCGGATTGCTTTCATTGTATACGGTTTCGATTACCTTTATTAATGTGTGTTTTAATATATGATGCCTTAACATTTGAGGTGTAACAACTTTGCTGGGTGGAGGCATTCCATAAAAGTTCGTCCCTTATCGAGTTCGCAGCTCAAACTTGTTGCATGAAGAACGCTAACTGTATTTTAATGGTTTTCCTATAATAATTCGTGTTGGCTAAATCTACCAAGTGTTTGATAATCCAATTTTCTTCAATGTCTATTTTTTTATGTATATATGAATCGAAAGAGTCATTTTATAATTTTTAAACACGGAGGTAATTTTTTTTCTTAAATTTCTTTTTGGGGGTCATTTGGAATTATTTTTTACAGCTACTTGCAAATTAACATAAATGCTTTTAAATATGAATTTAATTGTTATTGTAATTGGGATCTCGAGACAACTTCGTTTCAAAGTATTTCACCGTATAAGGCTTTTTTAAAATAAAGCATTCGTTATTAACATTATTTTGGATCACTGGCTATAGTCGTATATAAATATATGAAACTATTGCAAAATTAGAATAAACCAACATTGTTTCCAAAGCGGATTAAAAATTGAAATGAAATAATTCGTCATTTCTGTTCAATGTTTGTTTAATAAATAGAGACCAATTTGGAAAAAAAATACGAGCTTATATAAATTCGAACAAGTAAATTTGTTTAAGGAAATTCATCAAAATTAAAGTCGAAAGTTTTTTTGTGGTAAACGTGTTTGTGCTTCAAAATCTAACCGTAACTTTTCTATTCGATTTAAATTTAATTGTCTCCGATAAAGCAATTTGTTTTCCATATTTTTCCAGCCTTGTTCGCTTTCCTCGGTCAATTCCATACATTTTGATGTTAAAATATTTCGTGATAAATATGTACGTAAACATGGAATTTTAATATTTATTATTTGTTAGAATGTCGTACCGTTTATCAAAATAACGCTAGCCGTTTATTTTTATAGCTGTTTGTCGCGGCTTGTCAATTATATTACGTTTTATCGTTAAGTCGTCTCCGTTTTCCAATTAATTTGATTAAGATTTACCGTCTCAATTTCCCATTTCCCGACGACATCGCAAGCATGTCACATATTATTCGAAAAAAATTTTTTTCTTTACAAAAGGCAGTATTTCTATAGAAATTTGAAATTTAAGTTGAGCTAAGAAGGATAAGGCGTGCCGTTAGAGTAGCAAATGCCTCTCCAACGGCACATCTTGAATAAATATCAACTGAAAGGATCAACTGTAGGCAAATTCGACGTCCATTAACACATAATTGTAGTTTATTGTTCGTGGACCAATTAGGTATGCTTTTTTCTTCAGTTTTATTTTTTCAGTCCAGGATATTTTAAAATCTAAAAAATAGCGACTTTTAATATAATGTGCTATAGTTATTGTATATAAAGATCAATGGAGAAACGAGAAATAAAAAACAACGAAATGTTAAAAACCTACAACAAAATTATATGTGTATTATATTAATTAAATATTTAAGAAAACCTTTTTTTTTCATTCATTTAAATTGATAACTCATGCCGATTCCCGATAAATAGATAGATAATTTACCATTTTAACATGCATTATGCATTACGACCATATCAGTCCATTTAATATTTTAAAAGTTAGGAACGAATTAGTAATTACAAATTCTAACACATTTGTTCAAAAAAATGAAAGACAAAACGATTCGAAAACCCATGAGTTTGCTCGCTTACACCGATTACTAATTACATTGTTGCTTGATATAAAGCTTTGGAATTACAGTTATAAACCATATTTTGTAGTTGCAGTTTGCTGATAACAACACAATGTCAGCAATAACAGCTATTTAAAGCTTCGGCACGAAAGATCACTTTCAACGTGCAATATATACCTCGCAACTACTACATTTTAGTTCCAACAACTCTAATCCAAAAGCCATTAGTTTAAAATCCACATGATGCAGTGTCAACTTATGCTATTACTTGTATCGGCAAGCAAAGCCGAAGCTTTACTAGTTTAACAAGAGATAACAATACTATTTCAAAGCTGTCGCAAACATCCCTCCCGTAAGTATTTCTCAATTAGGCACTTGAAATTCTGAGCTGGAATTAGGTTCAACTCTCAAAAAAAAAAGTGTCCACATAAGAATCAGGGTCTGTGTGCTCTTGGCTAACGGATAGGGTAATAAAACGACGAATATTGTGTTTTATTCGCCCTAATTTGTGAAGCTATTGCAGCAACCTTTAATTAAGCGTCGATGATATCAAAAGACAAATACGAACTCGTTAATTTTATTTCCGTTTCAGTGTTTGAATTATAAAGGCGAACACGTCACTCAAAACGGATTAATTTTCGAATTCCGTTCCAGGAGTTCATGATATCACTTCCTTTTCATTTTAAAAATTCGAACTATTTTCCTTTGATTTTGCGATAATATCCGGCTGTTGAAAGCAGCCAGTATTCTCGATTTCCTTCGGGAATATCTAGATATTATTCCGTAGAAAAATAAATCTATTATAAAATACTGGCGCTAGTTCCTGTTATTTAATTACAATTTATCGACAAGAACTTCAAAGTTTTGCCGTGTTAGGAATCATAATAATTAATTGCATATTGAAATAACAGAAAATGTTCCATTTAACCTCTTTGCGTCATCTAGCGATACCTAGCTGCATTTCGTGTAGGATTTTTTACTCCAGTACATTCTGCTTTAGCCGTTGGGTCGCCACGTTCTGGCTAGAAATTCAATAACTCAAATTCACCAGGCCGCATGTCTCTAAGCAGATTCTAATCCTGAAAACAGATGGCGTAAGAAAACAATTTGAAAACGAACAACCACATCAATACCAACACGCTGCTTTCGCAAAATGTACCTGGCAAATTATTCTTTTTTTTACTACATTTTAGTGAACTATTTCGGAAACTTCGTAGAATATTTTGAGTAATATTTGATCTTTGTAGTATGTAGCAAAAAATATTTTGCACATTGCCTTGTATTCAGAGATCTCAAATTGAACATTATTTTATGTAGAATATAGAAAAAACTTTTAGAAAATTAATAATAATAAATAATAGAGTATACGTTTTTTTTTCATCTAAGCCAGGGAAGTTAGGAACAAACCAGATCTAGGCTGGAATACAATATAATAATTTGATAATTTGTAACTGTGTAGGTGTATTAGAAAGTGTTTGTGAACTCAATCTTAATTTGTCTTCCATTTTTTCCAGTTCAACTAGTGTCAGGTTCCGTTTATTTCATTTTTATTTTTGTAATGGCTTATCAACGCGTGGGTGGTCCCATTTCGGGAAAGCCTTTTAACACGATTGTCTTCAGTCTTGAATTTTATTGTGAATATCAATTCAGGCGAGGCAAACATTTATTCTGTTCGTTCGAGATTTGTTTACTTGTAGATCACAGCGTACAGGGTGGTCGTGCATTTACGAAACTTAAATCATTCAAGTTCTACATTCAAATTCTACATTATTTTAAACCTAATAAATCTTACGCAAAAAATTCGTGTATCGCATAAAGATCCAATTAAATTATTTAAAATCCATTATAGAAAATTACACGGCGGTTACTAAAACCAGTATTTAATGGTAATTCGGAAGAAGATCAAACTTAATTCTGTATTGGAGTTTAAAATCGTTAGCGTGAGAAGAAATTGTTGAATGGGTGGGTTATTTTGTTTCAATAATATCTAAAATTTTTGCATTTTTCGAATTAAAAACCCTAAGTGGCCACATGCAAAAGAATCTGGTTGATGTTGTAAAACTTACTTAGAATTCTCATTGTATTTTTGTATAATATATATTATATATACAGAAAGCTAAATAATTCAGTCGCATTATACTTAAACACCTTAAGTAACTATTGCAACTCATTCAAAAAAAAAATTTTTCAGTCCATTAGTGGCGAAAACTCGTTTAATCATTTTTGCTTAATTCGTGAGAACCTTGTTTCCAGATTGAATAGTTTTACATTTTCATATCCTTTTAATTAAAACATATTATTATGTTGCCTAACTCGTAATTTTAGAGCTAACTTGTGACTAACATAATTCATTAATAAAATACTACTTCTACATTATTTTAGAAACTAATTAAAACATTAATTAATAATGAATTAATTCCAACTATGCGATCATTTTGAGTGTGATATAAATTTTTTGTCATTGAATATATTTGTATCTGTTGTTTAACTTTTTGCTTCTTTTTTTGCTATTTTATTAACCCTTAATAGTATTCCATACTTTCCTTTTCGAAAATCGATGGACATTATTATTATCATTACGGGAGGCTTGAATGATTGTAATACCGCCGGCACAAAAAATTAAGAAAAGTACGAGTACATATTACCGAAAGTCGCCGTCACCCCATATGATTGTCGTAGTCCGTAGATGGTGACAAAAAACATAGCACATGTAATTTTGAGAATTTACATATTGTGGGTGGTCTTAATTCGTAGAAGATCGGACCCCATCGTACGCTGAGAGTAGGCAGAGGAGAGCTTTTCCGTGCCGGTACTACGACTGGCTTTTGGCTTTACAGTTTACAGCGAACCGTGAGTTGGATGGCTTGTTTGTGTGTTCGTTTACTTTCTTCAGAACGTTTCAAAACAACGCCGTGTGTTTGGTCATTTAACGAATTTAAAGAACGTAGAAGAATCACGCGAACTTTCGTAATATTTCGTTAAGTGGTTGTGCAAAATGAAAAGTACATTCTCCAAATAGAGTTTAGTCTCTAAAATACTTTTGAAAAATCGGAAGAAAATGTTTTCGTTTGTGCTTTTGTGGAACACTTTGACAGTTGTAATGGGTAATACTTTATTATCTTTTTTTTTTCGTAATTACTTGCCACTGTTTATTATTAGCTATTATTTTCGTTCCAAATTGTTGTTCTTTTTGCGCGCGTTTACCATTTATTTTGTTATGGCGTGTATCTACTGCAGCATTTTTATTTCTGACACATCGTGCAAGTGTAAAATTACAGATTTTCTACTGTGCCATGTAAAAATTGGAAAACACTAAGCCTGACCCATTCTTAAATAATATTTTGAACAGCGTTGCCAGATATGTTTGATAGAATTCTGTTAAAGCGTTAGACGCTATTAAAATTACATTATAGTCAATAATAAACATTTTCGAACGCTTATTTTCATGATTAGTATTTTTGTTAAGTCTTTATGTAATTCCTCGAAGTAGAACGATTATAATATGCGATTGTTAGTATTCGGTCTTAACATCAAAATCCGAATCCATTAGTATAACACGCGTGTTGCCTTATGCGCACGCAGTTTACTTTGCTCTTAATTCATTTAATAATTTAATGACATAGCAATTTGTTTAGCTATTTGTGTTAAGCGCTGGGCTCTTCTATAGCTTAATACGGGTAAATGTTTCCTACCAGTGTGGAAAATACAAATGGCCAGAGATGCGTAGCAGGCCAAATGTTGTGCACCGGGCTTGAGCCGGTCCTTCGCTGCTGGAAGCGCTCATGCCGACGAAGATGGCATCCATGCCGCCATCTCCATCGGAATCGTCGGCGGAAGAGAGGCACGAGTCAGATTTGTACACGAGGCCCGGATGGGTGGACGCAGATGTTGCTTTGGTTCAACTTGATCAAGTGAGTCCCCATCCAGAATCTTCGAATTTGTCTCTAATCAACCGTTTTGTGATCGTATTTCAAAAGGAAGACCGACCGCGCCAACGATCATCTGAATTATTCCTCTAAGATTGGTGCGGGTGGTACAAAACTCTATTTTCAATTCTGGCAAGCGTTTTTTTTTACCAATCAGGTGTGATGACAATTTTGCGTAGCCAGACCTGATTTACAACTGGCCAAGGACAAAAAAAAGACAATCAAACAACTTGGATTCGAATTTACATCCAGTAGCAGTAGCGTCTAGAATAGTCATATAAAACATTGTGAAAATAAAATAAAATCGAATTGACTTGCCATAATCGTTGTAAAGTCAAGTACCAGTTTGATTAGCGTTAAAGATGTTTAAAAAATGTTGGCAACACCGAGCTATGGGCTCTAGTAAAGCCGCGTTACGCTAACCTTGGTTGGCGGCAGACCACCGGCATAGACACGCTGTGTGTGGTCCGTGGCAAATGCGGCCGCCTTCGCTGCCTTGGCTTATCTTACCTGCGACCTGCGGTCTGTGAGGGCCCTCCAGGGGCGGAAGGCTTAGCCCGCCCCTGCTCAATACTTCATGGTTCTTAATTGCTTAACGTGAAGTCGTCATTATAGACGTTCAAAAACTAATGCTATTCTAATAATAATAATAATAATATAAATACTAAACTATAGCACGTATTTTAAATGTTATCGTCTGCCGTAGAATTTACGAAGTACGACTCTGTTAGGACCGATTAGCTTTCAGTTGAGTTTCCTAATTTCGCCATTTAATTTTAATAATTAACGAATTTCTTGAGATTTCGTACAAACTGAATCTCCCGAAGGAGAACGAACTTTTTTCTTAATAAAACAATTTGGGTTGTACATTTTCGGTTGCTAAGATGCTATTGTCACGAGGACGACTACCTAGCAGTCAAAATGAAATTAGGTCTTTCAAACAGGTAGATTTCTAAGAATCGAAATTTCTCCGGTATTCTGGGATGGCCGTAGCAATTACCTTCAACTCTCGCTCTAAGTTTTATTAGAAACTATGCAATAAATGGGTGCCTAAATAATATTCGACCAAGCACATCTCAGATGATTCATTAGATCATCAACAAACAGTTTGTGGCATTATCGTGAACCAAGGCTCCGGGTGGTCTAAATATCATTATGGATCCGTTTTCTAGTCAACTATTGATTTAGCAAATATATTAGAGGAAATATTGCAGTAACAAGAATAATAGACTTATTTCGCGTATAGCGCCCATTTTGTGAATTTCCGTATCGTTTGCACTCATTACGAGCAAGCATTTTTATTCCGTTCCAATCCTTGGAGAATTTCATAATTTTTCAAGATATTTCCTACGATACGGCAACTTAGCGATACAGCACATCCGCAGGCACGGCTGCAGCGCTGGTGGTCCCTGTGACGTCAGGGCTCAGCTTGGGTGGTCCGAATGCTATGGACCGAAGCACCGACGCGACGTTGCCACATTTTTAATCCGTTATCTTTAACGAAAGAAAGGTTATATTCGAGTAGGCAGCGGAACGTACATTCAGTGTCATTAATAAACGCCATCATTAAAGTTAACAGCGTCGATCATTATCGGTACATCAAGAAATTTTTGTGCGTCACGGGGAGATTTTACAATTTTCGTTCACACTTATGCGATGTTGAATACGTTAATTAATACGATTCGAACAATAAACAAAAATTGGCAATATTTTATTTAAATATGACAACGTTGTCCAATTTATTTGGTACAGTTACTATCGTCATTAGGAAATGACTTAAAACATTGTGGTTAAACGAAGCGAAGTTAAAAATCTCGCCGGACATTTTCAAATAGTTTAAGCTTAAACCTTAAATTGGTTGATGTTACCTCATAAACATCCGGGAATCTGCGGAAATTTCTAAACATGCGACAACAGCGCAAAAAGGACCAGCTGTGCCGCGAAGAATCTACAGGAGGGATTCTAGAAAGCTTGCGTTCTTGTTTATCTTTCGTGTCCCGAAAATTCGGGCCCCCTACTTTTTCCGCGGCATTCGACAAATTATACTGAGAATTCATAGAGGGGTAAGATAGTCGGTCGATTTTTAAATGCCCCGACTACAATAGGGTATACTACGCCATAAAACGCCGTGACTAGCGGTCCTGTTTTATCTATAGCATGCTGCAGATTTAATAAAAATAAAATACTGAAACTAGTCTTGCCGAGATAATTTTTCTTAATGAACGCAATAATAATTATATTCTGAAATTTAATCCGCCGCGTTTTTCTACTGTCGCTGTCCCGCCAACGTAATATCTAGCAATATAGCGGACATTAACAACGCCTTACCTCGATGTAGTAAAGTTGAAGCTTTTCGCTCATTCATTGGCCAGTTTAATACGTGAACGTAGAAGGAACACACCGTAGAATTGAAAACATGGGTATTTGCTTTTGCGTTCCTTCTACTCCTTGACATTTAATTAAAATTAGACTGGAAACCTAGATGTCTCAGATGTTCTCAGAGAAACTTTTTCGATTCGAGTATCTAAAATATCTACTCATTATTTAAGCAAGTATTGACGGGCATTCAAAAAAAAAATATATTTCAGGATAAAGCCGTTGGCGATCGGGGAATTCTTTGGATTCGAAGTAGAATTCAGAGACAGTTAAAATCGTTGGGAAGCATACTGGATACCCACGCCGGAAAGTTCCTTTTCGTCAGCGTTTTAGCGCTGGCCACATTTTCGGTCGGCTTGAAAAGTATGACCTTCCACACCGACATCGAACTGCTCTGGGCCGAACCTTCTAATACCCCGGAATCGTCACCCAGGGAGATGCTTTCTTCGCATCAGATGGTAGTGCAGACGGGGATTGATCCCGACGTAAACCTTCTACATCCTCGGGGTCTGTTGGAACATTTGTCTCTAGTCCAAAAAGCCACCCAAGTTACTGTAAATATGTTCGATATGACGTGGCGCCTTAAGGACTTTTGTCAATCGCCCAGTATACCAAATTTCGAGGCCCATTATATAGAACAAATGTTCGAAAATATGATGCCGTGCTCCATCGCCACGCCTCTGGATTGTTTTTGGGAGGGATCCAAGCTGCTGGGACCTGATTATCCCGTCCATATCCCGTAAGTGTGACCAGCGCGAGCAACTTGTTATATAATTAATTATTTGTTTATAGCTACGGTTTCGGTAACCAAGTAAAATGGACCAATCTTAATCCAAGCGATCTAGTCAGCAAGGTCAAACAAAAGGAAGCGAATTTTGATTACCACTCCCTCGAGGATTATTTGAAACGTGCCGGTATTACGACGGGATACCAAGAGAAGCCATGTTTAGATCCCCACGATTCGGAATGTCCCACAACAGCGCCCAATTTCAATTCTACCGTCCCTTTGGATATTGGCGCGGAATTAACGAATGGATGTTACGGATTTGCCGCGAAATTTATGCACTGGCCAGAAGATTTGATTGTCGGAGGGGTGCAGAAAAACAAATCGGGTTACATAAAAAATGCCAAAGCTTTACAGACTGTTGTACAATTAATGGGCGAACACGAATTGTTTGAGTATTGGTCCGGACATTACAAAGTACATCACATCGGATGGAATAGAGACAAGGCCACGTTGGTTCTGAACGCTTGGCAGAAAAAATTCGCACAGGTACGATCATTCGTTGCGTGTAATGTAATTCGGGTGTTATTTGAAAGTTGTTTCGTTGTTGCAGGAAGTCGATCGCTTGTCAAAATTGCAAAGTCACTCGTCCTCGTACTCGTTCATTACGTTTTCAACTGCGAACGTAAACAAAATTCTGCGGGAGTATTCGAAAACGGACATCATGAAGCTGGGAATAGTGTTAGCAGTGGTCGCCATTTACGCATGGATAGCTCAGTCGGTAATAGCTGCTTTAGGAGTTCTAGTCTTAGCCAGCACGGCCGCGGCTGCTTTAGGAGTTTGCAGCTTAATCGGTCTTCCCATGAACTTGCTTAGTACTCAGGTGCTTCCGTTCATTACCGTCGGTTTAGCGATGCGGGAAATGTTCCTCTTGTTATCGGTTCACGTGAAAAACTTAAGTCCGCCGGAAGTGCTAGTTCGGACCGGTCCCAGTATTATGTCCGCCGTTTTGATTAATTGCGCAGCATTTTTGTCAGCCGCCATTTTGCCCGTGCCGGCTTTACGAGTATTCGCGTTGCAATGTACTGTCACAGTTTTATTTCACGGTGCTGCGTTGTTGATAGTGTTCCCGTCGTTGTTAGCGTTGGAACAACGGTGCAGAAAATCTGACGTACCGTGTTTGCGCAGCGAACACCGGACGAAGATGACAGCTTCACAAAACAACAACGATCCCGTAAGATTCTTCATTTATTTCGTTTTTGTCGCCACTCATTTCACACTGTAAATGATCTAAATTCAAAAGATTAAAACCACTTTGCGCCTTTTTATCTCCAGTTAAGGACTAAAGTTTATTCTTGACCGACGGTGGATGCGCAATCTTTCGACTTTTTAAAAACAAATGCAAATTAAATTGAACGTTTTGTTTTCTTGTTTCAGGAGCACGGGACGAATTTGTTGACCGACGAGGCGGTTTGTCAACACAAAGGAAGTATTGGGGCGTACTTCGTGACGCGTTATTTCACTTCGATTTTAGTGAAACCATTCGTCAAAGGAATAGTGTCTGCTACGTACACCATATTGGTGGTATTTTTCGTATATAACGCTCTGAAATTGAGATTTGACGTGCGTTTATCGACGTTTTTGCCAAAAAACACACAAGAGTACAAATACTTAGAAGCGCAAAATAAGTTTTTCGGATTTTACAACTTCTATTTGGTTACCACGGAGCTGGAATATCCGTTTAGTCAGTCGCTTCTTTACGAATATCACAACTCGCTCACTCATGTGCCCTACGTGCTTAAAGATTCCAATGGTGGATTAAATATGAACGACTTTTGGTTGGCAAACTTTCGCGATTATTTAATGGACTTACAGCAGGAATTCGATCATAGCAGGAGCTCCAATTGCTTGAGTAGCGAGAAGTGGTTTGGAAACGCTACCGAGAAAGCAGTATTAGCGTTCAAATTGTTAGCGCAAACCGGTATTGTGGAATTCCCAGTGGATAAAAGTCAAATTTTCAAGAAAAGACTGGTTACAGATGGTATTATAGATCCCAAAGCGTTTTACAACTATTTATCAGTGTGGAATAGTAACGATCAGATCTCGTATTCCAGTTCTCAAGCAAACCTCACTCCCAAACCCTTCCAGTACTATAGCTCAAAAAGCGAATTCGACTTGAAAATTCCTAAATCGCAACCGTTGGTTTACGCGCAAATGCCATTCTATCTGAAGAATCTCAAAAACACCGGCAATATTATCGACAGTTTGAAACAAATTAAGGATATATCGGAGGAATTCAACAATAGGGGTTTGAAAAATTACCCAATTGGATTAATTTTCGCTTATTTCAATCAGTTCCTACTACTTGATAAGCTGTTGGCCGCGCAGTTTTTGCTCACGTTAGCTTCTACGGCTCTAGTAGCTTGCGTGTTGGTGAGATGGACAAAACTTTGGTGCCCTCTGATAAGCAGCTTAATAGCGATGCTACTTATGTGTCTGTTGAACATTAACGCGTTAAGCGGTATAATGGGAGCGCTGCATTTTATTGTGATAAGTAGGAACGTTCTGCTTATTACAATCGGATATTTAAGTGCCGTTGGTATTCGCGAAAGACGTATTAGGATGTCCCTGGAAATAAACGCGGACCCTATACTAAAAGGAGACGTTGGTCTTTTGCTTTCTTCGTCGGTACTCGTTATTTCGCAATTCGAATTCATTCATGATCATTTGTTCATGATCCTTTTGATTTCCGTTGGAGGCTCGTTAATCAATTCCTTAACCTTCTTCCCTATGATGTTGGCGCTGGTCGGGCCAAAAGCGGAAATTACCCCTATCCAACATACCGATAGAATTTCTACCCCACCTCCACCGCCGCCACCACCGATACCGGAAAAAACCAAGTCCTTTTCGAAACCTTCCAGACGAAACGCGTCAACCAAAGCAACCAGAGAGACGAGCCTGACTACTATAACTGAAGAGAGTTGTAATCAAAGTATAGTAGTCGAACCCCAGGTTACTGTTGAATATAGCAGTCCAGAATCGAGTTCTAGCGGACCTTACACTACTAAAGTCACCGCCACGGCCAATATAAAAGTCGAACTAGTGACGCCCATGTACAGATCTAGTAAGTGCAGTAGTAAGTGTCATCGTGCGTCCAAATGTAATCGGACGAGACAAAAACAATCTCCGCAGCCGCAACAATGTAAATGTTGTAAACAGGACTCGGATAGCAGTGATAGCACTGCTGAAACCGAGCCTTGTACTTCCAGCTAGTATTTCATTACCGTCGCGATGGATTCTATAGGCAATATCCGTTTTATTTTTCGAAGGCGATATGGAATGGTTTTGTTTTTTTATCCGTCTCGAATTTTTTGCGCAACCAAAGATTAATTTGCCTTGCCGGTTGTTTTAGTTTACGACATGCATGGGGAACCACCAGCAACTAAAAACCGCCTACGGGTACCATATTCATCGACTTGTGCTGGTTGTTACTTATTATGTTCAGTTACCACGAAAATTTCGCATGATTTTTTCTTAACTTTGCCGTATCAAAATCTAGGTATTTTTGCATTTTTTTTTCTCTTGACGGCGTCGTTTAATCTCTAACATTATACAATAGTACAAACAATATTCAGGTTTCAAATCTCAAAATGATGTTTTTTATTCATTTCGTGGCGTGAAAATTGATTACCACTTACGTGGAGCTTAGAAAAATGACGGCATTATTATTGCGTATTAAGGACTACAAGCAATATGCAATTAAGCCATCACCTATCTTGATCGATGGTGGATCCGCATTAAAAAACTTTAAAAATTACAAGCGACATATTGTTCGTAGTTCAGTATGGTGTGGAATTTTTTTACCAATTGAATTGAGAAATAAATTAATTCGGCCACCATATAAACTAGAGATTACATAGAACGTCAATTTTAGTATAAAGAAAAATGTGAGAATTCATGTCATTAGAAAATATTTAACTTAATAACCACCAACCTATTGTCTATAGAATTGATTAATATGGATGTAAATTATGTTTATATTGCATATATGTATACCATTCACTTATTTATTTTTTTAACAAACTATGTAAGATATTAATTTACGTAAAATTTATATGTTCGAGGTTATTATTTATATTATTTTGTAAAAAATATTTTGATAAATAAATTGTTTTATTTAAAGTACACCACCAGATCATTATTTAGACAAAATCACTGTTTTATGTTGCTAAGCTGCATACATTTTATCAATTATTTCCTTGTATTTTTGTTCAACTACCCTTCGCTTCACTTTCATTGTCGGACCTGAAACGAGACAAAAACATTTCTCTACTCAAAGCAAGAAAAAAAAAACACCTACCCAATTCTCCAGTAGCCAAAGAAAAGTCAGCAGGTAATATCGCAACCTTTTGTATTCTTTGTGCATTAGAAGTTGCTTTTTTATTCACTCTGTCGATACCTGCTTGAAGTGCGTCCAGAATTCGCTGATCAGGACCAGTTTCCAGAACTTCAGTTACCGTTTTAGCAGCGACACCCAAACCTTGAAGCCAGCTTTGTACGGAATGAATAAGTGAATCATTTGGAGCTCCAGTTTCTGAATCGACTTCGGTTTTTAGAGTTACTAGCAACGAAAGAAACTTTCGCTTATCGCCTACTAAAAATACGTTGCTCAGTGCAGGTAGTTCTTTTTTCACATGCTGCTCTATGGGTACCTAAAACAAACGTCCCAAGCTTGAATAATAAAATACCCGTCAAATAATATATAATATATAAAATAATATAATTTTAGAAAAAAAATTGATCTTAAAATTACATGAGGTGGGAAAACAATATCAAACTTAACCGATCATTAAGAAAATTATACGTTCCAAAATCGTCATTGTAATTTGAATTTAAGAAAAGATTTGTTTGTCGTGGTGATATTTTTTATTATCACGAACGAGGTAAACTAACGATTGAAAAAAAGTTCATCAAAATTAGTTAATTATTAATTATGGTTAATTGTACCATAAATAACCATGCATGGAATACAGAGTTAACTAACTTATCAGCTTCATGACTAATTTTGGAACGCTAGCAATTTATTTCGAAAGCACGGTTATAGGCAGCGTAATTAACTTTAATGCAAATATTTTAATGAGTCGGTATTTGTATCGGGCAGTGTATAATAGCATAAATAGTTTGTCAACCTACGGGAGGTACATTTTCCCCGCCAGATGTGATAATGATTTCCTTAAGTCGTCCCGTAATGTATACGAATCCTTTTTCGTCTACTTTTCCTAAATCGCCGGTGTGCAGCCATCCCTCCTCATCGATAACTTCGTTGGTTTTCTCAATATCGTTCAGGTACCCCATAAAAACGTGTCTTCCCATCATCAAAAGTTCACCTTGACCTTCTTCATCTGGGTTGAATATTTTCGTTTTCATTCCGGGAATGGTCATACCTAGAGAAAACCGCGTTAAACATAGGCATGCAATACATTCAAGAACCAACCAATAGTATTTAAGTTGGTAGCTGATTCAATGGCAATAGTATGGGCACCACTAGCTTCGGACATGCCGAAACACTCCATAATTGGCATGTCGATGCTCAGAAAATATTTTTTAATGTCAGTCGCTAACGGAGCGGCCGCTGAACAGAAATAAGTGCATCTGCTCAGGCCCAGCGCTTGTTTAACTTTCTTGAAGATCAACGAACTTGCTATAGAGTAGCTCCACGATTTTGAATTTTCTCTGCAAACATTTTTAGTAACTATGAAAACAATGTCCCCCTGAATTAATGACCAACCCGCTGATCAACGCTAAATGATGCCGCAACGTCTGCTGCTTGGCCCACGTTGCTATAGTTTTTTTAATGAATCCATTCTGGGCCGCAACTTCCTGCATTTTCTCGTAAATTTTTTCGTAGACCCTCGGAACTCCCAAAAACTTTGTGGGTTGCACTTCTTGCAGCGTATTGATTAGGCTTCCTTTGAGTGCATTTTTATCAGCGAAATAAGTGGTCCCACCCATATATACTACTAGATAAATGTCCACCACTTGCGCTGCAACGTGACTCAAAGGGAGATAACTTATTAAGCTTTCACACCCTCTACCGGGTCGAATTCTTTCCGCTATTGCCATCGCGTCCCATGTCAAATTATCGTGACTTAGCATTACAGCTTTTGGATTACCCACGGTGCCGCTCTGAAAAAGCACATCTTTAATAATATACATTCAAAAACTTTTGACGTTATTTGTGAATCATTTTACACGAAAATATTCTTACAGTAAAAACGAGTGTACAACACTCATTTGAAGCAATATTACTCAATCTCTCGTTCAGTAAATCGTCCGATCGAGCTTTGCCGATTTCCATCAACTTGTCCCACTGTAAGTTAAAACCATACATGCGTACCGAGGGTTTATTTGATTTACATCTTTAATCTTACGCTTAAAACTCCGTGATGTTTTGGTTCGCCCGTATATTGTACAATTGTTTTTAATTTTGGCAAGTTGGCTTTTATACTAAGTATTTTTTGCAGTTGTTGATCATCTTCCACCACGATAATATTGGCCCTGCTTACTTCGGCGCAGTGTTGACATGCTTCCGGTGAATTTGTCGTATAAATTCCAACCGCGATACCTCTAAAAACATACTTATATTGCCTACTATGGTTGTCCAACGAGTCGCCGCTGCTGCTAAGGAAATATTTGCGCAATTGCAAACCCAAAACGATGAGGTTGCTTGGGTTTATGACGATATAAAACGAAAATAGCGCAAGGTATTTTGCAACTACGTAAACCATATATGTCCGCTATAACGGGCAATTTTTTAAAAATGTGTCGTCTATTAGCTAGTAATGAATAGAAATTACCCAGCGAAAATAGCGGCCAAATCAGCTACAAACCATTCAATACTATTGAACCCGATTATACAGACCGAATGTCGCGGCTCCAGACCCACTTGAATGAAAGCTTTCGCACATGTTTTGATGTAGTTTAAATATTGCCTGAAAATAAATGACAAAAACAAATTAAAAAACATTTACAAGTTATTAGTAATACAGTATTAGTAATTTACTGGGTAAATGAAATGAAAGAAGCAGAAATCATTCCTCATGAATAGATAAATAATAAGTGACGTAAAAACAGGAACACTGGAATATTTTGGACCTGCTGAAAAACAAATCACATTTAGAAGAAGTACGTACGTGTAGGTAATTGTTTCCCACTTTCCATTAATTTTCCTGCCTAAAGCAGGATGGTTTGGAAACTCATCCACAATGCGTTTAATAAATGATGGTACTGATTTTGGTGGTATGGTTTCTAAGGCTTTCCCGGAATCTGGAATGCGCAACTGAACACATCCCGCTGGGTCGCATGTTGTGTAATTTTCAGCGGGTTTTATTTGATCTGGCCCTGAAAACAGTTGGATGTGCATGTCTAAAAAAAAAATCAAATTAACACATTTTTTTCCAAATATTTTTATACAAATGAAATTAGAAACTAAAATTCAAATCAATAAAATTTTATAATAAAGCTTCAATATTAAATTAATATTAAAGCACTTTTGACGAATTCTTACCCCTATCTTGTTATTGTCTTTTAAAAAAAGCACATGTGCGCTAGAAACACCGATAACCCTGTATACACGAAACAGCTTAATGAAGTCAAAGTTCACTATAACTACAACTGTTTTTTTTAGAAAAACTTGTGTGCAAGTTATGGGTAAATGGTAAAACACGTATTTCAATATATTTTCAGACTTTGAACTAGTCTGGTGATAAGTTTTGTGCCGCATTTAGTAAATTAATCCGTTTAACAAATAGCATTTAGGGGAATATACAACTAGCGCAAGCAAATCAGTGGACCCAAATTAACAGTATTTAATTCATCGACCTTTGAAATCAATCGGATGATGTTAGAAGGTTCGGTTTTATTTAAAATTTGACCTTTCATGCAGATAGACCAAATTAGTGGAATCGTTTGCGTTTAATTCGTTGACCGATTTGGCAACAGCCTGAATTTATATTTTTCATTTTGTAGCTTGTTAATGAGTGGAACATTAATATTTAATGGTTTTTATAAGAAAGTGTGAACTAATTATTCGGAAACCCCGATATTTATTCAATTTTCGGAAGGGCAGTGAGGAGAGCGGTACGCGTACTAAATAAACTGATTATTTTAATTAAATATTGATTGCTATTCTCGTGGTCCTTGTATAACATATCCACTTAATCCAAATGAGTTTATAAGAGTTCGTATCGTTGAGTGTTTTATTTAGACTTAACTTCAAGACGTTCCGATCTAACGAAAATATATCAGCTGTTAATTAAACTATGTTCTAAGTTATTAGCCGTAAACATACCCATATTTAAATTTACCGGAACTTACAGGCACATAGACACGCACTTATACACATCTTTTTCACCAAGAAAGCGAATCTCAGAAAATAGTAACAAGCAAATAGGATATCAACAACATTATCTACGAAATTTCATTAAGCCGCAATCTGTCGTGTTTGTTTTACAGAAGTGCACGTGCGATTACATTTTTTCCCGAAGCAAAACCCAAATGTTTCAACGAATTGTTGTAGTGGGGAATCCTCACCGATACTTTTACCTGAACAGTTATCACACAATTTGGCGCTATTTTTATAGTATTTGCTTAATTAATCGGTTCATTTACTAACGATAAAGTAATGAAGTTTGCCTCAGTGGCGGCGCAATGAGCAGTATTTTATAAATATGTACGTACCATCAAATGATTCTTGAACCATCTTTACGCAGTCATAAGTCCAAACTAACGGTCTCTGAAAATCCATAAACAATGTTAGGCCAATGTAAAACAATAGTTAAAAAAAATTACTGATTCGAGAAAATTACATGCAAGTTTGTTCCAACCGTAGAAAGCTTCTGGTGATTCCTAGCAATTTTAATTTATTTCACTTTTCGTTCGTTTCAATAAAACATGTTAGTTTAAAAAATTAATTTCACGTTCATTATCCACTGCAATCGTACTTTTTCAGTTATCGAATTATAATAATTGCAAAATACGGACCAAATGATAAAACCGCTTACCCAAGATGCGATCATGAATAAGTCGAGCACCGAATAAAATTCGTTTTAATATTATTATCGCCACCGACAAAATTGACCAGCGCAATGAGTTTTACTGGGTGGTCAGGAATTATATATAATGGTTAATTGATACCAAAAAATCATCACCCTTAACGTCAAAAGCACGGAGTATTCTTTTACTAGCGTCTTCGCTAAAATATATGAATCAAGTTTAATATTGCCGATTTATTGCACCCCATCTAAGATGGAATTCCAGTAACACCTAGGTATACTTTAGTACGTTATTCATTTATCATTCATAATAAATATAACAAGTTTACGATAAAAAGTCAACAGCTAAACCTTGTATAATTTGGTTTTAGTGAAACAGTTCCGTGGTCAGCTCGTATTCGGTGTCACCCGGTATATAATATTTCCATAAAAATAAATCATTCATAGTAAGCAATAAAGTGTTTCTTTGTGATAAACTTGACATCGTTCACTACTTATAAACACATCAACACCGACCATCGATATTATTTTAACTTGTATTCTTTTGAAATAAATCTTGCCACGCGATGACCTTAACATTGGAGGGTGTTTGAAAGGGGTTTTCAATGTCAACAGTAGTGTTTTTTTAAGGTGTTTTTTTTATCACCAATTGAAAAATGCCTAAGTTCACCTCCTAATGCAGCCAAACCAACAAGGTCGAGAGTTAAAGTCTGTTCATAGATATAAGAAAGTGAATAACTGATACGAATTAAGGAAAGACCCCGGCAAGCTGCAAGAATGAAATATGGCCGAACAGGTCCGTACTTTGCTTAGAATTTAATTATTTGGGGTTTTGTTAGGGAAGATACTAAACAATATTTATGTATTTATGTATTTATGTTTAAATCTAAAATAAAATTACAAATTATTTTTATTACCTACTTAAATTACTTAAAATTATTCACATAATATATCAGTATCACTATCGCTGTTCTAATTATTATTTGTTCTATATTATTTACAATATGGATATACGATTGTTCTGCTTTTTCTATATGTTTAACAGAATTTGCCCAACTTTGCCCAACATGTTCAATGGGATTAGATATGCAGTGGGAAGGTGGAAGCCTTAAAACTGTATGCCCTAGATTTTTTGCATAATTATTACAGACGTATTCTTTTTGTAGGTTCAAGCTTTGTAGAACCTCAATTAATTGCTTTTTGGTATAATCTTCGTGAAAGTAAATGTCGTTATTATACATGTATTTTTGGATTGTTTGTTTTGTGTCACGTGAGGAACGGGTTTTGGTTAACTGTTTATTGTGATAACTTGCATTGTCCATTACAATTACGCTATTAGGTGGAATATTTGGAACTAGTTTGTTTTTAGACCAGCTTTCAAATAAATCAGCGGTGGTGTCTTCATGGTAATCCAGAGAAGAATCAGAGAAAGTCAATTTGGAATACAACCATCTTTAAAGCCAGTATGCAAAACAGTTATTCTTTTACCTCTTTTTGATGGCGCGTTTGTTTTACACTTATCAGTTGAGTCAACCCAACCCTTTTCCGGGGTATCATAAGGGTTGAACCAGGTTTCATCCAAGTAAATAATTGGCCTTTGTTGTTTTCTGTAAATCCTAATTTTTTCTAGATATTCCAGTCGCCATTTCCGAATTCTAAAAGATTCCACTAAAACTTGCCTTTAGTCAATTTTTTTAAATCTAAAACCCATGTGTTGAATACACTTCCATAAGGTAGTTCTGTCACATTTAACACCAGTTTCATTTTTTTCAAGCCTCCTAATTAAGATATCTAATGTAGGCGCGCTTTGTTCCTCGTATAATTGGTAAATTTTACGCCGTATTATATCTTGATCACTTTCATCTACACTCGAGAAAATGTCAGCATCGCTTCTTTTTTTCCTCGCTGAAATGGAATTATTCGCAATTTTCCATATGGTTAATGTTGGCTAAAGATACTTGCTTGCTGACACCACGTTCAATGAGAGTCAAATAAACATTGTTTATAACTTCCTTAGTCTCAATAGAATAGTGTTTTCTACATTTGGGAGGGAGCATCTCCTGATCTACTCTAGACTCCCAACTATTTTGCATAATTAGCACACGATTCAACACACGCTGTATTACACACGAAATAAGAATGATTACTAATAAACTTAAACTAAGTAGTATACCAAACCAAAGAATATTAAACACAGGTAGGTATAAAATTATTTTCTGTTACGGACCACAATTTAACACACCACACCACAACTTTAGGTATTAATCTTGTATTGTATGTTAATGACCACCGTTGGATAATCCCATTCAAAAGCAATTGGTCACTTTCTTATATCTGTGAACAGACCATACCAACTAAATATGTATCTAATCGGTTATAGTAAGTACAAATTCAACAACAAAATTATTTACAAAATTGAAGTTTAATTATGATTTCAGACATTTTTTTTTGAAAATTGTGACTTTTATAAAGGATATGTTTTTTCATTTTTTTAAAATTTTGATTAGATAATTGTAGTCTAGCATAAAAATCACGCTTTGCCTTTCGAAAATTTTAGAAATAAATTGATGAAATGTTAAATGAAATTTTATTATATTACGGTAATTTAAGATATTTTGGACTGTCATGGGCAGATCTTCATAAATAATGAAAAATAGTTCCGGGTTTATAAATACATATACTTGTGCTCACGAAATTTTAAATGTACCATGCGTTCGAGTCTTTTAATAACCAGTCGTGGGTGATCGTATTAATTTTTATTGTCTAGGTCACGACAGAACAGCAACCATAATGAAGCTGAACATAAGCATACGCAGAATGTTTATTACTTATGGACTTCTTTTGTTTTCTTAGGTTATAGCTAGCGATTTCTCAACCCAACAAACACTAAAATCGATCTCTTTCTGTGATTTAATGATAGCCGGGTGTGATCCAAGCGAGTTTATTATTATTGTTTGGACCGCTTGCAATCGTAAAACGGGGGCCAACATACATCTGCCCGGTTCGTTGCGAACATGAAATCCCATTAAAAAGTAATAATAGCCACCATTGTTCTGGACCCTTTCAAACGAACGTGACGAAGGATTAAGCACGTTTAATGCTGTGGCCGCTACGAAACTACTTCACGCTATTTAACGTTTAATGGGACTTCACACGGTGTAACCAATTTAAAAAAAAAATGGTAACACACGTGCTAACACTACCGCCAAGGTTCCTTCAGAACACTTTGTTTTTAACGGTTTTGATCTTTTTTTAAAGCAAATCTAACGACTTTAAGAGCTCGTATACACTCCTGGATCATCTGATTGAAAAACACTAAACCCAAAATCAATATAAAAAAGTATTCCCGCAAGTTTTATACCAAGGACAATTTTAGATTTCAATTCATCTTCATTGAAATTTCTATAGGTGTGTAACTTCAACAAGCATATTATTTTATTTACTTGTTTTCTGTTTAGTTGTTATTTTGTAAATTAGACTAATAAAACTATCCTACGAGTAGTGAGACTTAAAACACTAACAAATAAATGGGTAAATAGTAAAAATACAGCTCGAGGTACCCTAGATAGTATACCAACTGGGAAGACGCCGTTGGTCAACTTGTGTCCATTTCAAACTGCGCAACTAGTGCTTGTACGTAACTTTCCGACACTGCACTATTGTTTCGATTTTTAATATCACGCGTCACAGCTGCGACGAATTTACTTTTACGTACACACTAAGACATAAACAAATTATTCAAATGCGTAAGTGAAATTCGTCTTTAACGAAAGTAAAAAGCATCAACGAGTGGGAGAAAATTGAAGAAAGAAGGGAGTCAACACCAAACAGTCACTTTCTTTGAACTGTCTACAGAAACCAAAATTTGGGTCAAACGTTAAGACAAGGTTTGGTGTTTATGTCGTTCTTAGCATTGGCAGTATACTTGGCACCGTGAATGTGATACAAACTGGGATACATGCATTTCAAGATGAAGTTCCGGATAATTTTTGTCGGTATGTTCAAATAACTAACTAACAAATAAAAATATATTTCTTCAATCGTCGGCAAAGAGCCTAGTCCGTTCAAAAATATTTATTTTTGTTGTCACTAATTTCCACGTTTATTCAAATCTCGAAATTCCCGCGAATTCTTGCGCAGTTGATCGTCGACGGAGTCGCAATAGAAACCGATATAGAAAGTAAAGCGTTTTATTTATTTGTCGTCAATTTTGCGAGGACCGTAATAAACAGCTCTAATAAAATTTCTAGAATGTCCAGGTGAAAAATATATCGAAACTAGGTCCACCGGGGTTTTTCAGTATTGCGTAATAAAGGGATTTCCATGCGGATCTATTACGCAACGTAGCAATGTTTTGGTGCCGCTGAAACGGATCTTCCGTGTCATCGAAAAACTTAAGAGAAAGTGAAATGATTTTTCGCATATCGTGCCAATTCTTATTTATTTATAATATATCTCGGGCGTGGGAAGGGTCTAAAAACTGTTTTCTTAACCAGATGTACGTTTTGAAAATAAATTGACCAAAAATTAATTTATAATTTAATTTTAAAAAAATACTCACTATTACGAAAATGTTTGGATAAAGCCAAAATCTATTAGTGATTACACACTGTATGGATCTATACGAACATTGTTGTTCGCTTTGCGATTTGAATCACTTTCTTCTTTCTTTTAGGCGACGCTCTAATAACTAGAAAACCCTGACAATATTATTTACACCTCTCGGTCTTTCGGATTAAATTGAACCGTCAAATTATTTATTTTACGTGCAGCGAGTGGATGGAAGCAGTACGATCGAAGCTCTAATATATGCTTTTGTGCTGCAGCGTTTCATTTTGAGCTAGCAATATAATTTTTGAGAATTTGATTTTTAATAAAATTAAACGTATTTGGTGTGTAATTTTTGGTGTCGATTGCATTTCAGGTAGATTTATGATCCTGTGTATATTATTTCCCATTTCGTATGAGTACACTGCGGGCCAATATTACAATTACCAGCCGTGGTCCATGAAAACAACCGAGGAACCACCGAAGTGGATTAAAATTTCCCGTATTAGATCTGTAGATAACAGCCAATATTACCAACCCAGTCTGTATAACGAAAATTACCCCCCGTTTCGTAGAAACAGCAAATATGTCGAAAGTGGACGCCATTTGAAGCCCGAAACGATTTCTAAAATAACAGAAACGCTGGGAGCTTTAAACACGGTCGGTAGATATCTAGTCAATATCACCAGGAGTGGTGATGGTGCTAAATTAACACGTGAAGTGCCATCGGCTTTATATACAATTAGTAAAAATGTACTGGGGAGAAATGTCACAGACACCATCGCACCTTTGGTGAGGGAAGCACTGCCTTTGCCGGAAACAGATGACAAGCACAAAGTGGAAAATAAAGTCGATGGAGAACAAGAAGACGAAAGTGTCGACGAGTCTCGATGGTGCACTACACCATCCGGATTACCAGGGTATTCTTTAAAAAATGCACAAGCTGTTTCAAATAAAGCCGGCATTATATATAACCAAACAACTTCGTAACTTCAATAATAATGGAGTTAGCAGCGGTGCTGGTTTCATTTGAAACAAATTTATAAATAATGTATAGCTCTTGTTGTTTTTAGGTCGTGCAACGATTTGGGTGACTGCCCACAATTGTTGTTGAATTTGGACAGCCTTCGCCAATCTTTATGTTTTAAGGATTTGTTTTTGCCCGGGGTGTGCTGCCCGCGCAATGAGAATGCTCAGAAGAAGCCGAAACCTGTGATCACGTCAACATCGACCGCCAGTACTACCTCTGCGACGGTCAGTACTACAACCAAGCCGACCACTTTTGCATCGATTTATTATAACACCGAAAAAACCACTACCAGCAAGCCGATCAAATTTGAATCAGATTTCAATATTGGTCAAGCGACGACCAAAAGACCATTTACATTTGAGTTTTCTAGTACAGCCAAATCCAACATCACTTCATTGGTCGCAATCTCCTCAACAGCTAGATCTCCTGTTAGCGAATCAACTATGCCCGTGATAAATAATTTTGTTCATCCAGATGGTAAACGGTAACACCATCAATCGCATTGCCGTCCTATCCGAAGGTTTATTTTAGAGTGTGGCCAGCCGGAATCGGCAAAATTCCGTGTAGTTGGTGGTGAAGAATCATTACCAGGTCGATGGCCTTGGATGGCCGCCATATTTCTCCATGGTTCTAGAAGAATCGAGTTCTGGTGCGGAGGCACTATTATTTCAGCCACCCATATCTTGACAGCGGCCCATTGCACAAGAGACTCCAGACAAAGACCGTGAGCAAATACATTTATTTATGCTTATTTGATAAGAACGATAAAACAAAATAACGCGATCGATTTAATACGTTAAACTTATAATTTTTCACTTTCTTTTTGCAGCTATCTTCGAATTATTATTTTCTGAAAAATTAATTGCATTTAACTTACCCATTTTTATTACAATACAAACCTTATATGGTGCACAAAATAGACATTGTCTATACCGTAAAAGATTGTTGACTCCATGGTTCTCGGTATTGTTGGTAGGTAGTGAATAACAGAAAAATGAGGCATCATCCCTTCCCCTTAATTTAACATGAGCGATTAAAAACCCATTATGAGATTTTGTTGATAAGTTCGGCTGGTTTTCAGGTTCTCCGCCAGACAATTTACAGTTCGGTTAGGAGATATTGACCTAAAGAGAGACGACGAACCTTCAGCCCCTGTAACATTTAAGGTCACTGATGTGAGAGCACACAAACAATTCAGTAGGGTTGGTTTTTACAATGATATCGCGATTTTAAAACTGGACCGACCAGCGCGGAAAACGAAGTATGTAATTCCCATTTGCTTACCACCACCGGAACTAAAGCAAGAGGATTTCGCTGGAAGAAGAACCACTGTGGTCGGATGGGGCACTACTTTTTACGGCGGAAAAGAGAGTACCACCCAAAGGCAAGCTGTTTTACCTATTTGGAGGAACGATGATTGTAATCAGGCTTACTTTCAACCCATTACGGCCAGTTTTATTTGCGCCGGATATTCAGAGGGAGGCACAGATGCCTGCCAAGTAAGAAATTGGAAATAGAAAACAGCCTAGTGTGAACGTAAGAATAAATAATTTCGTTTTAGGGGGATTCGGGTGGACCGTTGATGATTCATTGGAATACCAGGTGGATACAAGTAGGGGTTGTATCGTTTGGTAACAAATGTGGAGAACCAGGGTATCCCGGAGTCTACACTCGCGTGACGGAGTATTTAGATTGGATTCAAGAAAACACAAGTACTTAAATAGTGTACTTAGCCATTTTAACAGGAGTTTTTAACCGAAAAGGTGCGAAGTGATAAATATAATTAAGCTACGATTCGTATTTATTCTGAATATTTAGATTATACCGACATTGTGATAATGTATATAATTTTTATATGTTAAATGTTATTAAGAATAATGGTCACTACTTAAAATTCCTAAGTATTTTTTACCTTTATCCGCTCTTCCAAAATAATAAGCAAAAGACTTTGATGAAGATACACACCCAATTCAAAGTAAATATGTTAAATTTTAGTAGGAATTTTATCGAAAGGTTGGAATCTGTGACAAGCAATTTTGGGATAAAACAATATATTAACGAACCAACTCGAATTTATTAGATCTTATTTGAAAAAATTTTTCGGATGTTTTTCAGGGTGGAATGTGATCACTTTCGTTGTCGCTGCTTTTGAGAAGGTTCCTGTTGATCACAGAGTACTAAGAATAAATTAAGAGAGATTTAGAAAATATTCACTGTCATCACATTATTTGGGAGCGTGATATTGATTTTAAATTGTTGTATAAAATAAATTTGTGATAATTAGGAAAAATTTCAATATTAAGTATATATTAAAAACACTTGTGGGAGAAAAGGACTTATTTACAAAATAAATTTCAAACGTCTACCATTAAGGAGAAATGGAGTGACCTTAAAACCGTCGATGTCATTAAAAACAAAAAAAAGGTTGCCAGTTTAGTAATAATAATAACATGGAATAATTATTTTGCTACTTCTCAAAAATTCTAGAAAAAGTAAAGAAAATTCAATTAAGAAATTTTTTCAACAAAAATAAAATATTGCCTGAAAAGCAGCAGGATTCACGATTTACTTTTGGGAGTGCGCTTGCAGAAGCCATTGAAAGTGGGAAAACTTCGACAGTTTGGTAGATAGATTTTAGTAGGGCGTCAATCACGACCTTTTAGGCTCCATATTAAGATTTTTTGGGCTGAATGATTGAACGCGTTCAAATAGCATCGATGTTAAATCCGGAGTACCTGAACAACCTACTTCTAAATTTTGTTTTGAATTCGCTGTTAATAATAATACGTACATAAATCTAATGTGTGTGCGAAAACTAACATTTTTTTAGAAAAATTAAAATATATTATTATTTATAATAAATTTGAAGAATTGTAAAAGAGATTCAAAACGAAATTTAAAAATACTATGTTCAATTTTTTTTAAATGTATTTTTTTGTTCGTTACGGTTTTTTGAGTCACCCCGTTGAATTTAAAATAATTTTAAATTGTGTATCCTAACAATCTTTTTCTACTATCTTCTGTAAAATGCCTAATTATACACTGATCTACCGTGCGGAAAGCGTCACTTTTCCAACTTCGGATGTTTCCGGGATATTATCGCGCGGGTTTGGAAGCAATCGGATGTTTTCGGAGATTTTACGGTGAGGCTTGAATTTTGACGTTTGTCAATTCTGAAGGTCATGTCAGTGAATGAATTCGTGTTGTTTTGCAAAAATGTACCCAAAAACTCGTTATGCCAATGATCACTTAAAAATACTCCCTCAAAGTCGTCTGTGAAGTTCTAATAAAAGTTGCAATTTTCTGATTCGTGTAAAAGCTTGGACCTGTATTTAGGCTATAAACTTAGATTTGGGGAGCATCTTATTTATAAGCTTAGGAGAGCATATAGTACATTAAATATAATTTACTCCTACATACATTGCTTCCACGAGAAATCAAAACACTTCTGTATAACTCCCTGGTTTTATCTCAGTTAAATAACTGCTATGCAATCTGTGGCTCTTGTCTTGACTCAGTAATTAAAAGGCGTGTATAAAAACTTGAAAACTCATACCTAAGGTTAATTTACGCCGTTTAAGGTCGGCAATATATTTCAAATTACGTACTCCGTATCTATTTAACAAATTCTCATTTAGAGTCTAGGCCTGCTTACGGTACCGCAGCACCAAGAGGAAATTTTTAAAAGATCTTACTCTTCAAATATTACAGATCTGATTAAATCATTGAATTTGACAAGTTCCGACTACATCTATGTATTGAAGCATAGAATAAACTGGGTCTTTCTACAGTAATTATGAATTTGCCTTCATGTCCGATGAAGTAAAATAAAGTAACATCCATTTTAATTAATGTTTTTGCTACCCGCTACCCTTTATCCCCTTTTCCTTTCCACCTCTTTTATTTGGAATTATATATCACTTAGCCATCTCATTCCACAAAACAAATTTTGAGACTTAAACAGTATATGGGAAATTTCCGGATGGCTGACTTACTCATAAAAGCCGTTTGCTATCGTTTGTCATGCGAATATTTTATTTTATTTCTGAAGTGTTGTTTATGGAATAAACCTATTTTTATTATTATAATTAAATTTGATGAAAGAATATGAGAAAGAATTAGAAATACTAAAAGGATGTCGAACTTCCATTGCCTTTATTTTTAACTTACACAACGTTTCGGACAGTTGTATCACTACCCGTTATCAAGTGTAAACTAAACTTAATTCTTTACTAAAGTTTACACTTGATAACGGGTAGTGATACAACTGTCCGAAACGTTGTGTAAGTTAAAAATAAAGACAATGGAAGTTCGACACCCTTTTAGTATTTCTACTGAATCAGTGTCCACTACCTTCAAGGCAAACATGAGAAAGAATTGTTTCACTTACTGATGTGTTTGAGAGTAAGGAGTGTGCGTGTACTTTGAGTAGGCCACTACAGCTTATTTTTAACCTGTTCTTGTCTTCAGGTATTTTTTCTTACTTTTGGAAGGTTAACTATTTGGTACCGATCAACAAAAGTGGTGATAAAAGCGATGTCGCTAATTATAGAGACGTTTGCCTACAGTCGGTGGTTCCTAAACTGCCTGATTGGTTATTTTGTGAGCAACTTTCGTGGCATAGATTTGTACCGTAACAAATTTACTCACCTACCAACAATTTTTATTGAACGCCTTTGAGGAGTTTGGTCAGGTGGATTGTGTTTACAAGGATTTCTCGAAGGCGTTTGACCGTGTGGGTCATGTGCATCTTGTCTCTAAGCTTAGAGTTCTGGGCCTGGGGGCTGGGCTGGTGCAATGGATTAAGTGTTAATAAGTTAATAAGTGTTTAATAATTATGGCCCAGGTAAAATTGATATTTCTTCGGGAGTCCCCCAAGGTTCTCACACTGGACCCATCCTTTTTAGCTTGCTTATAAATGATATTGTTAGTGTAGTTTCGGAATCATAGTGTCTTTTGTTTGCGGATGATTTGAAGATATTCAGGAGGGTTGGATCGAGCGAGGATGCTCTGCTGCTTCAGAGCGACGTGGACAGTGTTTACATGTAGTCTAAGATTAATAGCCTGACGTTCAATGTAAAGAAATGTTGTAGTATTAGCTTTAGTCGTTTGTTGAGTATGGTTCACAACCAATATACCATTGATTGAGTCGAGTTCAAGGCCGTCACTGGTATTAAAGACTTGGGTGTTTGCTTCGATTCTAAACTAAATTTTGTGTCACATTTTGCGGAAGTAGTAAACAGATAAATGCGAGTCCTTGGGTTTGTTGTGCGCAATAGTGACCAACTTACTGCGCATTGCCTTAAACTCCTTCATATCTCTTTGGTTCGCTCTAGACTGGAGTGTGCATCTGTGGTATGGCCTCCATATTATGCCTGCCATATAAATAAGATCGAAGCCGTTCAGAAAATATTTTTAAGATCTTTGGCTTCAAAAGGCGAATATCTATCATGGGTATCAGATAAACTACAGTATGATAGCTAAGGCCTTCAATATTGAAACTCTTCAAACTAGAATATCTCAGAGTGATTTAGTTTTTCTCTTTAAGATTCTGACTGGTTGGTATTATTGTCCAGCTCGTTTACATAGCGTACAATTTAACGCATATTACAGAAGTTGTGATAAGTCAACGTTCCGCATACCTTACCATCGCGCAAATTATGGAGTTCATTCACCCCTTACCAGAATGCTGAAGCGTGCAGCTGTTTAAAGCTTGATCCTTTTGTCGGCAGCATCCGCTCATTTCGTTTCTGATGTGTTCCGTTTTAGTGCTGCCACTTAATTCTGTTTATTGTTATTGTTACATTTTGTTCCGGTTTCTAGTTTTTACACTGCTGTCTTTCTCTGTTTGCCTTTAATGAATTTAAAAGTTTTGTAAATTGGTTAAACCGTAAATAAATAAATAAAAAAAAATTATTGCTTAGAGAATTGATGTTGTATATAGAAAATATATCCGCAACTCTATACATGTTTATATCGATCTAAATATGTGCTAGTAAATATAACGGAACCAATTTAAAGCATAATTATTAAAATATAGCACGATTATCAATTATTATTATTGCGATTAATAAAAGGCATCAATTCTCTAAATAATTTATTATGTACAAAAAGGAGATTAATTTGGCACTTTGTTTATTTACAAGCTAAGCCCTTATCAATGAATTCATTCAAGCTATAAGTATTTAAAATAATAACTAATCGAAAGGTATTTGAAATAAATTACTTATTTACATGACGGCTACGATATGGAAACCTGTGCGGAAAAAAAACTGAAGTTGGGTGAAAAATTTTATTCGATGTTTTTTAAAGGCGACTCCGTGAAACCATCAACTGTTCAAGCAATATCACAGCAGCAGAAAGTCGGTCTTCCTTCGTTTCCATTTATTTACGTAAAAATAGAAAATATAACACCAAGGGTTTATTTACAAGTATAAAAAGGTGAGTTTGATCCGGACATCAAAAAGGCAGTGTACTAATTACTCTATATCTAATATACGTTTAGGTACATATTTTATAATGCTGCACTCTTTCTTCTAACGTTTTTGTGTAGTGCATCATCCTACCGATTAAGTTTTGCAATTGGTTTTCTAGATTACTGAGCTCCTCATCTTGAGCGCTCTCCTCCAGCCTTTGTATATCTTCTTGCGTTTTGGTAACTTTTGCGACCAAATTGAGAGCTTTATTAAATAACTCGTTTGACCTTTCTTTGGTGGTTTTTACTTTATTCAAATTCTCGTCCAGTTTTACTCTAGCGTCCTCGTATTTAGTTTGCAGTTCCTTCGATTCAGCGCTCGTTGATTCGGCGTTTTTCAATATATTGACCGATTCCGTAATGACGCGATTCGCGAATTGTTCGTTGCCAGTTATGTTCTCTTGCAAGTCGATAATCCTCTCTTTGATTGCGTTCAACTGATTGTGGATTTCCGCTGTGGTTTCTTGTGCCCCCTCAGTTTTGTTGCCAATCTAAAACAGCCGTTAAAAATAATAAGACCAAACAAGAAATGGACATTACCACCTCATTTAGAATATTCTCGACAGCTTTATAATCGTTCCAGGCCTTCTCGACGGCAGCTTCGGCTTCAAGCTGAGCGTACTGAGTCTTGTTCAACGATTTATTTACGTCCTCTGCGTCCTTTAACAACTTAGTTGCGTTTGACCTCAAATAAAAATCAACTATCAAGATTTTTTTTCATTTAAAACCAACCGGTGAAATCCCTAGTAACGGACACAATGAGCGGAAAACTAAATTAGGCGGACACTTTTTGATAGTGCAGAATTAAATACAAATAGCGAATTCAATAAGACATAACCTCTCCTGAGCGGGCGTGGACACCATATTTTGGTAGAATACTTATAAAATTCTCTTTTAAAGGGACACAAAATTAAAAATATTGTTAAAATGGCAAAGGCATGCGGCCACATTGTGTGAATCCCCTCTAGCATAACATATAATAATAATAATAATAATAATAATAATAATAATAATAATAATAATAATAATAATAATAATAATAGTAATAATAATAATAGTAATAATAATAACAATATTAATACATTTATTTAGCACTTGGCTATTTACATAATTAATTAAAATATATGTAAGCAAACTATAAACTTCTCAAACATCCCGTAAGCAGTTCATTAAAATTACGAACACCACAGTAGAATATAGTTTTCTGTAAATTTGTAGTTTTTACTATAGAAAGATTGAAGTGCTGATTGAGACGTATATTATACTCATAAAAATTTGACGTAGCCTGGTTGGTCATCGCGCGCAATTCCATAAACCGACATTAAACTTGCTATTCTAATGAACTTTTAGTCAATTTAGCTGGTTTGACATACTCTTTATATAAGTATATCAATCACAGTTCAGTAAAATGAGGCAAAATTATCCTATTATACACTAATTTCTTAGCCAACTCTGATAAAAACCGCGATACACGGTTAAAAAACCCTATTTTATTACCAATTTTTTGCACACATATTCAACTTGATTACTAAAACATAATTGTGGATCTAAGATCACTCCTAACTATTTAATTTAGAAAACAAACTCAATTTTATTAGCCTGTATATCCACAGAATACCCCGAGAAATTTTTGCCAGTTAATTTTAGAACCGATAAACATGCATTTGGTTTTGGAGCTGTTTAATTTCATATGGTATTTCGTTTAAATCAGTAGTTAAGTTTAGAAATAAAAAATGGATATTTTAATTTTGGAAATTTATGACAGAGAAAATCCTAGTCACTGGAATTGTTAAAAAAAAGACGGATTGTTAAAAAAAATAATTCAAGTGTAAAACGAAGTTTTTTAAAGCCTATGAGATTACAAATTGACGAAATTTGCTGTGATGAGTGCAAGAAATAAACGAGATTCCACTTTCAAGTAAATAAAAAAATATAGCTAGAGGTTATTGTACTAAATCGTATTTATTAAAAAACTATAATTCGAGCCAAAGCAAAAGTGATCGGAGAAAGTTTGAATATCTGGATAAATTCATAAATTAACATCACTTTTAAAAGCATATCTGGGGAAGCCGAAGTGTTAATATGCAACATGCGGACAACTATAAACAAAAAATAACCTAATCGTTAATACAGTTTGCTCAAAAACATTTTTGATGCGGATGATGCTTTATTTTTTCGAGTTTTACCTGAGAGAGAGGCGTAAATCTATCACGAGAGAAAGAAAATTTATTGGTTATTGGCAAAATCAAACATAAAAAGGCATTTAGAAACAATAGTGCGAATCGGTTGCCTATTATGTGCAACAGTAATAAGAAGATTTTGATTTAAGAATGGGTATAGACAAAAAACTCTGATATTTTTTGATAAAGCTGCATGGCATCCTAAAGAAATTCAGTTAAAAAACATTGAACTTATTTTTAACATTTATTTTCCAACCAAGGCATAATCCACCATTTTAAAACATTCCAAGGCTTTACTAAAGCAGGCCATTGGTATGGTGAAAACTATGCAAGAATTTGCTAAATTTAACGGAGATTCAACAGCAATGCGGATGTTATCTGGCCTGGAATTACATTTTCAAGACAACATACTAAAAACACGGGCCACGCTACTATAATTGATTTTTTTCAAGCCTAATGAGTACGTTATATTTACAACATGTATTTACTAATATGTACGAGGTTAGCGCCAAAATTTCCCGGCCTGACATAGATGCAGCTTCAGTGTCACGATAACACTTTGACTCCTTTTAAATATATATCTTAGTAGGCTGCGAAAAAAAATTGAAGTCTTGCGTCAAATAGTTTTTTATTGGCAGCATTTTAAAGAGGACGTGTCTGAAAAAATGTCGCAAATAACGCAAATTGAGTATAGAGCAGTCATAAACTTTTTGACAAAAGAAGGCTTAGCACCTAAAATTATTAAAGAAAGGCTGGATGGTGCGTACGACCAAAGTTTCTCCTTCGTATTCTGTAGTGAAAGAATGGGCAAAACGTTTTCGAATGGGACAGGAGTCCCTTGAAGATGATTCAAGAACTGGTCGACCAGTGGAGGTCATAACGGAACATATTGTTGCGATTGTGGAAGAAGTGGTATTGAGTGATCAACGTTTAAAGGTCAAGGCAATCTCAGAAATTACTAACCTTTCTGATACAAGTGTTCGTCGATTCCTGCATGATCAATTAGGTATGCATAAGGTTAGCGCAAGATGGGTTCCTAAAAACCTTTCGGCTATTCAGTCGAATGTACGTGTCTTTTTTGGAACTCTGTGGGTCGGAACCGAAGCCCGTGATAGAAACTATTGTGACAGGAGATGAAACTATGGTTCTCTATTATGACCCTCTATCAAAAAAAGAATTAATGGAGTGGCGTCGTAAGGGTGAAGCACCTCCTAGAAAATTCAAAGTCTGCCAGTCAACAAAAAAGGTGATGGTCACGATCTTTTGGAATTGTGAAGGAATTCTTTTGATAGATTTTAATGTCAATGGTAAATGGTAAATATTACGCAACATTATTACATAAATTGCGAGACTGCATACGTGTAAAACGTCGAGGAAAACTGACCAGAGGCGTGAGTCTTTTGCACGATAATGCACCTGTCCATACTGCTGGTGTTGCACAAGCTGCCATTTTAGAGTGTGGGTTCCAACACATAGATCATCCTCCCTGTAGTCCAGATATGGCCCCCAGCGACTATTATTTGTTTGGATATTTGAAAAAGGACTTACGTGGACGGCGGTTTAACGACGAAGTTGAGTTAGAAGAGACTGTTTTAGCTCATTTTGCAGACAAACCAAAGGAATATATTTTTAAAGGGATTGAGTTGTTAATAAGTGTATTGAAGTTAAAATAATAAAAAATTGTTACTCTACTTTGTTTCTTTCATATTCAGGCCGGGAAATTTTGGCGCTGCCCTCGTATAAGTATGACACGGACATATTTCAGTAGTGCCAAAGATGTCCGCCCAAGAGAGATTTCCCTATACCATTAAAAACTATATTTTATATTTTTGATAATTTGCTTAGTTAGTCGAACTTTAATGAACTTACTTTGCGTATTTCGCGTCCTCTTTCAGCTGTTTCACTTTGGCCAAATCATTTTTGGTGGCCTCGATAATGTGATCGGTGTTTGTCAAACGATCGATTGCGTTTTTGATGTTGTCAGCCAATTCTTTCACCTGTTCGGGCGTCTTCGAGATATTTTTCCTCAAAACTTGTTCCGCGATGTTTTTAATGTCCTCCGGCTTGGTGTTATTCTGACCCAAGTACTCCCTCATCGCTTTCACCATATCGTTAGCTTTCTCCAACGACAGGTTCGATTTGAGTAATTCGTTGTTTATAACGTCGAAAGTTTCCTGTGCCAATTTACGTGTTTCGTTCGTGTTAATCTGGGATACGTTCCTGATGAAATCGTTAGCGGCTGCTTCTTTTTCTCGAAGAGCAATCTCGGTCCTGTTTACAAGACTGATGGCAGCTTCTGCCAACTGCTTAGCGCCGTCTTCACACGAGATAGAATTTCCGCAGCTATTGCATCCGGCGCCTCCGCATATAGAATCGCAAGGATCTCCAGCGCCGTCGCACACCAAATCGTTAAGAATTGGAATTTCTTTGTAAAGCTCTTCTAATTTATCGCGAATGTCGCTCAATTCGCGTTCGTTATTCTCTGATTGTTTTTCGTACGCGTTTTGCGTTTGATTGATGAACGTTTCAGTCGCTCGACATTGATTTTCCGCATATTTCACGTCTTCTTGAGAAGCGTCGGCTTTACGCACGGCTTGGGCCGCTTTTTCTTTAGCGTTGTTAATTAGCGTTAAGGCTCCCTGAACGTTGGCCTCCTGAAGTTTCGTACCGTTATTTTCCAACTCTTCAGTTTTCCTCTTAAGTTCGCCGATACTCTCGTTCAAACTCGTCACTTTCCTTTCGGCCAAGTAAATGTTTTGCTTAATATTCGCCAAGGCGTTATCCAGCTTGTTTAACTTGTCGTTTTCCGTATCGTTAATCTGATTTCTCAATATCTGAAGCTCTTCTTCGATGGCATCCACATCGACATCGTCGACGTTGTTCAAAAGCTGCTCTATTTCGTCGAGTTGCGCTTGCATGTCGTCAAACTCTTTCGTATAGGCTCCGGTGGCCCCAACTTTTTTAATGTCTCCAGCTCTATCGATTATTTTCAGCGTTTCATCTGGATAGAATAATTCGTTATGTTTTTAACACCGGCGAAGGTCGACGGTACTTACTTTTAGTTTCCTGTAATATCCGGTCCCAATTATCGAAGCATTCGCCGCAGGTCAGGCAGTCAGGTATGTTTCCGATAAAACCCCTTTCGCACCGGTCGCATTTGTGACCTCCCACGCCTGACAAACAAACACATGCCCCTGTTCTTTGATGACACTGTTTATGTTTGGCACCCAACACGTCACATTCACAATCTGCGTGAATAACAATATTATAGTTTTTATTTGGTACACACAAATACAAAATGGTTAATACAAAAACCTTGTTTAAGTCATAAGTTACATGCAGGCTCCTTTTTAAATAATATTCTTCGAGATAGGAAAAATTCCGCTTGTGTATTCTAGGTAAAGTCCGTTCATAGATATAAGAAAGTGATTAACTGATACGAATTAAGGAAAGACCCCGGCAAGCTATAAGAATGAAATATGGCCGAGCAGGTCCGTACTTTGCTTAGAATTTAATTATTTGGGGTTTTGTTAGCAAAGATACTAAACAATATTTTTTTATTTATGTATGTATTTATGTTTAAATCTAAAATAAAATTATTTTTATTACCTACTTAAATTACTTAAAATTATTCACATAATATATCAATATCACTATCGCTATCATGGCCTGTTCTAATTATTACATGTTCTATATTATTTGCAATATGGATATACAATTGTTCTGCTTTTTCTATATGTTTAACAGAATTTGCCCAACTTTGTAGAGGGATGTTAAAAACTTCGCTTTCTATAACTTTGAGGACATTGGAGTTAACACTGGGAAAAACATTGTTACGACGAATGGCAGATTTCAGTAGGTGCCAAACATTTTCAATAGGATTAAATATGCAGTGGTAAGGTGGAAGCCTTAAAACTGTATGCCCTAGATTTTTTACATAATTATCACAGACGTATTCCTTTTGTAGGTTCAAGCTTGGTAGAATCTCAATTAATTGCTTTTTGGTATAATCTTCGTGAAGATAAATGTCGTTATTATACATGTAGTTTTGTATTGTTGCTTTTGTGTCACATGAGGAAGGGGTTTTAGTCAACCGTCTACTGTCATAATTTGCATTGTCCATTACAATTACGATATTAGGAGCAATGTTTGGAACTAGTTTGTTGTTAAACCAACTTTCAAATAAATCAGCGGTGGTGTCTTCATGGTAATCCAGAGAAGAATCTTTAATATTTTTCGCAAACAGAGAAAGTCCACTTGGAATCCAACCATCCTTAGAGCCAGCATGCAAAATAGTTATTCTTTTACCTCTTTTTGATGGCGCGTTTGTTTTACACTTATCAGTTGAGTCAACCCACCCCTTTTCCGGGGTATAATAAGTGTCGAACCAGGTTTCATCCAAGTAAATAATTGGCCTTTGTTGTTTTCTGTAAATCCTAAAGATTCCACTAAAACTTGCCTTTTGTCAGTTTTTTTAAATGTAAAACCCATGTGTTGAATACACTTCCATAAGCTAGTTCTGCCACATTTAACACCGGTTTCATCTTTTTCAAGCCTCCTAATTAAGATATCTAATGTAAGCACGCTTTGTTCCTCATATAACTGCTAAATTTTACGCCGTATTACATCTTGATCACTTTCATCTACACTCGAGAAAATGTCAGCGTCGCTTCTTTTTTTCCTCGCTGAAATGGGATTATTCACTAATTTCTATACAGTTGATGTTGGAATTTTCGTTAATGTGGCCGTTTCTTCTAAAGATGCTTGCTTGCTGGCACCACGTGCAATGAGAGTCAAATAAACATTGTTTATAACTTCCTTAGTCTCAATAGAATAGTGTTTTCCACATTTGGGCGGGAGCATCTCCTGAGATACACTAGACTCCCACATATTTTGCATAATTCGCACACGATTCAACACACGCTGTATTACACACGAAATAAGAATGATTACTAATAAACTTAAACTAAGTAGTATACCAAACTAAAGAATATTAAACACAGGTAGGTATAAAATTATTTTCTATTACGGACCACAATTTTACCTGAATTTATTTTCCGAAACTTTAGGTAATAATCTTGTTGCATTGAATGTTAATGACAACCCTCCGATAATCCCATTCAAAAGCAATTGATCACTTTCTTATATCTATAAACAGACCTTACACACAAATAAAAAATGTTTAATACAAAAACCTTGTTTACGCCAAGTGACATGCAGGCTCCTTTTTTAATAACATTCTTCGAGATAGGAAAAATTGCGCTTCTATATTCTAAGTAACTCTAACATTTAATCTTAAAATGTTTACATTAATTACCTTTTCATTATAAGAGTCGAAAAAAGAGGTAAAAACTAGGACCACTGCAGTATTAAAAAAAATCGCGCATTCAATGCATTCAAAACTTACGCAAGCATTCGACTTTTGGATCTCCGTAAAATTCTCGCATACATTCGTTGCATTGGCGCCCTCCAAATCCCGGTTTGCATTGGCATTGTCCGTCGAACTGAAGAACAAAAAATCGACATCACACTCGCAGGTCTGAAGTGGAAGCTAGTTTGCATGTCCTACCTCATTGCATTTGGCATTAAGAGAACCAAACGGATCGCAATCACAAAACTCGCATCCTTGTCCGCTAGCGATTTTCCAGTGATTTAGTATACATTCGTCACATTTTAAACCCGAAACGTTGGGGAAACAATGGCATTGTCCACTGGAAGGATTACACGGGCCGGCAGTGGAGTTGGTACCCAAAGGATGGCAAACGCACTCTAAGAAAATAAAATTGTTACAACCGAATTGGTGTTTTAAGCGGTAACCAATGCATCTTCACCTTCGCAAATACTGTCTTCGGTGTATCTGAAGAACCCTTCCCTACAAACTTCGCAATGGTCGCCGGTGGTATCCTCTAAGCATTTCAGACACTTTCCCGTGTGCGGATCGCAATTACCAGGCACCAAAGTATTTATTTTGTCGTTGCAGTCGCAAGGTTTGCATGAACCCCCGGGTACCTCCGGATTTCCGTAGTAGTTGTCTGAACACACATCGCATCTGGTACCTACGAAAGATCAAAAAATGTTCAGCCTCAAAAATTTCAAATAAGTCGACAGCTGAAATTGTTGTTCACGTATGGTGGATGCGATTTTTTTTTTTTTGAATTACCCGCGTAACCCAGCTGACATTCGCAAACAACATCTTTGGTATTGGGATCCAAGCTGCATCTGTCGGCAAACGAATGGTTGGATCCTATGGGCCCCGGACATGGACATGGTCGACACGGAATGTCTACATTGATTTTTGGATCTCCGTAATAACCTTCTATGCAATTTTCGCAGTGGTCAGCCTGAGTATTATCGCGGCATTTGATACACACCCCAGTTCGCGATTCGCAAATATCCGCATGGCCGTTACAGTCGCATCTTTCACAGTTGGGGAATCTGTAATAGTAGTAATAATATGAAAACAAAAATAGTCGCTTGTGCAACGTTACAAGTATTGCTTACTTCCAAAAACCGGTACGGCATTGGTCGCACTCTCTACCGTAGGTATTTGCTCTGCATTTACATTGACCAGTGGTTACGTTGCACAAATTATCCATGGCTCCGATGCTATTGCAGTCGCACGCTTTGCAACCCTCCGGTCCAAAATCGTACGTACCTTGCGCGCACTTGTTGCATTTCCTTCCAACGACGTTAGGTTTGCAATTGCAATGACCACCAAACAGATCGCATATCTTACTGATGGAGCCGGTTGGATCGCATTCGCACAGTTTAGCACCATCGAATACGTAAGCGCTGATACTAGCGTGATATTTTTTACACACTTCCGGTACTTCGGCACCTTTTACGAACATCGATGGATGGCCACAATTGTGCCGTTCGAATTCCTCTTTCCTCCTGATTCCCGCCGGTGAATTTGAAAACATCGGCATACTGTCGATTCTCGGTTTCAATATAATTGAATCGATGAGAACCGATGCCGTTGGCCTGGGGGTTGCATAATTGGTACTCATAATGAAATCAACTCGAATTGTATAGGTTTTGCCCGCCTCTAAGCATGACGGCGGATAGACAACTTGCTCGTGTTGTGTCGACGGCAAAGATGTATGCTTTATGTCATCTTGTGGTCGAGTATTGGCACAAGGACCATCCGGGTCCACCAAGTCTGGCCTTTCTATTGTCACCACCACGTCTTCCCACGTGTCTGGAATAATGGGCTCGTATCTGAAGCAATAAAAAAAATTGTCTCCTCTGACAACAGTTTTTTTTTGTATTTGCTGTTTACCTAATTATAACATCATAGTCCATGGACGTCACAATATCGTCGACAAAAACTTCGATATAGTTACCATCGAACACCTTAACAAACCCTGTCCCTGTCCAAGTGTTTTCCCTACCATCGCGATAGGGTTCTCGGATAACAACTTGCCCCGTGGTTTTGCTTCCTTCCGCTTCATAAAGCAAGAAATCCAAACTGGCCGTAAAATATTGCTGTTGAGGAGTGTCGCAACGTCTGCCCGTCATATGATCCCTGCATCTACATTGACCCGTAATTACATCGCAGAAATTATCATACGATCCGCCCACGTCGCATTCGCAAAGCTGACAACCATCTTGTTTCTCCGATAATCCCCAGTATTCTGGCAAACACTGGACGCAATCTCTTCCCGTTACGTAACGTTTACAAGTGCACTCGCCCGAATACACGTTACATCCTTGATTATCGATGGTGCCCAAAGTATTACACGTGCAAGGTTGGCAGCCTTCCGGATTTGCCTCTGTGAAATTCCAAAAACCGTTTTTGCATCTGTCGCATCTTCGTCCTTCCACGTTCTCTTTGCAGTGGCAACTTCCTGCTACCAAATTGTTTAACGGATCAGTAACAGAATCGCATATTGCTTCATCCAAAGACCCGTGCGGATCGCAATCGCAAGCTGAAACAAGTCCCGCAAGTAAATTAAAATTGAAAGAAAAATTAATTAAATTGGGTACGTACGTCTGCATACTTCAGGATCTTGAATGTCCCTACCAGGATCTCTGAAGTAAAAAGGTTTACACTGCTCGCAGTTCGATCCCATAGTATTATGCTGACACCCGTCGCATACTCCCCCGCTTACATGCCCTCGTGCTTCGAATAAAGCTGCGTCAAAATGGCAGCTGGTTGCGTGATTATTACAGTTACATCCTATAATATTAATTTTTCAAAATCTATTTGAAATTTGCTAGAAAACGCTTACTTTTGCAAGCGTTCGTTTGCTTTCCGATAGCGGGCCTCCACGGCAGATCATTAAAAAAATCTTCGCATCTTTCGCAATTCCTTCCCTTGGTGTTGTGAGTACATTCACAACGACCGTGAACCATGTCTGGTTTGGCTTCGATGCCAGCTAATGGAAGGCAACGATTTGCGTGTCCGTAACAGGAACACGAGCCTCTTACTACCATATCGGTAATTGCATAGTAATACTTTTCCTAATACCCATACATGCAATAAAACGAAAAAAATATCACACGATATTTTTCTTGGCCGATGGTGCACGCGCAATATTTTGATAAATAATGACAGTCGTTTTAAAGTTGAAATGCGAAATTACCTGTATTTCTTCCCGTTGATCCAGTAAATCATCACCTAAGGTGTGTAGTCTTGTAAAATTTATTCTTAAATTGGTCATTTTTAATAAATTTTGAACTTGCTCCGAATACGGATTGTCTATTGGCAAAGTGGGTGGCAAAACTCTGTAAATAACCTCCCCGTCGGTAGCTGGAGACAACCCCGAATATCTCGACTCACAGACAACATCTGTTAAGTTCCGTGGATGACCTTCTCGGATATGTGGAAAGCTTTCCGTGCAATTCTGAGCGAAATAGCGGTATACCTAAATAAAAATGAGAGTGAGATAAGTTGAAATTATCAATAGTAATAAACATTACCTGCCAAGTCTGTTTAAAATCATAAGATCTTTCAATTAACATGGCTGCTGGCCGAAATGTCTTGAATGTGATGATCAAATGAGTAAAATGGAACTCCGCTTCCAAGTCCAGTTGAATAAACACTTTTTCTTTTCCATTTTCCGATTGCCACCAAGATCTTTGCCTGGTACTGAAATACGAGTAGTTTGATTGAACGCAAAAATATCATCGAATTTAATTTACCCAGGATACATTCTGTAGACAATATTGCTGATGTTGTGGTTGTACAGCGGATTTGGTTTAGTGCTCGGTCTAGAATCGCACCAAAAACATTTCTTACGTTCCTCATCCAAGTGCGACACTATACAGTATTTCTCTTGCTTCTTAACACCGCAAGTGGATGATGCGTATAGTTGAGATTCTCTTCCTATCAATAAATTTCCTGTCGCGGGGTAACACGAACTTTGCTCGCAAGGATGAAGCTTTCTTGGTTCATATCCTAAATGATTTTGGTCAATTCAGTTTGTTATCACAAAACTTTGATTATTAAATGTTAGGATAGATAGTGCTGTTAATGAAAGTCGCTTATACTTTTTATTCCGTAATCGACAAGCGATAAGTACCTACGAAGCCCATTTGTACATTTTATTATAAGACTACTATGTGAAGAAATTTTTTCTGTGTGTAGAAGCCAGATATTGCACTTCTAAGTTAATAACAACTCGCTGTGATCCCGGAAGAATTCCATATTTTTAAGTTATGATCAAAAAGGTTTTAGCTGTCATAATAGGCTTTTGAGGTCGCTTCTTAGCTAAAGAAAAATCGAAATTAAACTCTTTAATCAAAGGTTGATTTAAAATGTCAAATCTTCAATTGTTTCTTTTCCTGCAAAAAAGTTAAATAGGGAATAAGAATTGCAAAGCCGGACTTCCGCACGAGATAGGACCTTCACCAGGAACCACAACCCTATTGTGTAAGTAATGGGAACCTCAAATAACTCAGGCTTAATATCGGGGCAATAAAATGGTAGACATTATTCTAACCGCTGGATTGATATAAACCCTGTCGATGCGGTTTAACATCCTCGAAAGGGTGAAAATCTGGGTAGATTTGTCCAATTTGCGATGGAACTGAGTCTGGAAATTCATCGTCTGTTTGATCAAATTCATTTGGCGCTAGATAAATAAATGGACAAAACTTGATGAAACTGAAAACACTGTAAGCTATAAAATTGCGTGGTCTATGGCACACCTGTCCACACAAACGTGGGTGTTTCAGCACAAATGATTGATATTTACAACAACGCTTGGATGAAATAAATTCAAACCTTTGAATTGCTGATGTCTTATCCTCTGTCGCGAATTCAGAAACTGGCAGCTTATGAGAGTACCTGAAAACGCAAATTTCTCTTCAATATGCGCTATTTTCTGCAATTTACTTACATCGCATTAATATAATACTTATTACGCTCCATCTAATTATGGAAGGCAGCGACATTGTTGAAGAGGCTGCGTAGGAGCCTTTCTGAAACAATAAGCAATTGTTCAAAATTTAGGCCTCCCTTCGCTATAGTGGGCGGTTCATCCATAATATTAATGTGCCATTTAAAAAAACGCTTATTTCTACCAGCCGCATAGTTACTATTTATTACTTTTTATAAAGAAAGTACCCTACAAAAAAAGAAGATCTAAATCGCTCCAGAAGTTACGAGTTCCTGTAAAAAAACAAGGGTGAAAAAAAGGCAATGGTTGTCCTCAGATGTTCACTAGCTCAGTTAGTTAAAGAGAGTCGATTCAAACAGAACTTATTCTCGGTGGGGTAGGTGGGTTGCTTATAATTAACAAAAACTGCCTATATAAAAAAAACAAATGTTTGGAGAATTGGACGCCAAAGTTTCTATCGAAATAGGTTCTTTTGAGAACCGACTGTATATTAGCTTTCTTTAGTTTGATAAAAATTTGGAAAAAAAAAACATAAATTGATTCGATGAGCTGTACAGAAAACCGATTTAACTAGAGAAATCTGACACTTTCGATACAGCATAAAGGTACAGCTGAAATATGCAAAATGGACGTTAGCTAGCTACGCATGATCATGTTTCACCTTACAACATCCCAGTTCAAAAGAACAAAAAGGAATAAAAGAAATAAAATTGTGTTGTATTAACCATAAATACAGGAGCCGGAGCTATGACTAAGTTCGTATTGAAGTATTTAAGTAAAAAAAGGTCAAAATAATACTTAGCTGCATTGGCTTTGGTTAAAACAGCAACTATGTCCCTAATGGAATGAGAATAGATAGATCTGCAAAGAAATGGAGATTTAATAAAGATGGACAGTTGAAAGAGGTCCTTAAGATTGAAAGTTAGTGAGAATTAGTGACCAATTTAGAGTGACTTTCTTGAGGGAAACGAGCAGTGTTTATTATAATACAAAAATGCATAGATTGTCGTAATATGTTTTTTTCTATTTTAAAAATTGCTATCAGTTGTGTATTTCATCTAATTGCAAGGCATTATAATTTTAATTTATAAATATATTAACATGTTAAATAATCGTCTGCAGTATTTGGAACTAAGGAAATTAGAACAGAAAAATTAGATTAAGAAATAAATATAGAAGGCCATACGAAATATATACCGTAAAACAAGGACTTCGGTTAGTCAAACACATATTTTTAGATTAAATGTTTAATGTTTATGTTTAATATTTATAGAATCCAGACTGCACAATGATGTCATCTAAGGCTCTCGTTTTAAACCGCAAATAGAAAGAAATTTATACCGAAGTACCCGACAAAATATTGTTAATTAAAATGAATTGAAATAGCTTTTACGATAATTAAATTGTGTGTTTGAATTAGTTAGTTACATTATTTCATTACAAATGTGCTGAATCACCAAGAAACACCGAGAGAAGAACAACAAGCAGAGCGGGTCAATTTTTATGAATAATGGAAGTTTCGGATTTCGCTAGTATAGTCTGACCTCTTAATGCTCAACATACATACAACATACAACAGTTCAATATTGATCTTGTACAGTATGCCGCAAGAGTACACTCAAAGAGATACAGAGATGCGAAATGATAATACAGTATATGGAACTAACATATCACTAGAATTTGATTTGAAACATTGAAACAATTGATCGTAATTCACACGAACAATCAACTTAGATTTTATGCTGTATTTCTAAATATAATTATTATTCTTCAGAAGCTAAAAATATATTTTAATGGCTAAAAGTCAACGCAACTGGTGTAATAAAATTCTGGTAAAATACGTCGAGTTGTGTTCCATCATAATGTTACCTTATATCGAATGGCTGAGTGAAACGAACACTTATCACCGTCGGCTTCAGATGGAAATATATATTTGTCGATTAACACCTGAATCTAATTTTAAATTTCTAATTTTTTGCGGATGTCTCATATTACAATTTGCACACATAAACATTATTTATTTACGCCGACTAAATAATAATGGTAATACAGTGCGAAGTAATCGAATCGAATTTTCTTGCGCTTTGCTCTTAACGTTACGTTTGTATATTTTTCAAAATTGCTACTTCCGAAAAAATCGAAATTCTTATTTTCATTTTTCATACGCGATAACCCCAAGTTCAGTAGTTTATTGGGTCATCCCGATCATTAACTTTAAATTAATTTATATTTAAGTTCAATTCCCAGCGCATTCGCCTAAACTTTGCGTGTTTTTTAGGTATCTGAAGTACAAAACACATGCAGGTTTCACGCTCAAATTAGATTTAAATAGGTACTTTTTTCGCGGACCACTATTTTCAGAATAATAAACTAACGAAATAGATCAGACAGGCAATAGAAGATGATAATTATATTGATACGACGTTCGCCTTTATGGCTTAAACAACATTATATCAATATATATATATATATATGTAGTGCATGCACCCAGGTTGTTTACCTTTTACATGCGGCTCCGTAATCCTCTGTAAACGCGCACACATATAGATAAAATAAAACTATACTGACGCTTTGTACAATATTATGATTAAACACACGCAACAACAACCACAACTTTACCAAAAAGCACGAGTTCTTTAAACCGTACCATACCGAAGATGTTAATAGGTACGGTACTACTGCAGGAGGAGGGGTACAGGTTCCCCACCGAGTACTAAGAACCGAAGGGATTATAATAATGGTGCCTAAAAAAAGGAACTTACCAGTCTCTGGCGACCAGGTTTACGTCTTGCGATGCTTTCGCAGTCGCACTCACTACTGCTTTTATTCGGGATCGCTATAAGCTTTAAGCGATTATTTCGGAATGTTTGGTTTAGTTTATATTAGGTCTCTCCGTCGCGGGTTCTTTAATAAGACTTGGATCTCTGCCTCAACCGACGCTTAGGAACATGTGTGCCACACTTGTCAAATTTTTGCTGCTTGATGTCCGACGATGACTATGATTGCCGAAGTTTCATTTGCGAAAAATTATGTAAATAACGAAAAAATAACACAACTAAACTTTTGCATGTGGGTGGATAATGATTGTACCATTTGTTTCGGCGGATTTTTAAAATTTAATATTCAATCAATCACATTCATTTCTGAATACCTAATTATAATCTCAAAACTTGACGTGGAAGAGGCAGTTATATCAGAAAAGGCTTGTAAAATGGGCAGAAACATTTCATTCAACAAAAATTTCTATCCCAATTAAATGAATCTACTTTCTTGCGGATAACAGTCGCAACGTTTCATGAATTAAAGTGTAAAATTAGCCCATGCTTGTCGTAAAAGTAATCGTAAATAATTAATAATTTCAAAAATATAATTATATACAGGGTCCTTTTTTTGGAAATATTAAAGACCCAACACTATTCCAGTAGAATTAATTTTCCAACGAACTTCAGATCGATTATAGAGCGGACTGGCAGCTCTATATTTAAACACTATCAAAAAAATAGTGCAAGGGCGATAAATTGAAAACAAATATTACCACTCCAAGGCAAATACGGCGAACGCACTGTAGAATAAATCCAAATAAGCGATATAAGGTTATCACGGAACGAAAATTTTGGTAACGGCCCGAATAAATTAACTCGACCCGTTTCAAAACGAGTGATCTTCGACACTAGCTTATCTCGAATATTGTTCCGTTTAATGGTTTTAGTTCCACATCACCCTACGACGAATGAAATGAACCGAAATTACGAATTTTTTCATTTAATCAGAGCATGAAATATATCGCATGCAGTCAGCGGCAAACTTCCTTCTCGAGCGTGGGCTACTGATAATTTAACATCCGGATTTATTTCTGTTATTCTGCGCGTACTTTCTCACCAAAATGATTTATTTATACCAAATTGCCATAAAAAAATGAACCAGCAACTCACGATCCATGCTAAAAAATAATGATTAGCGTTTTACTGGAATAGAAGATTATCGTTCGGACTTTTTCAAAATACCACAATTTGAAGAAAATCAACAGACTAGGTATTAAGCATTTCGGTTAAACTCAGTAGAAAATCAAAATACGAGCAACCGACCATTTGCAATTACGAGCTACACATTGCTACACATACTTTAAATTCAGATTTTTTTAATTCATTAAAATCAACATCTGATATATTAAATTTAAAAGGCAAGCAGGTAACTTTCAAGAAAAAACTTTGTTGTGATTTCTTTTTTGATGCATAATATATTTGAAAAATCTTTCAACAACTTCCTTAATGTACAATCAACAAAATGTTATATACCGATTTATTATATATTATATATCAATGGAGTTAAATGGATGACTTCCTAAACTCACTCATCGCCCATCGCTTCAGAAATCAGCAAACTGTTTCCTGACGGTATGGCGGAGACACTTAAAAAAAATGATGAGAAAATTTCAAAGGTCAGGTGAAAAAATTAAATTTCTGGTATATATGATTTTAGTACAGTATCGATTATCTCGAAGACGATCAGAATTATGGAGTTACATCTACCCAAAAGCGCTGCTTTTTCTTTAATTAACCGTTGTTATCGCTTTTTCCAACATTCTTTTATAGCTATTTATTAAAACGATAAAGATAGCAACAGCTCACAAAGAAAATCCACCTGCAAAGATGTAAGGGGTACATTTTTTTGACCGGATGGTGGAGGTGCATTTTTATTACATTTCAATATCTTGTCATGATACAAGTAATTATATTTTCTGAAAGGGAAACGTACCAGCTGAGATAAAATGGAAAATTGATTTTTTAAAGTTAGATTTTTTATTAAAATCAGCGACATTTATAATTCGAAGGTTTTAATCGATTTTGTGTCGCCGTTACGTTGTGAACAATGCGTGGACACTATTTCGATAAATTTACTACCTTGAACCTCTGGTTTTTGTACCACTACCGATAGACTATAAAATATAGGATTAGAAAAAAAACAGGTAACGTTTTTTAAATGTTAGCAATACACGATTTTTTATTGGACGCAAATGCCAATGCCGCCAATATATGACAATTATCACGAGCGGGTAAACATACTGTGATAGTACTCGCATAGACATATAGTAGGTTGTGTTATCTACCTGTGCGGTGCAGGTAGTTCTCTCAATGTGTTCAAGCCCCATAATACCTACATATACAGTTAGTCAACTTCCACTCGTTTTCACGAGCGGATGTAATACCGAGCAGGTCTTGGTGATTCGGATTCGATCCATACCTTCGCCTTGTTGTTGGTCCATCTCTCTCGCTCTTGATAGTTTAAACGCGATATCATGTGGGATGCGATAGGTTAATTTTAAATAATATTACTTTCACTTCCAACCGATCATATGTTATTAGTGACTGATGAGAGAGCTCGCGTTTTCAAAAATTATCCGCGAAATGACCATTGAAGAGAAAAATCGCCAAGTTAACGGAAATAATTCGACATTTGTCTGCCGAGATGCTGTGAATATTAGTGCAGTGCCGTGATATTAATTATTCTATACTATTATTTTGTTGCTAATATAAATATAGGTAGGTGTTATGGCCAGGTGGTTCTTCGAGGACAGTGCGTAATATTAACGGAGCAGTACATTTCTTAATTTTTGCCACGATGGAAGACGACGATGTTTCCGTCAGAGTAGCTGTCAGGTAATTTGCAGAAATGTGCAAAAAAACTCATCACGTATCATCTCATTCCAAAAGATAATGAGATCATCGGTATATTAAAGACCACCTATTTAATCGTTTGTTTGGATATACCAAATACGCGGATCGAGTGACCATGAGAATACGTTTCACCTATTTATCTATGTAGTTAATCAAAGCGAAATACACAAACAAAAGTGCCCATCGTTGGGATACTCATCGCACTTACATAAACCCACCAATAAAATAGGACTTACAACTAAGTCAGCTGAACATTAATTTTATTACTGGTAAAAATCGGAAGGCACATTTAAATAATTAATATTAATTGAGCTTTATTCTACATTCCATCTTCCGCAATTAAAATCATCTATTAATACAAATTAATGAAGGTCTTCCTAAAACCTTTTAGTTTTTTAGAATTAAGGCATGACCTTTAAAGCCTTTAAAATGGTTAAACCAGTATACGACATATTTTTCCTGCAAATACAATTATAATTATTTAACGACTGTTTAATGCATATGTTTGGCCATATAGGATGGGGTGCAATCAATTACATAATATAAAACTGATGTAATAAACTTATTTAATGTAATATTTACCATAAAAAATATATCGCTTCCTGACTGGTAAATTAGTCATTACACTCAGGTTCTTATTCCGAAAAAAGCAACGTCAATGCATACACAATGCAGATAACGTACACTGATAGGATTAATATAAATGTATTTACTTTGCGATATCAAATAGATAACATGTCATCGAATCGAAACAAGGAATTTGAGGTGTCGGCTAAATATACAAAATTGTATTGTCAACGAACACAATAAATAAACATTCGTTGAACGCACCAAACCTTGTTATTTCATTAGAACTTTTAAAATAGCATCAAAAAGGATCTTTTTTAAGTTAAACACCGTTGGAACTCTAAAGCGAAGTGACACGAAAAATAGGTAAAAATAAATAGCCAAGCGCCCAAAATACAGGAAATGAACACTATTTGTGCGATATACGCTGCTAAATTTATTCATCTAAATATAGTGAACATGTAAGATGGTTCCAAATGGAAGACAACGGGTTGTGGCGCTTTTATTTCAAGGAAACTGTGTAGCATCTAAAATATGACACAAACGGGATATTGCTAAATCGGTTTCATATTATTTAAATTGAACTGCCATAAATGGTTTTGTAAAAATGAACATAATCAATACTAGAAAGTTTTATTAATTAAAAAAATTTGAATGTAAACAAAGGCATTTCTACGGGAATTATTTTTGTTAAAATTCTTTTAAAAAAAGTTATCTGACGGTTGTTTGTAGATGGAAAATGTAAAATTGACATTGAATCTTCGCTTTCAAAAAGCAAGGTGGATCAAATAATTAATCATATCGCCTATATTTAGATTTGTGGGTTACTTATTACTATTTTTGGACATTTATAGGATAAGGGTCGCATGTCTTTTTCGCCTCTAAAATCGATAACTAATCATCTGATGTGTAACTAACCACACCTATTCCCATATCACTGCCAAAATAACGATCTACCGAACAAACGCCCACCGTTGAAATTTTATCGCGTTCCTATTCCCACGCAAAAACGCCTTGCACTATCAAATTCCATCCATGAAACAGTAGGTAATATAACAACAAGAAAGACTCAGCACCTATATCTATTATTTTAAATCCATTGGAAATTATATTTTGCAATGGTCTAAAATAAACCTGAATCTATATGAAAATTCTGGGTAATATGGTGGTTTAATGAGGTGTGTAAAATTTGCGCGTAGGAGGATATAATAGTTGCCCAAATATTGACTTATAGCACTTCAAAATCCTTAAAGTTTCATTAATGCGTAGGCTTATGCAAACAATCATTAATATACAACAATTCTCGTTGTTGCGAAATCTGATTTTTAGGAACTCGTATGTGCTCATGGGCGCAACACTATTCTCCATTGGTTGTATTTAAAACCACCCCCTATGTTTTTCCATAAATCGATTTCATTTTTTATCGTCTTAATTCATTGATCTATAATTATATTTTTGATATGTTTATTCGCTTTGATGTCGTATTTAGAAAGTCATGAAGCATTCAATTAGGTGATATTAATATTAATTTCAAAATTTCTAGAATAAGGCCTCAAACCCCACGTGAAATAATCGACATGTGTCAAATGTGCACAGCGGTCACCCCAGGGGAACCCCAGGTCACCTTAGGCAACGACAAATCTTTCACGTACAACTACGTGTTCGACACAGAATCGCAACAAGAACAAATTTACGATACATGTGTTGCATCCTTGGTCGAGTCATCATTGGAAGGGTAAATGGAACTTTATATAAATAATTCTTCATCGCCAGGAAAAAACAAAATTCCTAATTATAATAATTTCTCCATAACATGCATGCAATAATAAGCAATTACGGAAAATTTTATGCTAAAACCAATAATTTGACATAATTAGATATTAAAGTTTTGTAGATATAATGCCACCGTATTAGCCTATGGACAAACAGGGTCAGGAAAAACTTACACCATGGGTACCGGATTCGAAGTCGAATTACCCGATGGACAGAAAGGAATCATTCCTCGTGCTATTCATCACCTTTTCGATGGTATTCAATCTAGAATAGACAAAGCGTATCAAACCGGCCAGCTAGCGCCCGAATTCAAAGTTACCGTTCAATTCATGGAGCTTTACAATGAAGAAGTTATAGATTTGTTTAATCCTTCATATTCAAAAGTAAGAATATCGTATAGAATATAGAATAATAGGGCATTTTTATTTCTTTATTTTTTAAATAAATATTGTCTTACATAACAGTGGCGTGCTAATTTTAATGGAGCTCCGTTTGCAGGAAAAAGTTTACAAAATCCACGAAGATCCGTACGGCGGTATTCAAGTTAAAGGGGTGATCTTAAAAACGGTGCAATCCGCCGAGGAAGCCTTGCAATGTTTAAGACTCGGTGCTTTATCTCGTACTACTGCCAGTACTCAGATGAACACTCAGTCATCGCGATCGCACGCCATCTTTACGCTTCATATAAAACAACAAAAGTTAGTACCGGCTGATGACGATTCGATTTCAAACGAGTTCGAAACGTTGAGCGCCAAATTTCATTTCGTCGATTTGGCGGGCTCCGAAAGACTAAAGCGAACTGGTGCGACGGGAGAGAGGCAAAAGGAAGGAATTTCAATTAACTGTGGCTTATTGGCTTTAGGCAATGTTATATCTGCCTTGGGAGATAAATCCAAAAGGGCGCTTCATATACCCTACAGGGATTCGAAACTTACTAGACTTCTGCAGGACAGTTTAGGAGGTAATAGTCAGACTGTGATGATCGCTTGTGTTAGCCCTAGCGATACAGATTTCATGGAAACGCTCAACACCTTGAAATACGCCAATAGGGCACGCAATATTAAAAATAAAATATTTATTAACCAAGATAAGAGTTCCAAGACGATATCGCAATTGAGGCAGCAAATAGCGCAATTGCAAATGGAGTTGGTCGAGTATAAACAAGGAAAGAGGATAATTAGGGAAGATGGTACGGAAGCAGTCAACGACATGTTTTACGAAAACAATATGCTGCAAGGGGAAATCAATAATTTAAGAACGAGGGTGAAAGCCATGCAAGATACGATAGACGCTCTGACCCTTAAAAATACTAACTTGCTAGCGGAAAAGGCTATGGGGGCGTGGATTAGCACCGGTACCAATAGCGAGGTTGCCGATATGGTGCAAGCTTACCTACAAGAAATCGAAGAGCTGAGAGCAAAGCTCATTGAATCGAATCACACTTGCGAACAACTGAGAAAACAGTTAAGCAGAAGCCACAGCCCCCAGAGACAGAGTGTGTTGCTCAGTTCTAGTTTCATTGAAGATAACAGCGCTTTGCTTGAAGAAGCGAAAAGAAATCTACAAAGGGAAAAAGACGTGCTGAACAGAAGATCGATGGAATTAGACAACGAGAGTGACGGTGAGAGCGAACATGAATCTACTAGCGACAACGACGAGAATAACGAACTAAATGAGGAGTTAATATCGCTAACTAATGATATCGATATGAAACAAAAATTAATAGATGAATTGGAACTGTCTCAAAGACGAATGCAGACTATGAGGCAACACTATGAAGACAAACTGATGCAATTGCAGCTTCGCATACAAAATACTCAAGAGGAACGGGACAAAATGCTCAACAAATATAGTGTTCATTCTGAACCGTCTGATAAAGTTAAGAAAATCAAAGAGGATTATACTAAAAAATTAAGTGACATGCAAAGGGAATTGAAAAAACTGCAAGCGGCACAGAAGGAGCATGCGAGACTATTAAAGAACCAAAACCACCACGAGCAACAACTTAAATCCTACAAGGATGAACTTATGGAAATGAAAAGGACAAAGGTCAGGTTAATTAATAAAATGAAAGAAGAGAGTCAGAAACACAAAGAGGCGGAACTGAAAAAAGAAAGAGAAATAGCGAAGCTGAGAAAAGAGTCTAGGAAAAACGCGAACGTGATTAAAACAATGGAGAATGAACGTCGAATCAGGGATCAAGTGCTTAAGCGCAAACAGCAAGAAGTGTCGGTTTTAAGAAAAACCCAAAGAGGAAGACTTAGCTTAAAAGCTTCGGGGAGGGTTAGATCGACAGCATTCTCGGAGAAAGGGGCCAAACAAAAATGGTTACAAGTGGAGAAGACTATTAATAATATTACCCTGAGCAGAAAAGGACTAGTAGAGCAAGAAGTCAGGATGGAACACTTTCTAGAGAAGAGAGAGGTTTTAGGTAAGTTTGGAGCAGCTTACATTCAATTGCTTAAAATTAACTGTTTAGGTAGAGAATTAGAAATTCTGGAAGAAAGACGGAAACATGCTATCCAAAAAGGTCAAGATACCATGCAGCTTGACAGTTACATTGAAGATATCAAGGAAAACATAAATTTCGTTCAAGAAACAATAGCTGAGACACAACACAATGTAATGGATATCGAAAAAACTCAAGATCCAGCAGACACGGCGGATTTGGAACAAATTGTCTCTTCGGTGCATGATGTAGATGAAGCAAAGTACATAATTCAGAAACTTTATAATATGACTCTGTCTCAAAGTCATGCAGTTGCCCAAAGGGATGCAAAACTTCGTGAAAGCGAAGCCACTTTGGCTGAGGTATGTTGAGTGAATGTACTCAAGTGTACCAAACTATTACTTTGTCAATACGAAATAGGATTAATATGGTTGGTTTTGGTTAGTTTAGTTTAGTTATTTTAGTTCGAAGTTAGCGAAACCTCTAGAAAAATATATGCCCTAAACATTACATCACTCAGAAAATATATACTCTAATAATAATATTCAGAAATTAAGGAGCAATTTGTTCTAAAAAACAATGTATTTGTTTAATGTGGACTGACCATTGGTCTGGAAAATGGAAAATGCACCTTTTGCTAAATGCAAAAAATATCGTCTTCGCTAGTTCAAGAAAAATATTTGACTTGTTACATTTTTTTAAAGACATTTTTTTAGATATTCTTTTTTTTAGCTGCAACAAGAGACAAACGTTAAAGGACAACTTCTGGATCATTTGCTTCATAATGAAATTCCAATATTTTCCAAGGAATTGGTGACCAGTATTTCGAGTAATACAAATGACACAAGTTCAAATTCTTCCCGATCCTCTTCGCCAGCCCCGACAGACTCTCAGTAATAATTAGTACTGTTTATTGCATAGTTCACTATATGTTCTTTTATTTCTCAGTTTATCTGTTCCTGAACCGCAACCCAACAGGACAAAAATAAGAAGAAGGACCGCACAACCCGCAGAGTTGCTCTTTGGACTACATTCTCATTCCGCTATGACTCAATCTCAAGATTCTAGCATGTTTAGAATGGATAGTAGCCTGCAACGAGTGCCAAGTGTACCAGGAAGTCTTAAGTTAGTAGATCTATAACACACTGTCATTTTCAAAATGTGTTTTATAACAATAATCAGCACTGGTTATTTTTTACTACAGGTTAAGTTCTTGATGACACATAAAATGCAGATATACACAGAGAAAAGTAACCTGATCGCCATAAGACGAAGTATGTTCTCTTTTGAGAGCTCCATGTGCAAGTTTAACTTTCCAGTATGTTGTGAACCTTTACTAGTATTGTTATTTATTTTTTTGTCCATCTTATTAATAATAACATTATTAATGTTTTTATGACATATAATGAATATTTATGCAGTAATTGTAGTCAATAGATATGAATTTTTGAACACACTGGTTTTATGGAAAACCCTTTTCTACCAATAAAATCATTTATTGAAAACAAATTTTCAAAAAGTGATAAAAAATCTATAATTACAATTCATAAAGTATATAAGTAATGGGAAAGCTGATTAATACTCAATGGATTATTTCTGTTAATGGCAAATAAGATTACTTCAGTGATTTTCAGTTTTTTCTCTTCTTACTTGTAGGAGCTGGTTGCTGCACTGACTGAGCATACACCTTTTGTGAATGCTTGTTAATATAATACATAGCTAGCATTGACAATAATAAACTAAAACAAAAAAAAATATTAGTCTCAAATCTATCTGGATGAACATATTACCATGAAGTTCCACATATTCGGTGAATACTGGCGGACGCAGAAACGGCCATTAACATTGCAAATATAACTTAAAATTAAAATCACATTAAATCTTTACATAAACAGAAAAGGATCGAAAATTTTCTTACCCTCCGGAAAAAGGCGTATATTATATGATTTACCAAAGAGCAGGGCTGCTAAATTTCCCACCGCTGTCAAAACGAAGATAAACAGATATGTACCCAATAATCCACCTAATAAGGTTCTAGGATTGGAAGAGGTCAGCCAAGTTTTCCAAGTTTGCATTAAAGAAAATATAAAAACGCAGTTTATCGTCGATATCAAAAACGATACTTTCGTGCTTACACCTAAAACAATTGTCACCATATAAATTCAATAATTATTTATTTTTATTGAGGATTATACTCATTTTAAAAAAGTTTATGTTTACAAAAAACAAACTCCGTTAGTTTTTATTGGTATTTGTTACCAAAGATGCTAGGATCATTCGGCCAATCTTTGATAGTTCTTCTTCGTTTTACTTTTCTTGACGCACTGTACTAGGATTATTCAACACCTTTGATTTGTCCTTTCTTCTTATGGTGCCTCAGGTTAGAGTCCCTAAGACCATTCGGTGAATAATTATTGTTCATTCTACAGGAAAGTCCAAAACAGGAGGAGGAAGATTTAGACGCGATATTATTGGGTGAATTATTGTTATGTGTGGTTTAGTAGTTTAGTGGTTTATTTATCCGTAGTGTATTATTCATAAAACGGGTGGAGTCTTTTGTCAACAGTTAAATAGCGACAAGTGTCAGAATATTGGAGATTTTTTATAATATGGGTTGTGCGGTCAGTACAACAGGAGACAAAGCAGCATCAGCAAGATCTAAAAAAATTGACAGAGATTTAAGAGCAGATGGAGAAAGGGCCGCCAGCGAAGTCAAACTTCTCCTCCTTGGTTTGCTATTTCATATCAAAAAATGATGAAATTTTATAATTAATTATTGTTTTTAGGAGCAGGAGAATCCGGTAAAAGTACCATAGTTAAGCAAATGAAAATAATACATGAATTGGGTTACACGCATGAAGAATGTGAGCAATACAGACCTGTTGTGTATAGTAACACCATACAGAGTTTGATGACTATTATAAGAGCAATGGGACAATTGAGAATTGATTTTGCTGATCCAAGCAAAGTTGTAAGTGTCTCAAACCTAAATTAATTGCAGGATCATTAATTTTTGTTTAAATTTAAAGGATATTGCAAGGCAGTTTTTTACATATGCCAGTGCTGCAGAGGAAGGAGAATTAACTTGTGAGCTAGTGATGCTTATGAAAAAATTATGGCAGGATCCAGGAGTTCAACTGTGTTTCTCTAGATCTCGTGAATATCAGCTAAATGATTCTGCAGCTTATTATCTAAACGCATTGGATAGAATATCTCAAAAGAATTACATTCCTTCTCAACAAGATGTACTAAGGACAAGGGTCAAAACAACTGGAATAGTTGAAACACATTTCTCCTTTAAAAATCTTCATTTTAAGTAAGTGTGCTTAATAAATAGATTATACACAGGATATTTTCATTATCTGTATATTTTTTTTTAGGATGTTTGATGTAGGGGGACAAAGGTCTGAAAGAAAAAAATGGATCCACTGTTTTGAGGGTGTTACAGCCATTATATTTTGTGTTGCTTTGTCTGGTTATGATTTGGTCCTTGCTGAAGATGAAGAAATGAACCGTATGGTAGAATCTATGAAATTGTTTGATTCAATTTGCAATAGCAAGTGGTTTGTCACTAGTTCTATAATTCTTTTTCTCAACAAAAAGGACCTTTTCACAGAAAAAATTGTCAAAAGTCCATTAACAATATGTTTCCCTGAGTATACAGGCCCTAATACTTATGAAGATGCCTCTTCATATATCAGAATGAAATTTGAAAATCTCAATAGGAGAAAGGATCAGAAGGAAATCTACACTCATTTTACATGCGCAACTGACACAAACAACATTCAGTTTGTATTTGATGCGGTCACTGATGTAATCATCAAAAATAATCTTAAAGATTGCGGCCTACTGATGTAAGTCTCTATTTAGTTTGTTAGCATTTAATTAACATTTTTGTTCATTTCCATAAACTCCCAAAATAATTTTAATATTTATGGTAATACAGATTTACAATACAATATTTACAATATAGTACTTATAAGAGATTCCCAAATTAAGTGAACCATTCTTGTGAGGTTTTTTTTTCTGTACCCTATTAGAAAACCTGCAATCGTCATCATTAAACACAGATTTTTAAGAATAAATAAGAGCAGAGTATTATTCCTCAAAATTACTTAGCATGAGTCTCATTTGAACTTCATATATATTTATAATTTTTTTCCATACATGACATTTTTTGTATTTTTTTGTTTCACCTGTATGTTTTTTTTATATAAGTTATGTTGCTAGTACTAAGAATTTTCCCTCATAATATGTTGCACTTAATGTGTTACCCTGTGATAATGTTTAACCTTTAACTGTCGAATGTACTCTCCTTTGAAAATTAATTTTTATTGTTATTTGCTGGTTATACTGACTTTTATCTCCAAAAATGTGATTCAGTTACCTTGCGTAAACTTACTCTCCAATAAAGGCTCAAAATTAAAAATCGCTACGACCCCTATTTCAAAGACTTGCATGTTATTTTTTGAACTGACATACTATAATCAGTATTCATTTGTATACAAAATACATTCTCCTGGTGCAACTAGCGTTATTATACTTATAGAAACAGAATTAAAATATTTTTGTCCTTTTTGATACTTTTTTTTATAAAGCGAAAAAATGTTACTTTAGTGTATTTTTGGTATCATATTTTGTGTAAATGCCAGAAATTTATACTATATATTTTGTAATAAATTTATTTTAATAGAAATATTTGCATTTTTTGTTCATAAATTATATTATCTATAACCAAATTAGATGTTGCAATAAATAATCGGCAAAAAACAGGACCGAGTTGCCACAAGTATTTGGAAGTAGAATTTGTTACAAGACCCTGGTAGCTTGGGAGTGGGGCAGAAACCAGCAACTCGCACACCCGAAAGAAGAAGAGTTTCAAAGTCTTCTTTTTACTCTGGGCTTATTGTTGCTAGATTGGTTTTGTCATAAGTGTCAGTGTCAGGCGTTGAGTAGTTCAAGTAGTTGTTTACGTAAATTTCACGCTGGAAAAGACTTAATTTGCAGAAAAAAGTGTATTGGTTTATCAAAAATCAGTTATTCTGTCAGAACAAACGTGTATTGTCTGCAAGTAAGTATTAATCTCGAGATTGTGAAATTCTTCGAGGAGGGTGTTGGGGTTTTAAATAAGTTTTTAGTTTCATTGGGAAAATATGGCAGATTTTGTAATAAGAATGGTACACGACTCATTTTAAACTGCATATACTCTAATCAGTCTAATACATATATTTTGAAAAAATTTTTACGTATTGATTTTTTAAATCCTCTTGTTTTTTTTTTTTCTCAAAAATACACTCTTGGTTTTCATTTTTTAAGTAAACACCTTTGTAATACTACCCCTACGTAGTTGTTCGTAATATATTAATACGGCTTTGAATTAAATTTTATGTTAGTTCTGATTAGGATTATTGAAGTATACAAACTTCACAATTTGATTATCAACATTTCCAATGTCATGGACTAGTATAAAATAAATAAAATATATCCTTCATATTTACAATCATTTCGGCTTTATTTATTATTTATAAAAGTGAATTTATTAATACGTCCATTAAACATTTAGTAAGTTATTATTTGGAATATACTAATAGAGCCGCGTGGATATTGAACAATAGTTATCAACTCTCGTGTCAGGTCACGTTCTTGATTAAATCTCATTTACATTTAACTAATCAATCACCACGCAAGGCTTTCAATGGGCAAATTTAAATAAATTGGAGATTCCCTTATCATCTAACGCCGTGGATAATCTTTCGAATTTCTTCTTAGGAGTTGGAGATGCTATAAAATCTTATACTTACGTGTGGCAATATGTGTTTGTTAAAAGTATAGAATTCAGACATCCAAAAAATATACACTTCCTTACAAAACAGTTAGTAATCATTCAGTATTAAATTTATAAAGGAATATATTCAAAAATGGATAATATTAGCGTAGGATAGGCGGTTTTTCGCTGTCGGTATCGATATTATGTGCGGACTGAATGCGCATAACTTCATTCAGTCTTCATAAGTCGATATCATACTCATTTCAGAATTCAGTGTCCGTGGACACTTGCAATTCGCGTTTTCAGTCTTTACTTGCTGTATTTTAGTACTCTCCACTCGTCGAAAACACACGGTATGTACGGCATTCATTACTTAAACCAATGTCGTTTTTTCAGTTTCCAATTTCATTTTAAATAATTTCTTTTGAAAAATGCTTTTTCTTTCCAATTTCGCTTGTCTGTCGTCCTATTTTACTATTGCAAATAAACAAATACGTATTCTCTACGCCGTTAATTAAATTTTTAGAGATGCGATTTTGGAATAATTTTACCTTTTCTTCAGCCGATATCGTAAATGTGTCAAGGTAAACGTATATAGGTCACATTAGTGGTCGAAGATCGAAAAAATGATTTTTTTAAGTCGAGACTGGTAGAATATTTTTTTATGCTTAACATCATAAATCTTACAGATAAGAGACCAAGCAAAACTAATAGCTGTATTCCTGCAAAGGTGAATGATGGAATTTTTTTCGTCAGCGTTGTAAAATAACTCCAACAGTGTACACCGCCTACCAGGTCTGTTGTTTTTTGTTTGCTAGACATATCAGATTGATCGAAAATTACAGTTGCTCTGTTAAACTCTGCAAATTTAATATTAAAAAATAAAAAGCGGAAGTTTCCGATTGTTGTTATCAAAGAAAGGGATGTTCCGTTTTAAAATTTAAAAATAGCAATCGCTGATACCATTGCATACTCAGAGCGCAATGATCCATTTGACTGATTTGTAGTGGTAAATTTATTTTTACAATTGCTTATTGTATTGTGCAAAAGTCGATCAAATTTCCAATGACTTTATGCCTCTATATGAGACCTGCCTGTCTGAGTTTATGAACCGATATTAGCGAAAATTATTTTAAGTAAGGTAGGTACGAGGATGTTTCTTACAAATTTTCGACCATGTTGAACAATGGACGTTACATAATTTTTTAACGAATTTACCTCATCACCCTCGCGTTGAGGAACGACGCTTCCCATAACTCCAAATTGCAGCAATTTTTTTACTGAATTAAAATTGGGTAGTTATCGGCTATATCGGTAGGATTGATTACCAATGCACATGTAGATTGTTATATCATAAAACACGATTAAAAGGTTTCAGTAAATAAGGGAAAATTATTCTACACTATTTAGGATTAAAATCCAGCAAATTTTGAACTGCTGACTAGAAACTGCAAACGTTACTTTTCACAAAAATTATTAAATATTTCAAAAATAGTGTCACGTAACTGCAGAATATAATATATATATTTTTTAATTTTTACATGTTGTGGTTTTTGCTACTTACCGGTCGGACACCTCGTATATAACTGTTTTATTGTAATAAAATGAAATTAAATTTGCAATAAATGTAAAAAAAAGTGGGACCATCGCCATGATTTATCTTTTGCTCCATAGTTCCACGGGGCAAACCGTATTATCAATTTTAGGTAGGGACGTTTATATTGCCGGGCAGGGTTTCCTTCAGCCACAACCACACAGCCATATGATAAAGAAGAAACAGAAAAAAATATAATAAAATCTTACAGATGGGACATTACAGACGGGACAATAACTTCCATTTATTTCTTAAAATAGAGTTTACTACCTTATGGGGTAGCTCGGAAGCAATTATGTATTTACTATTATTTATATTATTATTCTTATTTATTATATATTTATTATGTATTTATTACGTAGCAATGGCAGACATTGTTTTATATGTAAATTACAAGTGCTACTGTCAGATATGATTTTCAGGTCATTAGTTGACAAGCTTCTTGGAAAGACTCGGTTATCGAATTTGCCTCCTAATTGTCTGCCTAAACATTCCATAATCAAAAACACTCACTAGTTTTATAAATACTTTTATTTCGATAATCACTACAACCCAAATGAATTATTAAAATAATTGCGCATCCACCATCGCATCAATAAAACGCTTGCCGTAACTATCTACTTTCGAAAATGTATTCGCTAATTCGCATATTGAAAACAATTGATGGAGATTACATAAATAAAATCCCATTAACAAAAATATTCAAAGATGGTTTGAATAATAATATGAAATATTAAAATAAAAAAAAAACTGATTTTAATATTGAATTAAGCGTATATACGAAGCTCTTGTAGATACTGTATTAGGGTCAAAAAGGATAATGCACACGCGAATAAAGAATATTTGTTCCAGAATCAAAATTGAATAAAAATGGCGTTTGCGGGGTTGAAAAAACAAATCAACAAATGCAATCAAGTGAGTAGTCGCAGATATGCTCTTGTTGGCAATGAATTAAATCAATCTATTTTTGTAGTACATGACAGAAAAAATCGGAGGAGTGGAAGGAACGAAATTGGATCTAGATTTCATGGACATGGAAAGGGTAAGCTCGGATAAAATTTATTTGACCCGTCACGAAACCAGAATAATTGTTTCAGAAAACGGATGTAACCTACGAATTGGTCGAAGAGCTTCAAGTGAAGACCAAGGAATTTTTACAGCCAAATCCAACAGCGCGTGCTAAAATGGCTGCCGTCAAGGGTATAAGCAAACTAAGCGGTCAAGCAAAATCTAACACCTACCCTCAACCCGACGGAGTCCTTGGCGACTGCATGTTGATGTACGGTAGGAAATTGGGGGATGACAGCATGTTCGGAACCGCTCTGGTTGAAATGGGAGAGGCTCTCAAACAAATGGCTGATGTCAAATATTCCCTTGACGATAATATTAAGCAGAACTTTTTAGAACCGCTACATCACTTACAAACCAAAGATTTGAAAGAAGTGATGGTAAGGGGATGCATTTTTTCTTTTGTTGGAATCGTTAATTTTTTGTCTCTAGCATCATCGAAAAAAGTTGCAAGGTCGAAGATTGGATTTCGACTGCAAACGTAGGCGGCAAGCCAAAGGTAAGAATTTTTGAGGATTCGCGATTGGTGTTTTATTTACAGCGACTCGCCTATATATTGTTGAGTGTTTATTTACGTTCTAAGCGCGTCAATTTGAGTGAATTAAACATGCCTTCAATTTAAAACGCATGATTTATATAGCTTTAAAGGGAATGATTAGCCCTTTCTCCAGTCCTATTAAGGGACAGGGAAGTGTTCATGGTATGTTGTTTTTTCTATTTGATTAGGCTACAGTATATATTTTACTCAGGCTTTTATTTTGGCTTGATTTAATTGCGACTAATAAACAATTTTCCCCTTGTCAACCAAACGTTTTGAATTATTATTTTTTTAATTTAATAAAGAGTGTCCTACATTTATACTTGTACTTGTAGTTTAATGCAGAGTAATTTGTGAAAAAGGTGTAAATTGTTTTTTGCACAAATCGCTCTGTATTTCAAAGGCACTACAAAAATATAGCTTTTCTCTAATTAAGCTCGTAGCCATTGTTCTTTTCGGAGATAGTAGTAGTAACACACGCCACTTAAGACACCCTGTATATTAAACGGTAAAAATGAGCGTCTTTGGTCTCTCCTCTTAGGATTTCCTAATCGCTATAGAATTACTGGAATTAACCAATAGATTATTAAAATTGTAATCGCCGAAATGTGTGTGTGCGTTTTTTTTTTTTTTCGTAAATCGCCTGTTATCGTTTGCCTGAATCTGCCTTAATTTTATATCTGAATTAATTTTTTGCACGAATTTATTGATTTGGCATGCATTTTTTTTGTCTGGCCTGTTGGCACTCAACAGGTTCAAATATTACAGAGGAGGAAATTAAGGCTGCAGAAGACAAATTTGCCGAATCGCTGCATCTGGCCCAGATGGGGATGTTTAATTTACTGGAAAATGACGTAAGCTTGTTCATCGAGCAATACCGGGATGGCTTATTATTGTTTCGTATTATTATTTCAGGTGGAACAAATTTCGCAGTTAGCGACGTTTGCCGAGGGTCTTTTGGAATACCACAATCAGTGCACTGAAATTCTTAAAGGTATCACTGAAACATTGCAAGAAAAGTAATTCATTATATAATGGCTATTTGATTTTTTTACTTACCTATTATTTTTATTTAAGGAAAGAGGAAGCAATGAATCGTCCGAAAGTCGAATTTGTACCTAAAACTCTATCAGATTTAAATATAGAAGGAGTATCAGTTGCGGACGGATACAACGGTACCAATTCCAATTATTTTAATACGTTTAATACTCAGAGCGGTAACAATAATTCAAACCTACCTAGTAGCAGAGGATCATTTAAAGGATCAGCACTCGCACCTAAGTTAATACCAATGAAACAAGCACCCATCCCCGATCCTTATGACCCTTGGAGCTTTCTCGAAGGTATTTTTATTTATTTTTATATTTATTTTCATGTTTATTTAGTTACTTATTTATTTGAAATTTATTATTAGTTGGTTTGGGATAAATAGGATTAGACAATGGAAGTTAGATTGCCAAGAAATTTTTGCGATCCGCAAAAATTTTTGTTATTTTAAATTTTTGGTGGTTATATGTTAAAATATGATTTCCATTAACAATATATAGGCCGTTGGGGGCAACTACTTCCGTTGTAACGGGAAATATTTTAGCGGGATGTCTGTCATCTAATGACGACGAAGTTCGACAGTCGTTAAAAATAAAATTTTATATTTGATTTTCCACCAACATTCCTTGCGTCTCTTAGTTTTACAGCCTGCGGAAGTTTAAAAAGTAGTAACAAATACTGGGTAAGGAGTTTTATAGACTTTTAAAAGGTTGTATATTGAGTGAAACAAGAAAATCGGTACTTTCGTTTATAGAGTTGGTCAAAATTAAAATAAAAAAAAATACTCCGACATTTTAAAAACGCAAGTGTTCACTTTCCTGTGTCACTCGATTGAACTTAGTTCTTATTTTTGGTTTTTATATTTATTTTTATTCTAGTTTTGTTGTCTTTTTTTTTGTTTGTCTCTTTTCCCAAATAGTCCTGTCGATCCTCCACATCAAGGACATAATATTATTATCCAATGAAAGCCAATCGCCAGTTCGCCATAATATTTTTAATATTACTAATTTGTGGTCAAATTGATTATCCTTTTTGCCAATAGTCCCCCATAGATTTATCCTGGTATTTTAGAAATATTGTCAAGGCATGGAGGCACGCGTACTTGAAAATATGCCTCAAATAAATATTGCCTCACGCTAAAATCAAAATAAGTTCGAAATACTCCAAAAATAATCCAAACGGCTTTATTGGCGGTCGTCCAATTATTTAAGCGGATAAACAAATGAATGATCATCAGGCTACAATGACATTAAGGAAGACTTAGCGTTATATTTATACCGCGTGTTGTTGTTTCGAATTGTTAAAACATTTGTGATCGGCCAAGCGATAAGGGGAACAAGATATGTCTTTGCTGAACCGTTTTTTATATTATTCCCATTGCTTGCGCTGCTGTTCTGATAAAGATGTGTTGTTAGGCTCGTCACAAGTGTCTTCTCCTCAGCACAAGCCTCAGCAACTCGAGTTGCTTCCAGGACAACAATCGGCTAATGGTAACTTACCTTACTAATGTTAACCTCGATTTGTTAAAAGCTGCGTACAATCCATAGGAAATATGCCCTTCCCCTTATTTTGTTTGATAGTAATTCTCTGATTTTGTTTTATAACTTTTAGGTTTTTAGTAGCTGTTATATGTTATATTACGTTGACAGTGGCGAATTTTTGTATATGTAATTGATAAAATTGCAGCGTCGCCATTACCGTCTCCAATGAAATCGCCGGCGAGGACGCCAATGAACCGACAGCCATGTTGTACGGCGCTGTACGATTTTGAAGCTGAAAACCCCGGAGAACTCAGCTTCAAGGTAGTACTACGTAACTCACAATGCTGACGGTGATATGAGCGATTTTTTCTATTTCTAGGAAAATGAGGTCATCACTTTACTGAATAAAATAGACGAGAATTGGTTCGAAGGCAGCGTGAACGGTCGTACCGGTTATTTTCCTGTAAACTACGTTAAAGTTGAGGTACCGCTTCCGTAAACAACGGGGTAGAAAGAACAAAATAAAGTCTATCCATCACGTTAACGTTAACTAGTAAACAGTATTTTATTTATACAAAGTCTATTGGAATTCTTGTACTGACATTCCGTTATATTATCTTGCCATATCCATTTGTTTTTGTATTCGACTGCACGGTGCTGAGGGTATCAGGTGGCACCCGAAAAGGGAATTGCTCAAGTCTTGTGTGGTTCCGTAATTTCAGGGAAAAATATAAAAATGTTCCCGTTTTCAATCGAAATTTTAACTACTAACATTTTTGTGATTTACTTTTTTTTGAGTTGTAATTGAAAGTTCTACAGTTTGTGACTTAAAAACGACGTCATTTTCGCGACCCTCTGCTACCCTGGGTTAAAAAAATATTATAAATGTAAATAATAAAAAAATTGAAAATTGTTCGCCGTTTAGTTACCGGGAATACCTCGTTCTAGGAAAATTGTTAAAAGTGTACCATTGTTTTTTAAATAATAATTTTTATAAAATTGTTGAAAAAAAAGCAATACTCAAAACCAACAAACCCTATAAGAGAGGTAGACTGCGTGTGCCTATAAACTTGAGAAACCCTCTTAGATGATGATTAGTGTACAAAATACTCCGTTGTATATGGGAAATGCTTCATCAAATAATCGTTGTGATCTAGGCCATATTAATTTTAATTGTAATGTGTTGATTTTTTTCCTTTTTACTTGTACATGTGTATATTTATATTTATACGATTAGGGTTTCCTTCAAAGTTGCTAAGGAAACTTTGTTAAACATAGAAAAGGGACTGTGCAGTTGAACATTTCGGTTTTAATTTCCATTCAGGGCGCATGCGTTTAATTGTAATTTTTGTATCGAAGGTGGCGTAAGAGTGTAAGTGTGGGGTATTCGTTAAATCTGTTTTCTTTATGCATGTCCGGTGATTTTGATTCGAGATTGGTTTCATTTCGCGCCCTTCAATGATAAGAAAATATAAATAACTCATTATCTGTTGGTTGTATATAATTTAACAAAATTGGATTAGTTGTTTCATACTGATATGTTGTTTGTAATTTAGTGCAGATATATTTGAGGTTGAATACAAATTTTAAAGAGAAACTAACCAAAAAACGAGCTATAATAAATAATATATATATGTATGTATGATTCAGATAATGTCCGGTTGTGTATTTGATTTGGGATACGTTCTGTCAGATGCTGTCCAGTTACGAAATGTTATATATGTTCTTATGCATTTCTTGATATCAAAATATTTTTAAAAAATATATTTATAAATGATCGAACATTTACACAACCTATTTAAACAAATGTTAATGCATAATATGGGTATTCAGTGTTTGTAAAAAGATCCAAAAATTAAAAAAAAAAAACTTTTGTTGCTGTTTTTCGGCATAGGTATAGATTTTGATCAAACCTTTGTGCAAATAATGTTTTGATCGAAACGTTATTGCATATAATTTTAAAAGCGTCATTTTATCCTACTAGATGTTTATATTGAGTAAATTATACCAGATTAAATATAAATGTGGTTGTAAACCCAAAATAATATCGATGGGCTTGCGAAGCGGCTTTATCTAGCACTTCACGTCCCTTTCGATATTATAAATTAGCGTACCGAGTTTTACGTAAATATGCGTATTTGAACGGCCTACAAAATTATTTAAAAGCTTTTGATGACCGCAAAAAATTATTTCGTCTACCAACAGTTTACGCGCAAAACTCGGTATGCTAATATTTCGTAAATGTATACAGTGATTCGCCTGTATCTTGACCCACGCCGCTAGTCGAAAACAACAATGAATCGAAAGAATGGTTCTCATCTCAGATAACTAGGCGAATCAGCTTTCTAAATGCTGAATCTGGTTTTATGACAATACATTAGATATAAATTTTAACGATCTTGATAAAATGTACTAAAAGTCCTAAAAGAAATGTTTTTATTGTAATCAATATATTAAACAATATGGTGTAATGCAAAATGTATCTATAGAATATTGCAGTCTCCGCCTGATCTCAGTATATGTAAGAATAAGTAAACCCAATTGGTTCTATTTTGCCTTGCAAAGGATTTATTGTACTTTTGTTCAGGAGTTGTCCGTTTTCCGGTTTTTGGTTAGTTTATGTTTTTGTGAACAAAAATACTCTTTTCTTATCGTTCACATGTATACAGTTAAATGTTACCGTATTTGTGCATTAATAAAACGAAATTGTGACAGTAAAATGTCATTTTTCTGAAACTACATATTTTTAAAATTATATTTCCCATTTTAATTTTTCTAAAAGCGTAAGATACAATTTAATAAGCTCAGGGGCCTAAGGTCTTTTCCGATTCGTCGATTTAGGTCAGTTAAAAATCGATTTCATTGCAGCGTCCTCTAGACCAGAGTAGAATATCTAATTGCGAGTATGTCCTTCCTGTAAGAGATAGCACTGGCGAATGAAATAATTAAATGGATCTATGAAAGAAGGGTAACCAAAATAACCAAGGTTCTGTCAACTGAAATCATACAATTGTCATTTGTAAATTCAATGTGTTTATTCATTGTATGTAGATTGTTTTAATATAATTTTGCTTTTAATAAAAAGCCTATGTAAATAACACGGTCTCCGAAGGCTTTAGTTTCGTTATGTTAAATCGAGGAACATGTCGGATAAAGTGAAGGTAAACTAGTGTAGTGTGTTTATTATGCTCATTTAATTGGTTGTTTCTTCTTTTAGAATATTCCTGAGCAAAAGTTAAAGGCGTTTTCCATAGGAACGATGGGGAAACGAACATTATCCAAAAGAGAATTGGAAGAACAACGAAAAAGGGAAGAAGAAAAAGCAGCCGCACATGTAGTTTGAAATTGTTTTACAGGCTGGACCAGGTTTAATTAAAATTTATTTCAGGTGTTTCAAGAATTTGTTGAAACATTTCAAGAGGCTCCCATAAATGGAAGTAGTAAAGTTTGGGTTAAGGCTGGTACCTATGATGCAGGTGCTAGAAGTGAGGGTTCATAACATTTAAAAGGGTTTGTCTGAAATTAATATGTTTTAATCATTACAGAGGAAGATACTAAAGACAAGGGGAAATTATACAAACCCACATCAAGAATACAACCACCTCAGGAGAGTTTGTCTACAGCAGAAAGGGCTCAAGCTTATGCCAAATTGCTTAGCAGTGATAAGAAGCCTGAAAGATTAGGAAAAAAGAAACAGTCTAGCAAAAGTAATTTGGAAGCATTCATGGAGGAATTAAAACAGTATGTATCCCTGTGTTGCATCCACTTAAATGTGTGCCGTACATTTTTGAACAGTATTTTATTTTTCTATACTTACATTCACCAAACCTAATTTCATTTTATTCAGTTACAATTGACTCACAGCATGCATCCATGAGAGTTTTTATTTCATTTTTTCATTGATAAAAGTATCATGCAATCATGTATTAATGTTTGGTCCTTTTATCTCTCCAAAGTAGCCTTTCCAGAACATCCTGTTTTATCTTTAAGTATTTAAAATTCAAATTTTAATTTTCTAGAATTCAAGAAGAAAGGGAAGAAAGGCATAAGTATAAAGGTCAAATAGCTCGTACGCCCATTGAAGCTGAACTGGATCTATTTATGAGAGGAGATGTAGGATCTTTTGATAATGGAGACCCTAACACAACAAATTTGTATTTAGGAAATTTAAATCCAAAGGTATGTTATTTAATTCATTTATGTTTTTTTATCTAACATTGGATATTAGATTAGTGAACCACAATTGATGGAAATATTTGGGAGGTATGGACCACTAGCCAGTATAAAAATAATGTGGCCAAGGTCTGATGAAGAAAAGGCAAGGGGCAGGAACTGTGGGTTTGTGGCATACATGTCAAGGAAGGATGGGGAGAGAGCTTTGAAAAGTCTTAATGGTAAAGATATAGGAGGGTATGAGATGAAACTAGGTTGGGGAAAAGCTGTTATCATCCCTCCTCAGCCCATTTATATTCCTTCAGTCCTGTTAGAATTAGGTCATCCTCCTCCTCCATCAGGTAATTAGTTTTCTTTTTTTTCCTGTGAATGATTTTAATACAATCCTATTTATCTATAAGGTCTGCCATTTAATGCCCAACCTGCAATTCAGGATCGAGATGTGCTGCCTAAATCAGATGAAGAATTGAATGCCATACTGCTAAATGCAGTGGTCAAAGTAGTTATTCCAAATGATAAAAATCTTTTGATGTTAATACATCGCATGGTTGAATTTGTTGTCAGAGAGGGGCCGATGTTTGAAGCAATGATCATGAATAGGGAACTACATAATCCCCAATTTCGATTTCTGTTTGAAAACCAAAGCCCCAGCCATATATATTATAGGTGGAAAGTCTATTCAATCCTGCACGGAGATTCCCAGAAAGAATGGAAAACTAAAGAGTTTAGGATGTTTGAAGGTGGCTCTATTTGGAAGCCTCCAATTTTAGCTTGTTACACAAACGGGATGCCTGACGAATTAGTAGCGGACGACAACGCGAGAGATCCATGCAAAGGCACTTTATCAAATTCGTAAGTCGCAATTTGTAAAAAAGTTTCATTTTACAAAGTAGTTTTTATTTGTTGCAGTCAGAGGGACAGATTGGAAGATTTGATACGTAATCTGACACCGGAAAAAAAGAAAGTTGGTGAAGCCATGGTCTATTGCATTGATCATAGCGAAGCTGCGGATGAAATCGTTGAGTGCATTACAGAGTCGTTATCGAACGAATCCACAATTATTACAAAAAAAATCGCTCGACTCTATCTGGTTTCCGACATTCTTCATAACTGTGGAGTCAAGGTGAACAAAGCCTCCAATTATCGAAAAGTTTTTCAAGAGAAACTAGTGGATATTATGGTGGAAATAAAAAAAATATTCGACGGCTTGGAAAGTAGATTGCAAGCGGAAGGATTTAAAGTTCGAGTCTTAAGGATCCTTAAATCTTGGGAAGATGTAGGCATCTACACCTCTGATTTTATGAACAAACTGCATAACACTTTTCTGGGTTTGGAAGAGGTGAGTTTGTGCTTTTTTTTACAGAAAAATTAGCGTAAATCGTTCGTAGAAGATTAAAACACCAGAAAGAGAGGAAGACATCGACGGCAATCCATTAGACAAAACATCTGAGGATGAGATGCCGATGGACGGTGCCGCTTTATTAAAAAGCGTTATGCAGCAATATAGTAGCTCTCCAGAACTTGACGAAGATATCGACGGTAAGAATATTGGGGATGTCGGAAAAAAAGCAAAGCAAAAATTATGTGTGATAGGAGAAGAGATCAAAGAAGACGCGTTAACGACTAAGAATTCCGCTAGTTCGGGTTTTATTAAATCGAAATGGGAAGCCGTCGACCCGGAACAGATTGAAGCTCAAGCGATGACCACCAGCAAATGGGATTTGCTGGAGAGCAGTCAAGAAACCAGCCAAGATAGCAACAGTAACTTAAATGATAATCAAGACTCCTCGTTGGATTATAATGATACTAGGTAATTAAGGTCACTAATTTTAAAAAAATCGGTATTTATTTTGCCATATTTTTAAGGAATATGACTGAAGAGAAGAGAATGAAGCTCAGAGAAATTGAAGTGAAAGCCGTGCAGTACCAGGACGAGCTGGAATCGGGTCAGAGGTCGTTGAAAAGCGGCTGGACCGTAACCCAACAGGTGGAGCATTATAGACGAAAGTTATTGCGGAAGTCCGAGAAAGAGTCGAAAAAAGATAAGGGCGAGAAAACGCCGAAAGGGGAGAAGCATAAACGGGACTATGAGAAAAGCGAAACGAGAACGGACGAAACTTCCGACGATGAATATTACAAGGACCAGTAAGTATAGCACAATCACATCCAAAATATCCATTTGACATTATCTGGGAGTTTGAGATTGTTTAAAATGTGATCCGAGCGGGGAGGTGAAGATTTTTAACAATCTCGAAACTCGCGTTTCTCAATAAATGTGAGCGGGTCGGAATGTCGCTGGCATTTATTGATTGTTGTCGGCGCCCTGGTGTCCATTGCATAAATTGAGCTCATGATTTACTGATTTTTATAGTACCTCTAGAAAAAGTAAAAAACATGCTCGCAGTTCATCGAGTGGTTCCACTTCAAGACACAGGTAACCTCTTAGATTTTTAAGTAAGATATAATTTATGTAAACATGTGCCACCATCATCTGTTGATCGATTTATTTGATTGAAATATTTTTTTTAAAACTAAAAACAAAACTAATTTTTTCAATTTATACGTCTCGGTGGAAATTGGCAAATGCCGAACTAATTTACGGGGGCTACTCGGCAAATTTTTAGGTCCAAAAGTCGAAGTCCTACAAGAAAGCGCAGGGTTAGTCCTCCTACACCACCTCGATCCCGTCGCCATTCCCCTTCCTCTTCATCCAGTCGTTCCCGTAAACGAAAAGATTCCAATTCTCCCAGCAGCAGTTCCGCCACCCGCTATTCTTCCCCTCACAGTACCAGCCGTCATAGTAGGTATTCTCCTTCGCCCAGTCCAAACAGATCCAAACACAGTCGTAGATCCACGTCACCCAAAAGGAGAAGTCGTTCGACGTCCAGAACGAGATATTATTCGCCTGACTCTACGAGTTCCAGTTCTAGGAAACATAGGCATAAACATAAGTATTAAAATTGTTTTTTTTTTGTCGCGGGTTTTATTAGTGAACCCTTGTTTCAAAACAAATACTAGACTTATGTTTATCGCTTTGCAGTTTTTTTTTACCGAAAAAATATCAACTACTTGCTCTGTTCTGACGAATGATGGTAAAGAATCCTTAGCCGTCTTAGTTTATAATTAAACACAGACACAACAATTCAGGACAGTATTCCACAAAACAAAGTTTAACAGGGTGTAACAATTAAGTATATTTTATAGATCTAAGGGTTTTTTGCTTAACAACGATTTTCGTTGTTTTCGCATTTTTCAGAGTTTTTTTATTTGTATTATATTTTTGACCATAATAAAACTGGCAACAAAAATATTTTCTATCCAGAAATCTGCAAGTTTCATTTTGCGACACTTTAACATGTTGCACCCTGGATTTACATATGTAAATATGTAATAATACTTCTGTTCTTTGGAAATTAGTTTGTTATCGACCTGTGGGATATTTTTGCATTATTGTTGCCATTTAAATGTATCAATAATATTGCGAATTACATTTTCCCCCTTTCTTTTGTAGTTCTTGACTTAATTGTAATTTCTTTCTGTTAATAAATTCAAATATATTAAAAAGAGTTTTTATTGTTTTATAAACGCGAACCAATCATCTACAACATTTTCCCGAAGATAACACGACTTCTTTTGTTTAAATAAATGATGGATTCCTAACGAAAGTAACCTGTAAATATGTTATCCAGAATATGGATAATATATAATAATGACAAGTGAAAAACTATGTTTCTAATGAAGTTCGCTGAACGCTGGAGGCCAAAACATTTATCAAATTTTTATTTATTTTTAGACCGTTTTGGAGATGCGTGGATGCGCACATATTTTTTTGCAACGTTGGCGAATACGCCAGAGTTGTAATTTCCAGTAATTTTAAATTAGTTAACGATAAACGGTACCATACAGAAGATTGTTTCATCACAAGGAGAAGCAATCATAAATGGGTAACGGGAAATAAAAACGTAAATTTTTTTAATAAAATTTATTACACCGTGGTGCTGTGGTCAGGCAACTCAAATTACCACAATGCTATACAGAGGTCGCTGATCTTAGATTAAAAATGGTTAGTTTATGACCATGGTTAACTTCAGGCACCAGGCCAGACTTTGCTCCTGGTAATTTTTCGATACCTCTTCGACTTTCCGTTCTCCTGGTGGTAGGGTTCGAAATTGGATTTGAACTGCCTGACGAGCACAGCTCGGCGACGCCAATCGCCTCGTTTGTTGTTGATTCTTTGAGAAAGGGAATGATTTTGGTCCTTTTTAAGCAATGAAACTCAAATTTCGTGGATTTAAATGTGATGTGTGAAGGCGCAGTTATTGTGTGAAGTAACATTTTGCACATCATCTTGAAATTGTACAGTTAAATTGGACGCTGGGAGAAAATCATACGATTTTATTTAGTTTTTCCAAACGCAAATTCTTTTAAAATTAACAGAATTAATATTAGATTAGATAATTATTAGATATCTTTATGATTTTTATTTGTTTTTTGTAAAGAGCAATTACTATGTAACTTTCTTGTTTATAAATAAAATAACAAACTTTACTGTTTTATTGTTAACTAATTTAAAATTGCTGCAAATTACAATTCTGGCGCGTTCGCCAACAAGGCAAAAAGATGCGCATAAGGCACCGACAATTTCTTATAAATATATTTCACAATGTCCCACAAGAGAGCTGCACAAACACGTTTCAATCTTGTGGGACTTCATCCTGTTTTTGCTTTATTTTTCGTAAACAATTTTTGCTTTATTCGAGAATAATCCATTTGAAATTAATTTGCAGTATTTTTATTCAATAATGAAACAAACTACTGAACTTTTTAAAGAATGGTTCTATACAGATATTGTTATTAACTAGAAAAAAAGAAAACGAAAATCGTGGAAAATTAGCTTAGGTTCATTAGAATCTAAAATAATGAAGGATTATACAGATATTGTTATTAACTAGAACAAAAAAGGAAAACGAAAACCATGGGAAATGAGCTAAGGTTCATTAGAATCTAAAATAATGAAGATTGCCACAAATTACCAGATTGTTAATATCTTCAATTTATTTTAAATGTATTTATGGATTTATTGCAGTTCAATTATAATTTATTTTAGTCAGTAGCTGTGTTCAAAGATTGTCCTGAACTTAACTTGGGAAGATAACTATTTATATGTATGGAGCGACTATGACATTAAACAAGTTTTTTCTGAATAGGAAAATAACATATCATTCAAATACATAAAAACGCAATTTAATTTGTTTAACTAAAGTATCACAACATTTATTATTTATTGTACAAATAACGAAAAATTAAATATTATAATTAATATTAAAAAAACTATTCTTTAGCATAAGTCGCCACATATTCCAATACTTTCAATCTGAAATCTTCTTTGGAATTTCGAAACATATCTGCTGCTTCAACATTTAATGGATCTTCAAAATTTAACAGGTCCTGAAATGACATTTATATTGAAAATCTTTACTTAAGTTGATGCAAGCATCAGAGCATCAACTTCAAAACTGAAGTATTTTTACCGTAAAAAGCGCATGCAGCCCCCAAACAACATCATTTAAACGACGTATGGGGGACCATCCCATTCCATCCACACTATGTCTTCGCAATAGTGACAGGCACACTTCTCCATTTTCTGAAATGTTTGGATGCCATAATTTTGTAACACATTTCACGATTGGAGGCTGTAAGGGAGCTATAAGCTGGGATAGTTCTAGACTATCTGAAACCTTACCACCATATTATATTCTTCTGTAACGTGAATATCAAACCTAAAAGTTCCTCCCTCCCAGTAACCCTCTGCGGGTTGGACACTTAGAATAAATTTACTTAAATCATCCTCATTGTAATAATGAACAGAACACGAAGCAGGTAAAAGCTGTGACATTTCTTGAGCTTCTTTTATTAAGAGGCGATCCCTTATAGGTGCTCTGGTTCTTGTTTCTTCGTTTGCACCATTTTTTCTTAAGCGCTGAGATAATGTTATCATTGTTATTATGCACTCTTATCAAATTAGACCTATAACCCTATTTAAGAAACATTTAGCATTAACTTTTAAGTATTAAATTAATAACAACCTATATCCACTGCAGGTTATTTTTAAATTCTTCTTCTTGAAAATAAAACCCAAGAATAAATGATTTCTTATTTTTTAAATTAAGGTGAATTAAAATAACTTATTCTTTGAATGGGTAGCGCCATCTCTTATCTTTTTGCCACTCTACTTCCCACTGGAATTCACACGATATTGATATCCCTATCTATCGAAATTGCAGGCCTTATTGTAATTAGGCGATAAGGAGAAATAAAACACAGACATAATTTGCTTGCTTCCTATCTATTTTTTATTTTGAGAGGGGTGCTGCACATATACAAACATTTTACATATAAAATAGCTAATCTAAGGGGAGTGAGTCAATCTTTTTTAGCGATATATAGTTTACACGCTTAAAATATATTTATTTAAATAATAAGTGATAGATATGTTAGGATTTCTCTCTTAGCGTTAAATGAATAATGTGAATGTTGAAATCCTTATACTAGAAGAGCGTAATAAAAAAAAACGTAACTGAAAATAGAGCTAAACAATAAAACATAAAAGAAACCGTTTCTATTATTATAGAGTATTTATATCAGCAAATTTGGGCCCTTAGAATTTGAAGAATATAAATACTAGTATTTGAAATTGACTTGAAAGTTTATTGTCACATATTTGGGTTTTAACTATATACACTTATATACGTAAGGTCTCATTTTGAATTGAATTACGAGACGGTTAAAAAATATTCGCTTTCAGGTATAATCAATGAACAAATTAAATGCTCATTACACGAGTCATTGGATTGAAATGTAAATGTTTATATCTAGGCAAATGGCTTTATTGTCATATCATCACATCCATTTTTACCATTCCAATTTTTTTTTTAAAAATATGGAGATTTAAAATTAATCAACATATGAGCATATTTAGGTGGGTTGTATTTACATGGCAACGATCGTAGAGTAAATTTTAACTATAATAAAATAAATACTCTAATCTATAAGTTAGCTTATTTTTGGAAAAGCGTTTAAATAGAGGAAGACGACGTTTTTATATAAATTGTAATGTCTCGGTTTGGAAAAGCTTGAAGTTAAGGTATATACTAAATATATACTTCTTATGAGGTCATTTAGTAAATTCGGCATTATAATATGTTTGTGTTGCTTAAGATTTATGAGATATGCAAGAAAAGTGATATCTAGATATGGGATATGTCTACCGTAAATTTTCAAACGTTACTCCGCTCTTACTGATACTTTAACGCTTAAGTAATTTTTCAAAGCCATTTTCTAGTATATCTGTGTAAATTAGCTTTCCCTTGTGGCACAAAATTGGGATCACAATTATAAAAAATTTAATCAGGGTTTTTGTATAACGGCGATGCGATAAATGCGATACAAACATGCGTAAGTGGCCTAGCCTACTATAATAGATAATGCGAGAGCTTTTATAAAACATGAGAGCATTGTTACAATGTTCGTAGACTTTTTAGTGATATGATGCACGAGATGATAAAATGAAGAAGACAGACAGAGATAACCTAACTGGCATGGTATAGGTACTACTAGGATATTCTGTAACAAAAATTTTGATAACAAATATTTTTGTTATAGTTATCTCCACACTGTGAAATCGCACATCATTGATCTTAGCGTTTTGGTAAATAAGCTTTACTAACAAGTACTTGGAATTAAAAAATATTATTAGATTTCCATTTTATTGTTGTAATTGTCTTAAATGTTCTGGCGGACCACTTGCTTGTATTCATCTATATAAGTTATATATGAACCTTTTTAGTCTGCATTCCATCCTACAGTATATATCCAGAGTAGGCATCCTGAAACAAAAATGTCTGTCTAGTTTCAGCTAAAATATCCCTTGCATTCTTTGTTAAAGGTTTCCTGCAGTGTAATGCGTAATAGTCGTTCTCACGATAACGTCCCTGTATTTTTTGACAATTTCGTATATCTAGAGCCATTTTTGATTTTTAATTGACGAGAACTGTATACTACATACATGAAAAAAAATATTTTTGCATAAAACAATTGGTAACTTTAACACCCTGACATTCAAACGGTTTAGGATATAGATGAATTTGAAGTTTTCTTCTTGACATCATCACCTAAGGACGCAAATCTTTAAGGGTCGGCCTTGTATTCTTTAACACCCTGCATAAAATTCAACAAATAAAACAATAAGGGGCCAGCACCCTATGTCTCGTTTCCAAAAAAGTACTTACATTAAAATGACTAGTATCAAAAAGTGACGGTCCGTGAGGCCTTATTCTCCCTACGACATGTCTTCTTGTGTAGGGGGAATAATCAGATACAAGTCTGGCAATGTGGCCTTCAGAACGCGATCCTGGTGCGAAAAGATCCGGGAAGGAGATGATTCCTCCGGATCCTTGAGCCTTTCTTCCACTGTCGTGCTCTTCCTGCTCTTCATGGTCTCCTACATCTCCTGAGTACATTATTTCCTGCGGATCACCAACGTCGTACAAATAATGGTCTCCGTTATATCTCCTGAAATTTTAATATATATATATATATATATATATATATATATATATATATATATATATATATATATATATATATATATATATATATATATATATATATATATATATATATATATATATATATATATATATATATATATATATATATATATATATATATATATATATATATATATATATATATATATATATATATATATATATATATATATATATATAATGCGGAAACTTTTAACAACTATTTCTCAAACGTGGGGGAAAAACTTGCAACATTAGATTATAAATCCACAGAAGTGGAATTTTAATTAACTGAAAACAGGAAAACAATTCCAATTAGAAAAAAGTCGAAAGTCGGAGTTCAACGAGCGAACGGATGATATCCCGGAATATAGTGTCATCACATCTTTCCATCCGTGAATCAATACGTGAGAATATATGTATATATATATATATATATATATATATATATATATATATATATATATATATATATATCTCACGTATTGATTCACGGATGGAAAAATGTGATGACACTATATTCCGGGATATCATCCGTTCGCTCGTTGAACTCCGACTGGAATCCTGCTTCCGACTGGAATCCTGCAGACGTTTCGCCAAAATCTCACTTGGCATCTTCAATGCTCGCGCTCCGAAAACAGTGTTCGAAGTGTTTTCGGAGCGCGAGCATTGAAGATGCCAAGTGAGATTTTGGCGAAACGTCTGCAGGATTCCAGTCGGAAGCAGGATTCCAGTCGGAGTTCAACGAGCGAACGGATGATATCCCGGAATATAGTGTCATCATATATATATATATATATATATATATATATATATATATATATATATATATATATATATATATATATATATATATATATATATATACATATATAAGAATAAATAAAAAAAGGGAGAATGTTGAAAATAAAAAGTAATATTTGTGTTTAAAATTTTTATATTATGTAGGTTAGACTTTTTATGTTATATACATTATTTACCAATTCTTTTAGGCATGTATTAAAGTCACTTTCTGCAATATGTGGCTGGGTAAATTTATCAAATGCGATCCCGTACAACTTAAGAGTTTCAGGGAGAATTTTCATTTGTTTATTTTGTGGATATACAAAATATGATTTACTATTTTTAATTTAAATTTGTTGTCTACAGATTAAGCATATAATTATTATGATTATCACTAAAAGCGCAATTTACTATCTATAAAAATAACGGAAAAATAATAAGTGTTTAACTTGATTGCTTTCCGTAACAAACCTAGTGCATGCATAAAACATCTTAACATTTTTTTTGGTATTATCACTCACCCTGGTTGGTTTCGTTCGGATTCCTTTAAGGAAGCAGCCCTTGCAGCTGATTCCTCTGCAAGTCTTTGTTGTTGTAACTCGCGAGCCCTTTCGGTTTTGATTAATTCCTGAAAAAGTATTGTACACACGTTACTGTTTTGTTAATGTTCAATTGCGCTGAATTGCCAAACAAAGCAATGCGATGGATACCTATCTAAGAAACCTCTATCTTTTATGTACTTACTTTAAGATGATTAAAACTTCCGGTTTGTGGAGGATATCTGATGACAGGTATTGGACCGCCTCCAAACCTAAAGGTAGTTTGCTTTGCCGGCTCAGAAATCGGTGGCCTGTGATAGAGATTTGTAATCGCTTTGAACATTTCGTCTCTTAAAATGGGATCCCGTATTTGCATATACGGTGGATTATGAACCACTCGCCCGTAAATTGGTCCTTTTCCGATCCGCATTCTAAAAAAAAGTTTTGTAAATCTGCATTAATTTATTTGCTAAATTATAAAAATTGTAAGTACAGTAACGTGTTATGTGTTACGTTATTATCTATGTAAGTCAATAATGATGTCACTAGGATGCTATGTTTATATAAGACAAAGAACAACACCCAGAGAGTTAGTCGGTAACGATCGAGCCTTCATAAAGGCCAATGTTTGAATACGGGGTGTTTTATTCGCTGCGTTCCAGCGACAATTAGTAAATTTAGTTAACTGCTATTAATAATAAACAACTCGTATCCTACTCGCTATATATATATATATATATATATATATATATATATATATATATATATATATATATATATATATATATATATATATATATATATATATATATATATATATATATATATATATATATATATATATATATATATATATATATATATATATATATATATATATATATATATATATATATTATTATTATTATTATTATTACTTTTTTGAGCCAATACGCGAAAATGAATTGTCGCTTTAACAATTTATTCCAATTTAATTTAATTTAAACTTTGCTTGCTACTTTTTTTATTAGTATAATAGGTATTTTATGTCAATATTTTATTTTAAACCTTTATATATCTTAACATTGTATGAAAACTTTGCAAGCGTTCAATGATTGTTATTCGCGGATACAATCGCGAATACAATATTTCGTGTCTCGCAAAAAATAAATAAATAATAAAATAAAATACGCGCTGCCTCAGGAAATGATTGAGACACGAAAGCGGGCTTTAGAAAATGCGTTGGCGGTATTCTGCAAACCCGTATTGTTTTATGAAACTTGAGAGTGGGCGTAACAGGGTTAATTTATCTGAAACTTCTGAGAAAGCTCATCTGGAAAATCGCTTGTCTAAAATGTCGTTTCCAAATTGCCACTATTATTTATCCGAATATATTTGCCTGGTGTACTTATTTTTTACTAGCAACGCGGACATTTATTTGTTAGATAAATGTATCTCATCATCTATAAATTGGAATATCGACTTAACTGTAACCAAGTAGTTTGTGTTTACTCTGGTCTGACGTCTTAAAAAAAAATAAAAAACGCTTTTTAGTGATCTATTGTTAACTTATTGCTCTTAACGACGGAGTTTTTAATCACCCATGTTTTTATGAAAAGCGTATGCGAAAAAGTTTATCCATCTTTCTGTAGACTGTCCGATTCGCTGTCGATCGCGTGCTAATTGAAGCGCGTAATTGGAAATTAATTCTTACGTTCATTTTCACGATAAAGTGACGCTCATAATATCCGGGCTAGTCGGTTCGAATGACTCAGCTAATACGCTTTAAATACAGCAGGAACGTTTTATCTGGAGCGTTCGTTATAACAATGGACTCAAGCAAACATAATAGAAACATCACGTTATTGTAAATCGTACTTATATACAAATTTTAAACGGAAATAAATTATTCAATACTATAAGTAATTACCCTCCAATGCTTCTAGACGTGGCATAGAAAGGTTCCCAAATATTGTCCGCGAACGGGTCTCTGTACATTGGAAGCTCGTTAGTTAGTTCCGCAGCTCTAGATTGTCTTTTTGAAAATCTGGAAACACAATGAAGCGATTCAGCATTTCTGTAATTTTCCACATTTCTTCAAACTGAATCGAAAACCGCGCGAGGTAAATAAATTTAATTCCTTTTAAAAATCTGAAAAGGTTTTGGTTGATGATGTCGACCTACTTGCGTGAAACGAGATACGGAAATTTTTATGAAATTAATGGCGAAAGAAATTTGACCCATATTTCTTACGCGAACGGCGAAAATAAAGGGGGCATAATAGGAAAATCAATATTTTACCTCCACATCGCTTTTAATTCCTCACAAGTCGGTTCAGTTTGAAGTCCATTTTTGGAAGATACTACCTCGCCTGGGTTTCTATAGGCAGTAGCACCAGGAAAAGTTTGAACCTGAGATATTACCATTCCGAAATAACACGCACACAGAAGTAACTGTTTGGGACCTTTCTTATTCAAAATCATCTGAAATAGAAATAGGGGTAGGTCCTTTCGTCTTCCCTACGCGTAGCAGAATAAATTGAAACTTTTGCATAGCAAAATATATAATCATGCGAAATATTGCCAAATGCTACTTTTTGATAGCATAGAGAGTACTTCATACTGTTATTTTTTTTCTACAGGTTGTTTCAAATACGTCGCAGGTTTCTAGTTTAACTTTGAGGATTTTAACGATGTTATTTAAAAAACATGTTAACCTATTTTAAAATTATTTTTGAGATTTAATATAATTGAGAACTATTCTTTAGGACAAGTTATTTAAAAGTTGGAACGAACCATTTCCTTTCTTGATCACCTGAAATGGGTTGGTTTTTTTACCTGGAATCTGACTGAGAACTTTTCTAGTGAGGTAATTTTTAAATATTGAGTTAGATGTCAATCAATAATATACAGTTCAACGATCAAGATCTAGTTCAAAAGTAAAGTTTTTATTTTTGGACGCTATATCGACACGATTAATTAACGTGTTGAATGCGGCACGTAGCATTAATGAAAACGCGGGACATTGTCAGGTCGAGCGAATTAAAACTAAAATTGAAATTTAAACTTACCATTGCAGATGAAATTCTTAAGTGAAATATGCGGTGCGGTAATTAATAAACAGCTACTGGGTGCGAAATACTCAACGTGTGCAATTGAAAATCATAATATTCGCAAAAATCATTCATTCGTTTAGTTCATTGGCGAATCGACTTATCTGGTGCTCAAAAAATGTATCAAAAAAAGCCAAATAAGGTGAGCAGCAGTGTCATTATCAGAGCCCTGAGAACACTGCAATACGTACACAGTAATGTAAGGATTTTTCGAATACACTGCTCTGCTAGCTGCTATTTTGAAAGAGTTTGGCGCAAGACTAATTCATAGAAACGTTGGAGAACGCCGGTTTTGCACTAGTGAGCCTGCTCCTGAAACCGGGATGCGCCGTGACAACCGCCTGTTTGAGATCCTGCAGGAGCGTTATAATATTTCCCGGTTCCTCGAAAATATTTTAATAGGCGAGATCGTATATGTTTTCTTGTTTTTTTTTTTATATCAATGTTTCAATGTTTGCCGCAAATTGCGAGGTTGAATAAGTATGCCGGGATTCCACCTTACCTGCATACCGATCTTGAATTTTGCCCTTTTAATGAAAACCGTTAATTGAAAGCCGCCCACATTGACGCGTGGGTAGAATCGACTTTTGTACTCGAAGCATTCGTTGATTCATAAATTCCCGTTCAGTCGGCCGGAGGTGGATGGAAATTATTTCGGAATGACACGAAATCAGATTGTTGCTTCTCGTTGATATGCGAAGCGGAAGAAAACAAATACGCCTCGTCGGCGGAAATGTTTGGTTTTTAATCGATAATTCATTTGATTTTTTCCATTAAGCGAAATGATGAGATGAGATGCACTACGGTAGTTTTATATTTATTTTAGTAAAAGTATATGGGGACATTTGAATTTGATTTTCTTTATAATCTTAAAACAAACAAGTCATGCATTGAGAAAAAGGGCATTGAAAGTATTTTGATGCAATTGTTTATTATTAACAGGTGAGTATTTTTTGAAAGTTGCAACTAAAAATTTCCGTCTTTACCAAAGTTTTCTACAAAGTGTTTTGTCCACCACATATTTCTTTAATAGAGGCATCCGTTCTACGTAAAATGAGTGGGAGAAACGTGGTCCATCGATATCCCCTCCTAGTTTGTATACTCCTATTACAGGATATTTTAAAATGAACCTTTAGTGTAGCTACGCGATAACAGATGGCCGTAGCGATTCTATCGATTTAGGATCATTTTAAAGATAAGAGTATTAGTCCCCCTTGAAGCTACACCCTGATCAATTTTTTGCACACTTTTCCACCGCACCACCTACCACGTTCCATCCCTAAGACCTAATAATTTATGGATTTTGCATCTTTCTGGTGATCAGAAAGCGTATTGACCGTATTTTTCGGTCGTTATCCGAAATCGTTGTTGGATTATAACGTAAAGTATATTCTCAGTAGATAGAAAAGACAGCAATTTATTGAATTCGATATTACATTGGAGCGAGGGTTAACAAAAAGCAATCAAACGCGTAAATGTACAAATATGTAATTTATTGTCAACGTTAGATGTTAGATAATGCTATATGTGTTTATATTCATTTATTTAATATTATACATCGATTTTATTATAGGTACATAGTAAATTTAATAACATTCGTTTAATTACATAACTATTATAATTAAACAACATTCTGATTGTATAATATATCTCGTTTCCAGATTTGAACTGTAATAATAATTGTAGTCCATTCTACGAAACGAACGTAAAAAATACTTCTATTAATTTGATGTTACACTAGAATATCTCCCATATATGTAAATGCTACCGAAAAATATTTTTAGTTGCCAAAAATATGTGAAAAAAACGGGGGATTACCAAATTAGTAGTTTTTGTAATATACGTTACCCATATTTTCGATTTTCGATACTTTTTTTAAACGGTAGCGTAGGTATCCTGCATTGAAAATAAAAAAGGATTTTATTCAAATTAATTTTACCTGAATATTGCAGTTAGTAATATAGTGATGACTGCTGTGCCATTGATATGAATCCACCGAATATTTCTCAGACGTCTTACCACACATATAGTTTCTGTTTTATATTTTATAAACGGTTGTTAAAAAATTTTAGGTGTTCATTTTCCATGCAGATTTAATTGAGGTTACCCGTATTCAGTCTTCGGGAATAATTTTTGAGAGTGACGAAAGGTTGATTATTGCCTTCTTATAAAGCGCATTTTCAACAAAAGAGATTTTATTTGAAAAATCAGTCCCTAAAATTTGTTTCATCCATTTAAGAAAGCGCATGTGTTAATAAAAAAATTGAACCTTCAGAGACCCAAAATCTATAGTACAGATAATTTAATTTTAAAGCAGTTCATAGGATATGTTAGGTCCTAATAATTTCTTGCCTCTGATTATTGTCACTACTAAACTGCACTTCCAACAAATTGGCACTTACTGTAGTTTTATTGTCAGTTCTATTGTCGTTGATCCCTGTACCATCTTAGTGATATGCTGCAGGAGTTTTTCATTGAAATAATATCAAATATGAATATTAGATTCCTCCGCTGCCTGCTTTTTTATATTGGATGGGGTGATCAATATCGAAAAAGTTTAATTATCCAGAGTAGTAGACGCTTTCTTTTAACTACATTGGAGTATTTGTTGTCGGTTTGCAAATTTCAATATTGTTGCAAATTTTCTCTTCGATTTTTTGTCATATTTCACACCATTCATTTTGCACCAAAGACGGCAGCAAATAAATTTGAGCAATACAATATTGATTCATTTGTTATTGTCTAATGTCTCTACGCTTATACTTAATATTGTTTCACGTTTGATATAAATTCATAAATGGGTACGCAGAATAATAGTCAAATAGATATTTTATCAAAATTAATTTAAATCATTTTTAAGTGCCCAAATAACTTTCCCCATTTTTTCAGTTAATTTGAAAAATGGCCTCACAGCAACCAATTCTTAACTGCGTACAATTTCAATATACAAAGTGATGTGAACGCAAATACCCTGTATGTATTATATAAGGGGCATCAGTGATTTAAACCCAATTTCCTTAGACTAAATTTTATCTAATTTTTGTATTTATATTTATAACGTACTGGGAAGACTGCTTATAGGTTGTTACAACAAATTTGTTATTACATGCACATGTTTGTTCGAAGATTAAGCATGACGGGCAACTTGAAATTCTTCTGCGACAACATAACAATTTGGATAGGAGTGGAACTCCAAAATGGCAAAATTATAATTTCGACTGCTATCAATATTAACAAACATAAAGAGCTTTGCAGCGTATATCGCTTTGCAAAGCAGTAGCTTGTAAGATACAATATATGCGTAATTTTTTTTATTTGGAAAAACGATTTTTTTTCTTTACGTCTTCATTATAACTCGAATAAACTACTCCGCATAGAGACAGGCCGTGGTTAATAAACAGGCCGTCTTATTCTGCATCCTTCAATAGCATAATGTCGAAAGTAACACTCCGATTATATTTTGGATTATCACTAGGGTGAGGTTGTCAGAAATGTATTTTAGAATTTTAAATCTCGATAGGCGACAAAATTAAATAAAACTGACCTGTCAATATGTAAACGTCAATGAATCGATAACAATAAAACGATTTTAATTTTTGTACAAAAAACTCATCCCTCAGTATGATTTTTGTGTAAAAATAAAGTGATAAAATAATAAAAAGTACAAGTAAACTGAGGTAGATACTTTCGACGAACTGATATTTGTTTGTTGCAGAATTACAGGTGATTGACTAGTCGTTGTTGCTACTGTTACTGACGGTGTGAGAAGCTTATTATCCACAAATAAGACAAAAGGAGAAATTTCTTCCCTTTTGCTTTCAAATTCTTTCTTCCTCGTTTTCCCTGTCTTGGTTTTCGCTGGTTTTTCTTTGGCGAGGGGTTTATGCGTTTTGGGAGCCACGTATTTAGGAGTGGTAGTTGTTGATGTCGTTTCTAAAGGCAAGTGAATCTCTGCAAATATTATTCGTGGCTTGGTCGGTTAAAGACTCTAAATTCTTACCTTGAAGTCTGACTGTGCCTTCAGCTTTGCCCAAGGCGTTTGATGACGTACATATATATCCTCCGATGTCTTTGCGCTCGATGTTACGAATTTTAAGGTTCATTTCCAGTGAATATTCGTTTACGATTTTTTCTTCCATTTCGTGTTTTTCGCTTGGTATTATTTTTTCACCTAAAACATAATTACTTGGCCGATTCTTTCCGTAAAACATTTTCCACTTCTTCTTGCAGCGTATCTGTTGGATTTGGATGTAGCAGTGGAACCCTATATCATAAAATAAACAATACGAGGGTCAGTTAAAAAGTTTCCGGCTTCACCCTGAAGATGGCGCCACCAGTTACTAAAAGATAGTGATCGTAGTGGTGCACCTCTTGATACTTACTTACCAAAGTTTCGGCCATTTTGGAAGCATGGTTTTTAGTTGAGCCGTTTGTCGATGTGAGTGTTTTCGTGAAAATGGAAAAATGGTAATAGAGCTGTTATAATATATTTGTTTTTGAAAAGCAATGCACAAATTAAAGTTGAGTTGGACTTTGCTTATGGGGACTCTGCACCGTCATTTAGCACAGTGAAATTTTGGCCAGCTGAATTAAACGGGGTTAAACGACCGTCGAATTAAAATGAGAGAGATAGTAGAGGTTATGAAAATGTCTGAAGAACGTGTTTGTCACATTTTAAATCAACATTGACGAATGAGAAAGCTATCTGCGCGTTGGGTGTTGCATTTGCTGACGTTAGACCAAAAAAGTGTTCGAATGAACATTTACAATGTTCTGTTGGCGCAGTTTAGGCGCAATAAATCCGAGTTTTGGCACCGATTAATTAATTAATTATACGAATCAAAAATACAGTCAAAACAGGTTACTGCGAAGGGAAAGCCGACTTCGAAAAAACCAAAAACTGTTTTTTCGCCTGGGAAAGCGATGGCGACTGTTATTTGGGATAGCCGTGGAGTCATGTAATCAATGAAAAACCATTACAGAAGTAGAGATTGAGGAAAAACGGTCACATTTGCAAAACAAAATTTGCGAATTGCGAAAATCCACGAATTACGATTTGAACTGCTTGACCATCCGCCTTACTCACCAGATCTAGCCCCAAGCGACTTCTTTTTGTTCCTTTATTTGAAAACTGGGATCGGAGGACAGAGATTTTCGTCAGATGAGGAGGCAATCACATTCATGATCAATTATTTTGCATCGCTGGGAGCAGTGATGAGAAAAAAGTATTGTATCATTTTTCGGTCGGAAACTTTTCAAATGACCCTCGTAGCCGAGAATGACATCAATGGTAGGCCACCCTTGAGTGCCAAAAGTTTAGTTACGCTGAGTATTCTATTAATATAACTTCGTTTTTCTAAGTACCGATTATTAAATTACAAATGGTTACAATTCAAATAGCTTACCGGTATCACGCATCCAATGGTTCATAGCTTTTGGGGAAGCTTGCACCCCACACTGCATTACAACGTCGCGTGCAATCGGCGATGCTAATAACTGATTCGTAACAATTATTAAGGGATGAACTAAAATTAGAAATGATGAGTTTGCATTGTCGCATCGTCATGTAAACTGTACTTACAATGAACTACAACATCAAATCTTTTGCTGACTAAAGGAGGCACTCCATTTTTTGCGATGCACAAATAAACGCCCATATCCGTTCTTTGCACGTTTGTCAGTGTCAAAATTTCGCCGTCAAAGCTCGATACAGCTGAAAGAAAACATTGCATTATCAAACTGGGGCTTGAAATAAATAAAACAAAACTTTACATCGTTTTTAAATAAACGTTTTAAAATGCAAATGGATATATTTAATTCTGTTATGTATTTTAAACGAAAAGATAACAACAGGAAGTTTTCAAAACATTATTTTACTTTTTATATCTGTTACGTTAAATTTATACCCTATATGTTTCTAATAAAATAAAGGAATATTCAAAATATAAATTAATAAAAATTACAAATCGCTATTCTTGGCCCTCTTTTTGCGGTCCCTGAGATTAATAAAAATGATTGTTTGGGAGCCCAAAAACGACCGTTTCATCAAAACGGGTCGGGCATTGCGAATGGCATTTATACCTAGTACTTGAGAAACCAACTACACATTTGTCTTTATTCTTCCAATTGAATGAGTTGTTACCGAGAAGGCAGTATAGAAAGCACATTCGAAACCGGGTCGAACAGTCGAAAAATTATTCGCTTTGTTAGCTCTGCAAATTAACTGAAAAAATAAATATATCTGAGTTCTGCCTGTAATGGCGCACATTTTTTCTTTGATTAAGCCCTGGTTTCGAATATAAATCTGGCAATTTCGCTCGTGACGTTTGCTTACGAAATAAACGTTTGAAAGTATCGTATTTAACTTACATTTTTCTCGGCCCAATTCGTGTCTTATAATAATATTCTTGCCATCCTCCCTTTTCCAATTGACCGTTGGTAGAGGGACCCCCGTTGCCCTGCATCTTAATCTAATCGTACCGCCCTCTACCACCCCCGAACTTTCAGACGATTCGTTATCTGGAAGTATGTCTGGAGGAATTACCACCTCTAATATTCCCATCTGAAAAGGTTCATAATCATGTATTAGGGTCTTAGGTCTGGAAATTGTTAGTCTCTTTTTAAACACTGATTTTTAAGATGTCACTATTTGAATTTCCTAATGTCCATTAAGCGATTTTGGAGCTTGAAGCAATCGGGATAGTCAGAAGTTTTCTTTAAGAAATTACAACAATATTTCCTAACTTAAAGTAGAGTTGTGAGAAGGTTGTTGAAAATATATTTGAAATGAAGCTTAACATGCTCATACCTGGCTTCGCATGGGATCGGTATTTATTTGGCACATGTAAGTTCCGGAATCTTCCCTTTGTACCTTTTGTACGTGCAGCTTCCACGTGTTGTGGCCATTGTGAGTAACGGAGAGGCGAGGATTTTGAGCCACCATGTGAGTGTGAATAGCTAAAATAGCTTTGTTGTCCGACTTTATCCACGCAACCTTTAACCAAAATTATAGAGAAATAAATTAAAGCACGATATTGTACTGCAAACTATCTTAATTTATTTTTTAAGTTTTTTTTTTTAAACCCTTAGTGGTAGTATAGTTAAGAAAGAAACACATGTAGCAAGTTTAATTGATTTTTTTTGTGCAGCTGAAAAAATCAGAAAAACCCACGTAATTTTGATGAAATTATTTTTCCGATATACGATAGGATCTTCAATTTTTCACACGCCTGAAACATTATAGGAAAAAGAAAAGTATAAAATCATTTTATCAAAGATGTCGCTTCGGCGATAGCACCTATATATAAGCGCTGATTGCATTGTGTCTCTAGCCGGAGGTAACACAAAGACGCCCAATCAGACGTGCAACAAACACTTATTGAGTTTTACTTGTTGTAAAACCAACTTTCTTATAAATAAAATCGAATAAACGAATTGCGAACTTCCTTGAAAATCAATTTGTATTATGGCTATTCTTTGGCGGAAATTCTGTAAATTGGATTTAAATGTAGCCACTTTCGAAATGACTTTATTTTCTATTATTTTCTGGTATTCTCTACTACTAGAAAATCATTTGTAGCTAATAAGAAAAATTGTTCTCTAGAATTTTGCTTCCATTTATTGACGAATGATGTCCAAATAATTTATTTAGTTATTATAAATAAACTTCGAAGTTCAAATGTTTAATGATCATTCAGAAGCTTAATTCTTAATTCCATTGTACACTGTACCACAACTAAATCACCCAAAGCGCTATTCCCAAAAAAGTAATAAATAATACTCAAAATGTATTTCGAAAATAAGTTGAAAATATTTTTTTTTCGTATTCTACTGCACCATTCTATGAATGCTATGTTCAGCTGTAGTAATGGAGATATGAGTACAAATAAATTTATAGATAACTAAAAGCTATTGTAAGTGCATGTACGATTGAGCATAGAATAAGTAATAGAGAGAATAGATACAAAAAAGAAATTCGTTGAAAGAAAAAAGTTATAAATGTTTATAAATTGTATTGAAACAAATTATCAAAATTAATAAAGATAACAAAATATGGATATTATAAAACTAAAATAGCGCAAAATTCAAACGATTAAAAAAAGTGAAAAACTGTATAAGAAACCACAAATGATAGGAAATGTAGCAGCGAAGTAAAGAGTATAAAAAATGCTAAACGATGTTACCGATCATTTTTGTACAGTGGAGGAGAAATTAGCTTTCTTATATTTTATTTAATGCCAACACAACGCCGTTTTGTAAATAGAATCTTTTGGTCTACCTTCTTAAAAAAGATGCACTGTGTAAAGTTACGGAAGAAATTTTAGGAAATTTTCATTAAGGAAAGAAAGTGAGGGTAGTATTTTTGGACTTAGTTATTTCTTTTAGCTTTTCTTTTGACTTGGTGAAAACAGTGCGTAAAGATAGAAACACAGAAGTTGAGATTAGAGGTGCTACACGGTACAGTACTTATTATCCAGAACATTCATTCAATGATAGATAGATAGATAGATAGTTTTATTCACAAAGCCCAGTATGTATACAGTGGATGTTTCGTCAGGAAACGAGTACATTATAGAGTAGTATAAAGATACATGGAATTATGTATATAAAGAATATGATAACACACATTTAACAGTACAGTATAGAATAGTTACAAACGGATATACAAACAGTACAAACATATTGACAAAATGTAAAGAAAATATCACTAAACTCATCAGGACACTCCTGTAATATATGTTTCAAATTCTTTCAGGACGTAGAAAGCATTGGTTGACAGAAGCTTTCTGATGCACTTTTTAAATTATCTTGTAGATAATGCTTTTATGCTTGTAGGAAGCAAATTATAGTAATAAGGTCCTGCGTAATTTAGCGACTTTTTGTAGAACATTTGGTTCAATCTTGGCTTTAGAAAGTGTTCTCTGTTTCGGGTGTTATAACCGTGGACATCCGTGTGTTTCTTGTGAGAGCCTTTATTTTTATGAACGATGATGAATAATTTAAATAAATATATGCAAGGCACTGTTAGTATTTTATATCTTATAAATATATCTTTGCAGGATAGCCTCGGGGGCAGTCTGAAAATTAACCTAAGTATCCTTTTTTGCTGAATGAACACCCTCTCCGCATCACTCACTTGTCCCCAGTTTACGATATTATGTGAAATAGACGAGTATGTTGAGGCGTAATAGAAAGTCAACAAGGATCTTTCAAAGAAAGAATCTCTGATTGTTAACATTGCGAAAAACGTTTTGTTCAGTTTATTGCAAACACTATCTATGTCGTAGTCCCACTTTAGGAAGGCATCGATGTAAGATCCGAGAAACTTTGATGTGTGGTTTAATTGCACGCGTGAACCCGCAAAGTTCAACGCTAGGTTAGTCAGAGGTTTAACATACTGACCAGTGAATTCGATCGCAACTGTTTTTTCCAAATTTATAATCAATTGGTTCTGTTTGCAAAAATCAACAAACTGTGCCACAACACAAGAAAACCTATTGATCAGCTCCTGAGCTTCCCTTCCGGAGACGAAGATGGATGTGCCATCCGCGTACATAAAAACGCGGCAGTTGCTATTGAGGAACTCAGCAAGGTCATTCACATACAGAAGAAAAAGTAGTGGACCTAAGATTCCTCCCTGGGGCGTGCCTAAGTTGATGTTGAACGGTTCCGAGTATATTCCATTCACTTTGACCCTTATTTCCCCATGTTTCATATATGATATTACCCAACTATTGATATTACCTCGAAACCCCAGGCATTCTAATTTTTTTGCCATGATATTCAAATCTAAGGAATCGAAGGCGCGCGATAGATCAAAAAACACTCCCATAACTGTCTCACCCATGTCGAGTTTGTCCTAGATGTACTGGACAAGGTCATTAATCCCCGTTTCCGTTGAGTAACCAACACGGAAACCATGTTGCACATTCGATATAATGTTTTCTTGCTCCAAAAAATGTGTCATTCTGTCGTACATGGCCTTTTCGAGTACTTTAGAGAACCAACTTGCGATTGTTATAGGCCTATAATTCTCAATTAGCTCAGAGTCTCCCTTTTGAATACAGGAATCATTTTTGATTTTTTCAGTGCCGCAGGGAACTGCCCGCAGAGAACGGACGTATTGATAATAGTAGTTAAATATGGAGCTAAAACATCTCCACAGGTTTTTATGAGTTGTATAGGTATTTCATCGATTCCAACAGATCGCTTGTTTTTGAGTGATTGAATTAAGGTTAGCACCTCTCTATTGGTGTATGGCATGAAAAACATACTCTTTGCCTTGGTGATTGGAAGAGTGCCAGTTTCATCTTTAGTGAACATAGTATCGGTCTTCGACTGCACGTGAGTGGCAAAAAATTGTCCGAATTCATTTGCTATTATGTTATCATTAATTACATTGGCATTATTAACATTTAGTCATATACGGCGTTGAGTTTTTTCCTTACCCAGCTTCTCGTTGAGAAGTTTCCACATTTTTTTTACTTTTGTTGTTAGAAAGACTTATTAAGTTTGAGTAGAAAGCCTTTTTTTCATCGGCGACCTGTCTGTTTACTAGGTTTTTCATAATTCTGTAGTTTTTTCCACAGCTTCATTATTAGTGGTTTTGCGTCTCTGGTTTAACTCTTTTAATTCACTCATTTGGTTTTTGAGTTTTTCGGAAAATGGTATAGATCTTTTAAGTTTTGTGTTTTTTGCTGAATTGTTCTTTTAGGATGTGATACCTCAAAGCACCATAGTACATGATCCCAGAATATGTTGAACAGGTTGTCAATGCTTGTGTATTCCAAAAGAGGTATGGTTTCCTTCACGAAATAGCTACGGAATTCAGCAATGCTGTTGTCTGTAACAACTATTTGTTCGCAACCGATCATCGCATTGAAATTTATATTTTGTGAGTAGTGTTTAAAAGTTATTGCCTGGGCTAAATGATCTGATATTCCTAACTTAAGCTGACTAAAGACGAAGTTTTCGATGTTTGTAACAATATAGTCGATGGTTGACGAACTCGTATGCCCAGCACTATTAGTTTGTAACCTCGTGGGTGAATTCACAAGAGAACTCAAGCCAAATGAGTCCAAGAGGTCGAATAATCTCTTTGTTTTATTATTTTTTTTATCGCTGTTAATATTAAAATCTCCGCAGAGCAGTGTCACTTCGAACTTTGCAGAAGAGTACTGCAATACACTGTAATTATCACTATTCAGTAACAGCGCAATTTTTGTTTGCAGGTGATACCGTATTAAAAGTAAGTGATAGTACTTGTATCTGTATTGACTAGATTGCAGTTTGTTGTAGTTGAATGGACAGACCGGACGAAAAATATATGCCGAACAAACTCATGAAACCGGCGTAAAATTGTATTTAATAAAACTAAAATTCTTGCATGTAATCAGTTCTTCTACCAACGAAAAATCAGAGAGTCTATAGAAATCGATAAACAACCTAACAATCTTAATCGCGATTCAGGTCTCTACCTGTCCCCAATCTGGGAATCAGTGATCCGAGACGGGGTTTACACCACTCAAGCAATATATAAGCAGGTATAGAGTAAAATACCAGCCAGTTTCAGTCAAGCTCTGAAAAAGCCAACAGGATGATGGGCGAAACGTCAGCAATTTCGACTAAGCAAAAACCGACGCAGGAGGAATCCAGAAGTTTTGTAAAAAGCAATAGTCTAGATTCTAATTATGCTACACACTTAAACACAGAAAAACACATTTTTGATGACAATTTTGATATTTTACATATAGCCACAAAAAGTAGAAAATTAAGCTTATTGGAAGCCATGGAAATTAACAAAATGAGACATTCAAATGTATTGCTTAACGATCAATTAGATTTAAATACCTCTCTTAATTAAGGTCTTATTGTCATTTTTCGGTAGTGGCAGGTAGTTTGTAAATATTACATGTGATAAAGACAAGGTGTTGTCGAAACAATTGTCATGTGAAAATATATAATTTCGTGAAAATCTGGACTTTTAATTGTTTTTGTTAAATGGATTTTCATGAAGTAAAAGCCACCTCGATTGAATTTTTTAAAAATCTGCTGTCTTGGAAAAGCAGTTGCGGATTCAGAAGAATGTCCCCATACTAAACAATATATTTGGTCATTTCGTTTTTTTACGTCTTTGTTATAAATTTTACATGATTCCTCCAATTCAAGTTTTCATCACCATAAACTACCAGATATCTTAGGTAACTCTCTCCTGCTATTCTGGTTTCACATTAACAGCACTGCTTGTTCTGTTATACATTTGGTCTTACCCTCATTGTGAAAGTTTTTTACTCTGGAGAAATTGTACGTAAAATCAATTGTAGGCTTTACGTTTAAAACTTATTATAAAAGTGACCCGATATCTCACCAGCTTCCGTTACACATTGGCTATGCAAAAACATATTAAATATTCTGAATCAAGGGTTTGTGTTTTAGGATGCTTGAATTGTTGAACGTAAATTTTGTATTTAATTGTGTACTTCATAGTTTATTATTTTTTCATTTCATGTATGATTGTGACAAGTGTGTTAAATGAGACTTATTATTTTAACTAAGTATAGTAAGCACACGCAGATTCTCCTCATGAATCCATTGTAGCGACAAAGTGTTGTGGATTATATTTATGTACTAAATTGTAATTTTTGATGTTGTTGCTAAATAAACAAAACAAAATTAAGTTAATATCTGTCCATAACTTGTTCATATATTTTGAAACACAAATCGTGCAAATTTGCGGTTTTTCTACCTTATAGCTCGATAAATGGTTGACGACGCAGGTGAAAAAGATGTCCCTTCCTTGAGGAACGGTGTGATTTTCCAAAGGGGCTAAAAATTCGGGCTCGGGTTCTTCAGCTAGCTGACCTGCAACAAAGCGAAAAGATAACTGCATAGACTTGCCAACGGGATAACTAAAACGAACTAGAGATATTCGAGAGTATAATCTGCTGAATGTGGCTACGGACGTGTTCGGTATACAAAATCTTCACTTGGCGCAACATAAGAATTTAAATGGCCAAAATGTCACAGTAATGTAAATGAGATTGATTTACATCGGAATGTTGCTTATTAAATATTTACTCTTGGTTTTCGCGTCCGATATTACATTATTTGGGCGACGCAATAAGAAGGGCGTTCGTAATTAAATAAACAAATATACGGCATGAGAACTTCAGGAAATTACAAAACAATTTTCCGTAGGAATTTTACTCATTATGAAATCTAGTTTCATATTGTGCATACGGAGATTTAATGTGTTTTCTGCATTCCACCATATCCTAAAACTTTGGACTAGAGAAAATCAGTTAAATATTTCGTCCAAAGCGCAAACATCGTCTTCCCCTAATTAGTTCGCATAACTGGAATTTTAAATACGATTAAGTAAGTGTACCCATCCATCCGAGAAAGATATTATCATAAAACAGTATGCTTCCATGACACTAGAAAATCCAAAATTACTAATGTTCAAGGCTATGTGATTAACAGTGCACTCCCTCTGCAAATGGGAATTAATCGTATTAGAGATACGAATTACTAACGTACACTATCAGATTCGTACATATGGCAATCGTCAATGGCGCAATTTGGCTCATGTGTATTAAACAGTGTCTACACACAACGAATTATATATGCAAATTGTAACATCAACTTGCTAATTTTAATTAATATTGGCACGTTCCGCGCTGTTTTATATATTTAACCACAATGTGTTTATTTATTATTATTTACAAAAGTTGGAATGGTGATCTTCGCTTTTGTATATTATATTACTCTAACCATCGTCTTTTAAGTAGATCGGGTTTTGTGTGGCGCTTGTCGCGGTTAAAAAAAAACAGAAAACACATACGCCCAAATATCAAATCTGCTCGCTAAATAAACTAGAATCGTCGGACGCTAAAGCAGCTTTTAAAAATTCTATACGCAACGTTTAAAAACCTTGGAGTGCGCTGAAAAACGGCAGCGAGTAAATTCTCAAAGCAAACATCCTTTGTGCCTATTTGCCTTTGAATGAAAAGGGTAGAGGTTTCAGAGAACATCGTCAAGTCAATAGTCCGGTTAAACATATCCAAACCTACGATACATATGCACTTAAAATAAACCGATTTTTTTTTTTGGCATTTTACTCGATTCCGGTTGAAATTGTCTTTCGTCACATCTGTTCGTTTTGTGGTTTTTAACATACAATAAGTGTGACAAGCACGAGGACAAACTAACTCATATTCAATCGTTCCACTTCGAGGCATTACGATTAAACAATGCCTCACGAATGGGATATTATTCACTAATAGTTTAAACAAGTAGTCCGACCGTATGGCTAATGGTTTGCCGATATGTCGATATCTGTTGGTTTGAATGCGCTCGACTCTTATTAAATTATACCAAAATATATTTGGATGTTTACTGAATACGAATTGAAATTTGTGACCGTTTTTAAAAGAAGCAAAAATACACAATTATGCGATATTATCAACATTTCATCATTTCAAGTGTCTCTATTTAAGAAATTATCTATCAACAAGTACAATATTTTCAGTTAAAGGAGAGATACAAATCAAAATTATCACGTTGATTTAATTTCCACTGATTCATATCCAATTGATAAATAATAAAATATTTGTGTTATCTTCAAAAACATTTTACTGCCGACCTCGCTAGTCAATGAAGAACGAAATAACGATCTAACACGAAATAACATTTGCGACAAGGGTTCATCATGCTTGTTTTTTATATCCTCAAGGGTCAAAGGCATCAAAAGATGCAGGAACTTTAGAGAACGATATACCAATAGCTGATTTAATGCTTAACTGTATTAACTGTAGCACATTGTTTTCGATGGTGATTTTTTAAGGAATTTAATTTCCATATACCTGGCTATTAAGCTACCAAACTTTCTTATTTTTAATTATAAGGGTATGTTTTTATTCCATTTTTGGAATGCTAATAAAATTTTATGTATTTTTCATGTTCATACTCAAAATCAACTGTTTTTGCAGGAATAACACAAAAAGAAAATGTAATTTAATCAATAAACTAGAATTACATTTATGAACGAGGCAATTAATGATTTTAATGAATCGGTAAACTTAAATAACATAAAAAACTATTTGAAAACAAAGAAAAAAGTACTTATTTTAATAATTCGTGCTGCTAAATTCCCGTGCGGTGTTTTGCAGCGAGTTCGGTTTTTATCCACTCTATTAAGTCAGTCAGGGGTTAGTTTTGAGGTGACCCAAAAGAAAAAATCTATATAGGGGATTTAAGTCGGGTGGAAAAGGCGGCCACTCGATAGTCCCTCTTCGTTCCATCCACCGATTTGGAAACATTCTCTCTTATATTTTGCGTATAATACGGATGTGTGCCCCGTCTTGTTGAAACCATATGCTGCTCGGATATAGTAAAGCTGATTGAGGAATAAATTGCGTCCTTAAAGGCCTTATAATATTTCCACCAATTATTCCAGCTCAGCTTTTGAGGAGAATGGGTACGGTGTTCTATTATCAATATCCAAAAAAAGGATATAACTTGGGAAATTTGGAGTTAAAATCGATTCCTCCATAACACGACCAGAAAATTTCTAAAGGGGATGTACTTTTTATGGCTGATACCTATTTTTTGCCAAAATTCTATCTATACGTGATAATAAAACATGTAGAACCTCTTCATCGTTCTTTTTAGTTTTTTGTCGCTCTGTCCTTGGGTGGTACAAACCCAGTATTTGTAAATTTTGAAACTAAGCTGGCCACAGTTGACTTCGTAATTAGAATTGTATTTTGGTATACTGTATAAAATAATTCACACACTTAACAGATCATCATCAATACTTGTTCGGATTAGCTGAAAATCATTATTATCATTATTATTATTATTTTTATTATTATTGTTTGGTCATTCTTGCAAAAACGGTTAAATTTGTGTATAGAATATGTTATATATTATAATTCCTGAGATACATGGCTTTCGGGGTACTAACCCTGTATAAAACCGAGTGACGAACAAATTTGACAATGCGTTATTTTTCTTAATCTAGTTGAGATTCCTGAAGGTAGAATTCGTGGTTAATGAAATGATGTTTAATATTGTTATAATGGTGCCCAGAAATATTCAAGATTATTTGTAATATTATCTGTAAGCTTTCGAATTTCGAACTTGGGTTTTTAGTCTACTCTATCGAGCGTGCATTTATTAGCTCTATTTAGCTACTGGGTAAATATTTTTATTCGTCCACTTTAAGTCAAAAGGAAAAGCTATACTTGTTTTACGTCCGGGGCTGTAATTTTAATCTCAACATTTATGGATCTTGCCCAGACCAGAACTAATTAAGAGGTTTAGATTGAAAAACACTGTCGAGTTTAGTGATGAAGATGATGTTTTGATTTCTTAAAATACCAATTTCTACAATTATTTTTTCATATTAAATTGCTGTCATTTCGTTTTGCAAAAGAAAGCTAACGCTATAATTTTATTAAATCCAATAATTCTGAAGCTGCATGCAACGAGTATGATGTCAGATTATTTCAATTCAACAGTTCAACATTACGAATTGCGAAAATTAAATTATTTTATTGAAAGTAATAAATTAATTCTGCTAATATCGAATTCCCTATGGAATCTTTTAGCGAATGTATGAATTAATAATCAAGTAGTGCCCAAAATGATGCTCGTGTCCAAATATTAATCGAATTGTTTTTGTTGTTAATTTTCCTTTCGATAAAACGGATTTTGCGGTAATTATGAACGTCTAATGAAAAAAAAAATAAATTCACTTGGTTTCAAATACAATTGATTGCACCCAAATATCAAATACACCTGATTAAAAGTACAGCTCAAGCAGTTTATAAAATTTTTATACTCTGCGTTTAAAAACCTGTAAGAAGTGCGTAAATTCTTAAAGTAAGCTCCAGTTGTTTTTCTTTTTATTAACCAATAAATTAAAGTTTTTGATTGATAGCGCCTCCACCATTCCACCAAGTACCTAACATTATAGTTTTGTTTATTATATTATATATATTATAAATTTGTTTATAAATGTTTAAATTTTGCCATTTTATGTCACAAGCGTGGTTTTTTTCAAAAACAAATATATACACTGTTTATAACGAAAAATGATAGGAAAATCTAATGTTTTTCTTTAAATATGTTCTAGAAGTACTTATGTAAAGGATAAAAGAGTAAAAGTGTTTCGATGGAAGGATGGATGGATGCATGGAAACTTTAGACTTACTCTGCGTATTTAATTTACACCCTGTACAATCAGCTTGTTACTTTAACTGCCCCTTTGCCTTCTTTTAAGTGCCAGTTATATCGGTAAGGTTCGCACCTGTGGGTGTCATTGTGTAAGTGGCGGAGAGTCAATCAAAATTTAGTATTATTTAAGTGCGTTTCTTCTCCTATATTATTCTATTATATATACTATTATTATATACTATAAAAATTAATCAGGGGGAGTTAAAACTCAAAAATATTGGTTTATGCGATAGAGCTATTAGAAAAATAGAGGCACTGCCTATGTTGATATTACACGAACTTCTGAAGCCCCTATAAAAAAAATGACTTGCGCATGCGTGAGATTTAAAATGTTTCGTTTAAACCAATGACATTCAACAACCAATATGGCCGTTGACAGATGGTGAATAAGTTTAGATGCGGAAGTTTTTCGGAACTATTTGGTTAAAATATGCCTAAACCTCGTTAAATGATCTGGGAAAACGAGTTAAGTGTATTAAAATCGGTGTTTAGAAGGAAAATGGTGCAAAGTGCAGGTTAGTGGGTGAAATGTAGAGGTATGCGCAGAAAATATCAGTACCGCCTACGGTATTGTCACTTATTATATAATAGGTATATGGTTTATGCACACATTTAGATATTCAACAAAGAATTTTTGAAGAAATTCAGATTTTTCGGAGAACATAAGATACTATTTACCTTGGTGTGGCCAAAAAATGGGAATAAATTTTCGTGATATTTTAATACGTTTCTACGGGTATGTCTAGCAGTTGTAGTTAATTCAAAAACAGCTTTTACTTAAGCTGTACGTAGTTCCGACTGAACGTTTTAAGTTTAATGACGTGAAACAATGATGTAGTCTTCGTTTATTCGGAACAGTTACACGACTTGTTCGAAAGGGGTTGGCAAATCGTTGTGAGTGTCTTAATCCGTCAGTAAATTGAGTCTGACTTTAACCTCTGCCTCCAAATCGACCCATCGTAAACACATTTACTAAACGGACCCTTGTTCCTAAATAAATATCCATCAATAGCAAAAACCGGAAGCTTTATTTAAATTTTATAACAATTGTCGTCGTTAAGTACGTAATATTCACGTCTCTACTTCGAATTTGATTTTTACCCTTATAGGGTTTGCAGATGAAACAATCATTGCGTGATCCGATTTAACTAACAACACACCATAGACGTAGGCCATGAAATACCCTTATCAGCAAAATGCAACCAACCATTTAGGTAGGAGCCAAATGCCGTTAGTTTCAAAAGAAGCGAAAACTCAATGCAGGTTCATTTTGTGTCTGTTTTTATTTCAAATAGCATTATATAACTGGAATTATTAAGCCGCTCTTGATATTATCTACGTGTATAAGTTTGTACGTAAATTAATGCATTGTTTATTGCGGAAAAAAATTGTGTTTGGTGGTTCTCGGTGGCGTGTAGAAAATATGATTCGTGTGTGATTAAAATAGCGCTATGCCTCAGAGTAAACATTTGAAGTATGACTTTAAAATTTTTAAAATATTAATACAAAATATTTTATGTCCCATAAAGACACGAATATGGGGGAATTTTGGGTTCGATGGAGTTTTAATCATTTAATACCTGGAGGTTTTGCGTTTCTTTCACATTCTACAAATAATGAAAGAGCCGCTACCGATATGCTGACTTACAAGCTACGACCCGTTTTCCACTGGATACACCTGTACCATACAAAAACTAATACTTCTTTAAGAAGCCATTAGTCTTTTATATGGTTACGATACACAGATACGATAGATACACCACGATACATAGATACGATCAAATGAACTCGGCGATAATAATTTTTACCGCTAATCTTTCAAGGACTTTGATTCGTGTATAAATTGGATGATGAATGATCAGTTTTCACACAATGTTTCAAATGTTATTTCACCTAAGCGTGACCTTATTAGGGTCTGCGGTGAGTTGCAATTTTTCATTTTCTTTACGTGAATTATAAACCCATAGCGTTGAATTATTTTTTCATTTATTCAGTTGGCAGATATTATTGTTGATATTCCGGACGGTAAAATCCGTGGTCATGAAATCAACACTTCAAACGTTAGCTTCTATGCTTTTGAGGGAATTCCATTCGCCTCTCCACCGCTCGGAAAGTTAAGATTTCAGGTAATCTCTTTTTATATTGTCATTATTTACATTCTTTCAAATTCGTTGTTATAACCAAAATATTTCAAAACAGGCGAAGCTAAAAACAATTTTTCCTAAAAGTTTCATTAAAAGGATCCACTCTCGCAATTATGTTATTGTCATTATTTTCCTATTTACTTTGTTACTGTCACAACAGTAACCTCGCAAGTGGAATTATGAATGTATTGTTAAAAATTCATTTTAATTATTATAAACAACTAATAAGAGAATATTATATAATTTAAAGCACTTTTGTTTTGATCGCCTTTCAGGCTCCTGCTCCACCTGTACCACGGGAAGATGTTTTAGAAGCAAATCGATCTGGTAAATGTTGTATAGCAGGAACTCGTGATTCATCGCAAAGTGAGGATTGTTTATACCTGAATGTCTATGCGCCTGCTCGAAATGTAAGTAAATAATTCTATAAAAATTTCAGGAAATTGTTACGAAAATTTTATAGAATACAAAACAATTAGCAGTGCTAGTTTGAATTTATGGGGATGCGTTGTTAGCGGGTTGTTCGTCTTTGGAAGAGTTCGCGCCTGGAGATCTCGCAAATGAAGACGTAACAGTAATCACTTTTAACTACAGGTTAGGAGTCTACGGGTTTTTATCTACTGGAGACGATGTCATTCTGGGCAACGCCGGCTTGAAAGACCAACTTTTCGCGCTTCAGTGGGTGCAAAAAAATATTGCTTACTTCGGAGGCGATCCGGATAAAGTTACGTTGTTTGGGCAAAGCGCAGGTGGAATATCTATCGGCCACCACATCGCGAATAAAAAATCTCAGGGTTTGTATAGGGCGGCAATTTGTCGGAGTGGTTGTTCGTTCTTGCCTTTGTATCAAAGTGATCCCAGAACTAATGCCTACGGTTTAGCAAAACATCTAGATTGGACTATAACAGAAGCAAACACCACCGTCGAAATAAGAGATTTTCTTCAAAATCTGTCCGTGGACGTTTTAACTCCTGTTGGAGGATTTACGCTTCTGGTAGACCTTAATTTGATGTGTTTATAGACAAATGAAAATCTTTTGATTTTTTTATAGACTGGCGTTGTATTAGAGGCGGAAAATGACGATGCTTACGTGACGGATGTTAATTTTCCTCACATAGAATCGGGTAATTTTGTTCAGGTGCCCCTGATGATCGGTACTGTTGCGGAGGAATCTCTTGGGCAGACTGAGGGTAAGTGATGAGTGTGCGAGTGATGGTCTTCGATACTATTAAATTAAATACCCATCTCTGTCATGGTGGCCTCAAGTATCGCTGATTTTTTACGAACCAATTAAAAATATCAGTAAAACGGAAAAACTCTTGGAACCTCTCTCTAATATTTTCAACGGGGTGAAAATCTACTTAAAATGTTTGTAGATCCAATTAGTAGTCGTATTTTATATTTAAACAAATTTCAGTGCCTTTAGATATACTACTCGTTGCACTGCTCTACGATTTTGACGTAAAATATTTGATACCTGGAGATTTGACACCATTGCCGGGAACAAATTTGACTGAGGTTGGAAATATAATCAAGGAAGCGTACATGGAGGCGAATATCAAAAATCTCGCAGTAGCCGCAGAGGTAAATGTTCAAAATAGCGCGAAGAACAATTGTGACAAAGACAGTGTTTAGGTGACCAGTGCCTTCTTTGTGAGGTCTGCGTTCACACAGGCAGAACTTCAGTCCAATTACACTCCGGTATATATATATATATATATATATATATATATATATATATATATATATATATATATATATATATATATATATATATATATATATATATATATATATATATATATATATATATATATATATATATATATATATATATATATATATATATATGTATATATATATATATATATATATATATATATATATATATATATATATATATATATATATCAGTTTTCGTTTTATGGGACTGCCAGTGAAAACCGAACTAAAATTGAAGGTACCTATTGCACACCAACACCAAAAACTAACAAAATGCAATTCTTATATTAGAGAATAAAAACAAGAAACGACATATTGAGTTTGCCTTTTTGACATTTAGGGGCTGGGAAAACAGGCCACAGCGACGAACTGCCTTATCTTTTCAACATATCTGCGATACCCCTGGTGACGGATGCAGATTTCTTGACGAGGAGAAGAATAACTAGACTTTGGGCAAATTTTGCGAAGACATTGTAAGTACGCATTCCAATAGCGCGAGAGTTTTATTAAATAAAACATTGTTTCAGAAACCCCACCCCTGATGAATCGGATCCACTTTTAAACGTGACTTGGCCTTTAGTTTCACCAAGTAACATACAGTACCTCGATATAGATAGTTCCTTAGAGGTAAAACCCAACCTAAAGGCCGAACAGATGGCTATGTGGAATAGCGTGTATTACACCTACGGACAACAACCTTTTGTAGGATTTTAATACAGAGAGTTAAATTTAATTAATTTTTTTTCCCGTGCACTGTTATTTTAATATGCGTATTCATAACATAACATAAACAATGAGTATTGTGAATGAAGCAAATTCCATAAAATCAATTCAAGATAACTTCCATACGAAACATTTTGGGCTTATCTGTTGAGAGGCACACATTTTCATCTTCACAATACGAATTCTTAGTGGCTGGATAGAGCTTTTGTGCTCACGTGACGTCAATCTCAATACGTAGTTATACTAATATTGTTTGTACACGGCTTCCGAAGCAAACGTTCCGTCTTTATCAAACAATGATGGTGCAGTATTACGGGCCAATTACAAAAACTTTATAAATTTTAAATTCCCAAGACTCTGTAAACTGCAAACCAGTTTTCGATAGTTGAAGCCTATGGTAGCAGCTGTGTCTTATTCAGTTTTATAGCCCTTTGTTCCGAAGTTAAAGCAATAATTCCCCACTTTATTTACCAAATGCGAGAAAAATATTTTTATGTTGAAGTGTAACGCTTCAGTTTGTTTTAGAATTTCGGATAATGTACTTACTCCCCGCTGCCGCTTTACTTTAGTAAAACTACTAAGTGCCTATGCCATATAACATATTTTTAATATAGATGAACGCGGAAAATATGGTTAATAAAATTTATAGCTGTAGCTGTAGACTTCCACAAATCTGGACATAAAAATGTCATATTTTGAAGAGTGATTAAAGGCAAAAACCCCTTTGAAAGTAGTTTTGGTACTAAATGGTATTGGTTAGTAACGCAATAATAAAAATTATTACAATTACATTCCGTTGTAAATATTTGGGTTTTTTATGAGATCTCTTTTAATGTCTCACGTAAAATTAACATAGTTTTATCGAAGAGGTTTCCTGGTTTTAATTAGCTAAAGTAGTGGAATTTAATTGTTTTCCCTATTCGGCATTATTTCACTTACTTGAGTAGCGATATTCAAAGGAGCTAGTAAATTACTGGCATTAAGCTTTTCTTTGGCACAAACTTTAATCAATTGCAGCTTTTAACTTAAGGTTAACGTACGCTTTGTAAGAGCTCTTCATAGCATCACATTCTATGCGATAAATACTAAGAAAATGCCGTTAGGTATGTGCATTAAATCGATTAGATTGTGAACTGTTTAAGATGAAATTTCTCTTAAATGATAAGCAAATTTCGTAAAACATTTCGCCGTTAAGTATCTATTTTAATTATTTAAAATTTCAAATAAAAAGGAAGACAGATTTTTAGCCGATATAAGGATAAATCAGAGAAAATTCCACGGGCTAGTCGATAGCATTTCAGGAATTCACTATTAATCGCCGAAAGTATGTCAGCGAGTAATATTTTATTAATATAAAACATTCCAAAGTTTAATTAAATTGCTATGCTTTGAAGCCACTTGTTTTAAATCAGGCGTAATTTACAAACGAACCCAATCCACTCTAATAGCGAAAAATCAAATGGTGCGAAACACTATTTTCTTTTACTACATTTCCGATTTTTTTTTCAATATTTTTAGTCGTAAAACAACACCTCCGTGCTTAAATTGAAAGTTATTCAGGTATATTATCGCGTGTTGGAAGGAGAAAGCAACACTTTCCAGTGCATTAGACTTTGTGGAACATACAATAAGTCTGCAATAAGTATAAAGTGTGCTATATCACTGGAAGTAAACCATCCATTATTATTCTCTTAGTCGCTCAGGACACTGGATTTTATTCCATTCTATTTCAATTTTTGTGTGACTTGCAGAACAAGGCCTTCACACTTCAATAGATTTTAGCGATTGCATTTTGAGGCATCAAGAATTTTATATACGCGTTTTAGAATGAGATATATTTTTAAATTTGTTTTTACGGGGGTGACGTAATAATATTTTATTTCACAATTTAAGATTGGGTTTCGTTAATAGCGAACTTCAAGACTTGATGCGGGCTTGATACTTGACAAGTAATGATATTGTATTGTGGAGTCAGAGCATTTTTAATTAGCTCTGCTGATATTTTTGTTATTCCAACACTTAAACAAGGAATTCATTTGAACCGCTTAACAAGTTTTTATGAGTTTCCACATAGACGAGTTTCCCTTTTTATAAACCGGATTAACTTATAAGAAATGGGTTCATTTATAAGGTATTACGTAAGATATTTAATGATATGGCCACTGCCTTAATAATAGCCCGGGTAGTTGGAAAGGTCTCCATGGCTGCGGTTTATGTTAAAGCTCTGGATAATCCGAGATTACCGATGTCGGCGTAACTAAAATACTAATTTGTTGATTCTGGGAGAGGGACATTGAATTATTGCTGGAAGCTCCCACGTATGCCTGTAACGCATAGTTAACAATATTGAGCATCGGATCGGCTCAGTGCCGAGAAATACAACACAGTGTTAGTTCAACAATGTTTTACAGAAATTTGTTTCGAATGTGTTGAGGTTTGTTGCGCCGAATTTATTACCCTGAAAACATGTATTACTACTTGCTACCTGTCAAAATACCTAAACGGATATACATTGGCCGCATCTTTGCTGACTTTAACGATGTTAATGATATGGTTGAATTTTTAATTCCAAGCATTCATGCACCCTATAAAACCGTTCCTTTAAAAAACCTCCTGCGCCTTGCCTTAATGATAATTTAAAATTACTTATAAAATTTAGAAATAAATTAGGATGGAATACATGTAAAAAGGATACCACCTCATGTTGGGAATATCCTCGCCGTTTTAATATAACGAATAGGTCTCAAAAAACTTTGAAATTTCAGACTAATAACCTTAACCTAAAACTGATTTCATGATACATGTCTGATACATACATACATACATACATACAACTGATACATGTCTTATTCTACTAGATTATAGCAAGGCTCTTTATAATCCTACTCAATCAATTCTTTTAACAAAATTAAGGTCTTTTGGGCTAGAAAAAGTAGTTTTAAAAAACTTTTGACTTTGCAAAGGCCAGTAAGGGTGTCCCGCAGGGTCCATAAGCCTGTATAGTCCGTTTTTGCAAAATTTTTGAATGATTGTTCAGTTCAATTCAAAAAGGATGATAATTTTAACATATTTTTAAATAGAGAGAAAATATTGGCATCACAGTTTTGTAAAAATTTGGGTCCTCTTATTGATTCTAGTTTGCGGTTTAATAATCATGTTAATAAAATATTGCAAAAATCATATTATAAACTTAAATCACTATATCTGCATTAAAAAATTTTAAGTACAGATACAAAACTCAAACTTTGTGACAGTCTTATACTCTCCCGAGTTGGTTAGTCCCCCCACCCCCCCAACATAAAAAGTCTGACTAACATTAGAGCATTTAAGTTCGAAATGAGAAATTTTTATTATTGTGGGTAAAACCTCTACTCCATGATTATTTTTTTTATTTATGAAGATCCTTATTTCGCAATTTTCTGCTCTCCTGTTTATGGCTGTTTAATCTAAATTGCTGTTTGACTTTATTGGCGTACCACTTTTGGTCTTCTTCTTTTATATTTTCGTTTGCTTTCTAGTGGTTAGTTGAAAAGAGTAATGTAACCTAAATTGTTGTAACTATTTTAAATAAAGGCATAATTTTATTTATATAGTTAGTTTACGAATTTGTTTTCCGTTCTAAAGATGTCACGTGTGTTTTCTGTACTATTCGTCGGTGAATTGGCCCGTTCCTACTCAATATTACCAAATCGATATATCCGCTTTCGATATTGCATAATCGTGTAAACTATTTTCTGAATGTAATTCAATAAAGTCTCAACAATGCATAATGAAACCCAAACTTTCCTGCAACTACACACATTTGAACTGTTTCGCAGTAATTTCAAAACTGTTCGGCGCTTCTATATAGTCAGAGGTTTTCTGCCAAAACTTATGTTAATTATATTTTTTCGTTGCGGCATTTATCTTGAACGTTCTTTCAAACTGGAAGAGAAACATTAAAAAAATTTGTCTTATTAAGCATCGTCTAGACCGAATAATTTGGGCACCCGCTAGGAAAATAGTCCAATAAAATCCATCGTTGATGATCTTCCCTCCTATCCAGTAAAATGTTTTTGAAAATTTTCCACAATTTTTCCCATCCTAAAAGATAAGCTGAATAAAATTAAAAAAATGCAACATGCAAAGCGATTTTATAATACAAAGTCGTTTTTTCGAAATTAATATGCTATACATAAAAGCAGACCAATTGAAGAGCCAAAAGATGACACGAGTTTAATGTATAATGAACACATAATATATATTTTAGTTTCCATTGATATCTATTTTTCCACTACAAAAGCCTTTGCTTCTGCAATTTCTCGTGTGAACTACTAGTAAGATTGAGTCTGCCTACGTAACATTGCAATTATTTTAACATTTACCGGCTTAAAGCAAAAGTTATCTGATATTTAGGATGGTTCTAGAGAACCCAGATCTGCTGTGGGAAATCTAATTGATTTTACAGAATTTTTTACAAATGTTATGCCACCTGGAGGGCAGGCTGATAGTTTATTCATAGACTTTGAAAAGCTTTTGATCGAGTTCACCATATATAATATAATTTCAAGACTAAGTCCATTTTCTTTATCTAAGAACTGTTGCCTCTTACTGCAATCCTATTTAACAAAAAGAATGCATTACGTCGCAGGGGTGCCACAGGGATCAACATTAGGTTCACTATGATTTCTATTATTCATAAATGATATAGAATAAAGCATTAAACATTCAAATATCTTGGTGCATGAAAATATACAGAACACTAGAGACTGAAAATGATTGTAGGATATTTCAAGATAATGTTAATAATTTAATAAAGTTGTCAAAAGATAATTTGTTAGATTTTAATGTAGTAAAGTGTAACTCCATATGTATACAATCGTAAAAAAGACCACTTTTTATAGATATAAATTAGATGAAATTACTATCAAATCAGTTACTACAAACGTTGACGTGGACGTTACATTTGATACGAAATTAATAATATAATAATAATGATTAATAGTAAGACACTCTTGAATTCTACATTGAAGATCTATTATAAAATGCACTGCACAATCATTAACGATCTTGCCTTCAACAATGCAACATTGTTAAATCATGTTGAATCAGTTGAAATAGCTAATCATGACAATGGTGACATCTTATAAACAATAAATATATTTAGTAATACAAAAGCATTCTTTGAAAAAATTTATTCCGTAATGTAATCGAATTATTTTAATTGAACGATTTCCTGAAGACGTAACTTTTTGACCATATTCTAATAGTTAGTTTTGAAGTTAATTTTAAGACAATTACAACTTATTAGCCTTGTATGTTGAATTAATAATAAACAAGACTTATTTAAGTTTAAAAAAAATTATCTAACGAATTTCAGTAACATTTATAGAGGGGCATAGAATTACAATAGTCACAATAAAATTAAAGCATGTCATAAACCTTCCAATTCGGCTCATTGTAAAAACCAATTCTAAAAGAGCATCTAAAATTTGATAAATTTTAAAGCCCTCTTGAACTTATTGATTGATTGAGGCGTTTCTGTCACGCTTGTGAAAAATAGTGCCCGTATTTCTCGTAACTTATTTTCAATGTTATTCGATTGAAACAATTTATTAACTTCAATATTTATAGAAATACCACTGTAAAATACTGCTTCATTGAAAAGATAAATGATGCTTCGTGTTCATTTTCATTCTAAAGCTGGGTTCTTTATAAGCAAGTGGATCGATTGATTACAGGAGGTAATTTTTATATTAATATAGGGTATATACAATATCGTCTTTTTTATAGATTATAAGGCAACTTGCAGAATCAGACAAACCAATATTTTAGTCAGCTCGTAATATATTCAATATGGCACGTCGTCCTTTATGATTTTTTTATGTGAACCCAGAAACAATATTCCAGAGATTTGTTCAATATATAAAGGAAACACTTATATGATTTACCTTTCGTAAAATTGACCGGAAGAAGAGTGCAAAAAAGGAGAAGCGTGACTTTCATGCCGTGGATGTGACAAGCGGTGCGACTATTTAAGGGTAGCATCTTTTTTTTCCTCGACTGCACGAAGCTCTAACATTATCATATCTGAAAAGAAAAACATACGGGTTAAGAATAAGTTAAGAAATGAGTATATTTAACAAAAATGACATTAGGTGCAGCTTGCGTAAGAAAAACAAAAGTTAACATATTTTTCAACGCTTCCGAAATTTATACTCTCATATAACAAATTCTAAACTCCAACGCGTTGTTTCGTAACATCAAACAAATGGAATTTGATTTCATATTCTGGATATTCTCGCTATTCGTTTGAGCTTATGTTGCCGGATTTTATCTACAATTCCTGGATATTGTGGCAAAACGGTTTATATTCGAGCATTCGGCGAGAATTTTGCATCCCAAGAAAAGTTAAGGACTGTGATAGTAGCTTTTATGTAGGTACGACAACCCAGACCCATAGAAATGGATGATTGCATGCTATGACGTTTTTTATACAAATTTTGTTCAATGATCAAGAGTAAAACGAAGCCATTGGCGAAAGAGCTCGTTCATTAAAAGCCTCACTTATATTGTTTATTTATGTAATGCAACAGTCGTTTATTGAAAACTTTCCCCAGTAAGTTTAACAACCCGAGGCGAAAAACTAATGAAGATCCCTGCTTGTTGTTACGTTTCTATAGAGAAATGTATACGTCCCAAACTGCGTTGGGAATTCGCAAAACAATTCTAGAATTTAAAATGATTTTTGTATTAAGAGTATCTACAGAGGAACTGCATTTATTAAGCCAAATTTTATTTCACTCGGGGCTGTAAACTTCAATTCGATGCAAGTTTTGCAGAATAAAATACTAAAGATGTTATTTAATTATAACAGATTAACTCACGCTGATAAACTATACAGGAGGTTAGGGCTCTGGAAGCTAGATAAAGTATTTCGTTTGGAACAATGTAAATGTACGTATAGAATTTTAAATAAAACTTAAAATACAAAAATATACAATCACACAACACCAGGAAACAAAATTATTTACATCATAGTATAAAGTAACAAGGGCTTATATAGCAACACCAATCATGCAATAAACATCCCGATAACGTCAAAAATGTTATATACTATGAAAGATTTGTAATGCCGCTAAAGTCATTTGTATTGAATAATTATTTATACCAGAATATATTGTCAGTGTCAGTGTATAGTGTTTAATATAGACGACTCGTTTATTTGTTATATGTCCTCGATACGAGAGCTGCTAAGCACTGTCCAGAGGATAGTTGGAAACTATATATTTTTTTGTATTTATTAAGTTAAATAAATAGTGAATGCGCAATAATTTTAGTTTATATCACACGCACTGTCGATAATTTCAAGCACCTCGTTTACTCGGACGCCATAAAATAATTTTCTTTCGTATATTTCCTAAATCCAAACGATTATTTGGAACATTTAGTATTTACTAAAGCCCTTCACGATTTAGTAGACAAGTCTGGTAAAAAATTATGTGTTTAGTTAGCATTTGCTGAAATTTCGTGTGATTAAAAGATGGTATTTGTTGAATGATGGCTATTTATCTGTGTCAGAATGAAGGTTTAGAACTGGTTGCTCCGTCGAGCCAGACCCTCTCTCGCCTGTCTGTTGTTGTTGGGACGTCATTCATTCAATTCAATTGAATAAAAATATTTAGTCTGACAGAAACTCGTACATCCGCCTGCAACTCTATAATTTAGGGTTTTGGAAGGCGAAAAAATTAAGGATGTTGTATGAAAAATGATACGTCTGAATGGATTATAAATTATTGCGGAAGTAATATTAATTTTTCTTCCTGGGGCGAAAATTCCATTTACATTACCGATTCAATAGATAAAGTGAGGGTAAATAATTTAAAAAATGATGGTGTGATTTTTTTTGACCAGATTGGGAAACTTCTCTAGCTAAATAACTAACAATAAAAAATAACTATTACACTAATCAAAACAATTCTTTTGAATTAATATCAAACATTTTTTTTTTTGGTAAACCGCTTACTATTAGTTTTAACAAAGTTTTTTCTTCTGGTGTATTGCCAGAAGAAAGGAATTATAGTGAAATAATCCCCACCTTTCAGAGTGGAAATAAATAATAAATAATAATTAATTAAATAAATATATATATTTATTTAATTTATTTATATATATATTATTATATTATAAATAATAATTAAATTTTAGTAAGGCGTTTGACAAGTTTGATCACTTTATAATGTGCAGCTTTCTAGCTCCTACATGTCGCACAGAAAGAGCTCTGTAGCAATAGGACATCAGTCAAATTCATTTGACGTAACTAATAGGACATCTATTTTTTAATTTTTTTAAATTTTTTAAATAAAATTAAATCGTCATTTAAAATTTTTTGGCATTTGCAGATGACGATTAGGTGCTTACAAAGATAAAGAGACAAGAGAGCTGCCTGGGACTTGAAGCAAATCTTTTGCTGTTAGAAAAGTTTCGTGATGAAAATAGCCTCTTTCAAAAACATTTTGATTACAGTTTAATAGCACCAATTTAGAAAAAGTCGCTGAACCTTGATGAGCAATGGAAATTTAAACCACATGTTGAGAAAGAAACTTTAGAGATCAATATTTGAAATAATTATCCTGCGAATGTCTTTTAAAAGAAAACAAAAAAAAATTGTCTTTTTTATTTAGTTTCTCTTAAAGATGTTTTTTTTTTAAATTATTTTTGATATCTTTAAGCCTTAAATATCTGTTTTGCTCCACAATAATAGGTAGGCAATTATAGGTAAATGTTATAATTATGTTCATAGGAACATTACCTTCTTCAATTAATTTATTTAAAAGTTTACACTTTTTTTATGCTTGTCTTTAAGATGTTATTGTAATTAAATTCGCCTAAAATAAATAAATTGCAGCAATATTTTTTTAGTAATTTTGTTTATTTGTTAGCTAAATTCGTTTCTCAAATGTTTACATATTACGGTGTTGCGCTATCAATGCCTAGAGAACAATATTTTTTCGTTTAGAAGGGTTTAAACAAAACAATAAACCCAACAAAGGGATACGTTTCATATGAAATATATGCAATATGATGCAACAACGGAATGAAACGTTACTAATTGTTTAGGAATAAATGCTCCATAGTCCAGCGGTAAACGAAATTACTTACGAATAGAATAAAGGAAAAAATATGATCCATTAATAACCGACGGAGTTGTCTATTTCTTGACGAATGGTGGAGGCGCTACACCTTTAATTTTTTTCCGCAAAGACCATTTCGATTAAATGTTGTAAAAATAACTTCATATAGTATAGTGTTTTGGTATGAATTTATACCGCAAAGCCCGGACTACAATTACTGACTGGTTTCGGTCGTGTTAAAATATTTTATTATAATATTCTCTTATGGTTTTGCGGTGAATTATTGAGGTGCATAAATGTTTTATGCATATTCCGGCGCTATTTATAAATTAATTTGGCTAATTTCTGCACCAACGAATTCCATTAAGGTGTACGTAATAACTAAGATGGGCCATATATGCGGTAACTTTGTGTGTAAATTTCAAAGAGGAGGTGGTTTGGTTTAAAGATAGATTAATTGAATGATTTTCGTTTAGATATCTTTAACGTCGTGCTATTTAAAAATACGCCTACTTTAATCTCGGCTAAATATCACGCACAGCACGAGAAAACTAAAACAATTTCTGCAGTTTTCCCGAATACTCATCGAATTGTTCGTCCGTTTCCCCGGGATAGACGTTTTAACATTATTATATTTTCCTTATTTTCGCCTTGGTATACGTACATTCATGAATGTTTTATTGTCAACCGAATGGAAAATGTGTCACCCAAATGGTATATTATTGAATTCTTCTCAAATGCAGAGTAAAAAGTCCGTGTCTGTTAATCCAATAAATTTCTTTGCCTTTTCGCGAGGAAATTCGAACGAAGAACGAAAAGGAGTTTTAAACCTGAGTTAAATTACAGCAACCTGTTTGATATTTTATCTTAACGGTATAAAAAATAAGTAAGTATAGGATGCCGATTTAAATTCTAAAAATGTGCAGTTCTTCTCAGCGCTTTGCTTTTCGCACAACCAAAACGTTTCCGCTTAACTTTAATTTACTTATATTGCTATATAAATGAAAACCGTTTAAAGTATGATACGTAAATCAGTTAGCAATAACGCTTATTTACTAGAATTTTTATAGGAGCATACGAACAAAGGAAAAAGGAATGAACGATAAAATAGTGAATAGCCAATCCACGTTCGAGATACGAGTGTACATATGGCACAAGCTCAGGCACGGGCACAGGCTTTATCCACGACCAGGCAAATCAAATTTGCAACGAAGTGCAAAGCTATAAAATAATCGTAATTTCTGATACGCCGTTGAAATTTACTGGTGCCGCAATTTCGAACGCGCTTATTTTAATAAACTCCCTACAAACGTATTCACATTGCGTAAATTACTAAGAATATATTCAACAAAGTTCGTGGTGTGTCATAGGAAATATATATGACGGAATAAAGCAAACACTAAACTGCCGCACTAGTAGGGCCCCTTTCGACGTACACACGGATGAGCTTCAATTGGAACAACCCTTGAAGCACCTGCGTCACTTTTCGGTTCCCATGTGCTTTATTCGTAGATTGGCGGAAAAGTATATTGTTATAATCAATTCAATACTGACACAAATATTTAATAACTATAATAATGACAAACATACATTTTTTTTAATACATAACCTAACCAGCGGTTTATGGTTTTCCGATGGTCAAATAGAAAGTACAGTAAACACTAAAGTAATAAAATATCTTAACCATAGATGAGGCATTTTAAATGCCATAAAAGATAGTATAAGTAAAATATAGTTCAATTAAAATTTGATTTAAAGGGCTTTTGTATTTCTGTGGGCAGTTTGTTGAAAAATGAAACGGCCAAGCAGCCTGGACCGCCCAGGCAACGAATTAGTTGCTGATAAGCTGGAATTAGGTTGTTATTGTTGCAATGATGGTCACTGTCATATAAACACAAAGATCAGTCAACACC